TGCAGGCTTCAGCAATCAGAGCGCCGCGCGCGCGATCCAGAACACTCACTGCTTGAGGTCGAGGCTGTCAATCATCTCCCGCTGGCGCTGTCGGTCCTTGCTCATCTCGGCGGCACCAGCTTCGTCGAGCTCCGCTTCAAGGGACGGCAGAGCAGGCTTGTCTGAAGGGGCAGCAGGGGCAGCTGCTGGCTCGGGGAGTTCAGCGCTGATCGCGTCTTTCTGAATCGCGACCAGCCGCTTTGTCAGCTTCGCGACGACTTTGCTGAACAGCGCCAGAGTTTGTGATACGGGCACGGTCAGTTCCGTCTGCGTGGCTCGCGTCAGCCATGGTACGACAAGACATCGTCAGCACTCACCTCGAGGTCCTCGAGCTGCTTGTGCTGCAATCCCAATCCGAGAAGGATCGCGCTTTGCACCGCTGTCAACTTGACATCGTTGACAAGCCTGCGCTCGAAATACATGCCGGCCACTTTGGGCACCAGGTCCAGGATGACATGGTAATCGAGCATGTTATTGGTGTATGCTTCAAGCCGCTTCAAGTCGAATGGAGTCAATAGGAACGACAGCTCGGTCGCGCCAAGCTCTGCCCAATGTCAACGAAGTGTAGGGATATTGACGTCGCGGGACATCACCTTTTGATTCGATGTCCACCGATTTGACAGCTTCCAGGATACTCAACGCGGTAGCACTGCTAAACTCCCGGAATTTGTAAGACAGCAGAGACAAGAATCTTCTGCGGAAATCTAGGTCGCGGCATTAGGAACCTCAAAAAACGAATCCCGGAGGAAACCGCACCCTTGGCAAACTCTCCGAGCCAGTCCTGGCCCTCAGCCAGTCCTCGGACCATAACACAGCTGTGCTCGCCCGTCAGCTCGCTCGTCGTCTGCCGCAGATACAATGGCACATAGCCGGCCCGTTTCCAGAACCTGCCCGTCGATCAGGAGCGGTTATTGGATGGTGGAGGCGCACTTACCGCAGAAGCTGTCCTGTTAACCCGTAGCTTACACCGAGATAGTCGAGAATCTCGGGCTTTCGCTCGGACAGCCGCTGCAATAGCGGAGGCATGCTCGAAACCGGTCTGACACTCGGCGTCTCAGTCAACAGATCACTCGCATTCTGCACCACGTTCGTCAGCATTCTATACAGCAGAGGGAGAAACAAAGCACGAACGGGGTCGATGTCATCCCGTGTGAAGGACGTGACGCCGGCAGCCTTCTCCGCTTCGTCGTAGTTGTACAGTTCACCCGTGAAGTACGACTTCAGCGCTTCCAAAGCTCGCGATCCATAACCCATCTGTTCGCGTGTCAGCCAAAGCGGAGGCGAGAATAAATTACGGCCGCACCCCAGCGTAATCTGGATCACAAGCCACCCGGACTATCCTGCCCCCCAACAGACTGGCGAACCCGCTCTCCAAAAACTGTCCGCTGACGACCCACGGAATCATGTCCCCCGAAGCGGTCTTGCCCCTGCCTGCAGCATCCAGCACCGTATCCTTGCTCAGCCCACCCTCGAGTGCGACTTGCAGCACGACCAGCGGCTCCGGCAACGTCTCTTCGTCGTCTTTGATCGGAGGGAGCAGAACGAACAGATGGTGGGCCGGTGCGTCGGACAGCATCTGCAGGTCGTTCGGCTGGTTCTTGTAGTGCGATGCGACGTAGAGCGCCATCATGCGCTGCAGGAAGACCTCGCTCGCGGGGTGGTAGCTGAACAACGTGTCCCGGTTGACGTAGAACAGCGAGCACGTCGACGGATGGGGTGTCCCGCGGTGGGATGATGAAGAGGAGTTCGTCGTCGCGTTCAGACAGAGGACGTTGTACAGCCACTTCTCGATCTGGTCGCCGGCGCTGTACCGGATGGGCGTGGTCAGCTTGACTTCGCGGAGCGTGCGTGCTTTCGGAGCCGCTTTGGGGGTCTTCTTGGTGCCGCTCCCCGCGGCCTTGTCGTCGTTCCCACCGGCAGGAGCTTTTGTCAAGGACGGACGGGTGCTTTCTCGGAGCTGCTGGATGAGCTTCAGCGACAGACTACGCCCAGTACCCTCGTATCCGTTGATGGTCGAGGCCAGGAAGACAAGATATGGGCCAATGAGGTTCCGCACAAGCGGCAAGGGGATCGCCGCTGCTTCATCGATGATGACCAGCTCGGCTTGACCGAGGACATGTGCGTCTTGAGGTTGGATGTACTAGCAAACAGGACTCAGCAACCCAAACCATGAGATCGACCAGACTGCTTACTTGTATCGTCTGCCGGTGGTTCTTGAACACATCGACCCGCACAATAGAACCTTTCGATTGGCCCTCGGACGGCACACTCTGCATGATGTCGTAGTCCAGATGCTCTTCGTAGCCCAGAACATCCATGCCCTTGAAGATGAACTCGAAGAGCGTCTTCAAGTTCTCTGGGCTCGGGCTCGTTACGAAGATGTTCGAATATCCGTGCGCTAGTGCAGCGGCGATCGCCAGCCCCAGAGCAGCCGACTTGCCTCGGCCGCGGGCTGCAGTGAGGGTGACGGTCGACGACAGCGTCTTTTCGGAGATAGCCTCGATGAATGTGAGGATGGCTTGGGCTTGGTCAAGCGTTTTGGAGAGGGTGAGTAACGGGCCCGCGGGTGTCGTGTCGGCTAGGGAGGATCGCAGATCTTCGAGCTGGGTCTGCTCGGGTGATGTTTTGGGGATGCTGTCGTCTTCGAGAGGCTCAATGTCTTTCCCCCTTGATATTGGTAGCACGTTCAGCTCGTCATCGAGGAATAGACAGTCTTCGGACGACCCAAGAGAGAGAATGAATCGCTCGTTGAACCTTGCGACGACAGCGCCATGGGAAGATGTGCGATATCGAGAATGCACGTCCTATGAAAGTGTCATAGACTTACGCGAGTGACTATGAAAGCAGCTTACCATGGTCATAGAGTACAACTGCTTCAAACTCGACATTGTCTTGAGCATCAGCACAATGAGTCCTCCGCCCTCCACCGTTTCTATCGTGCGCGCCAGAAGATTGGGCGTGATAGCTTCGAAGTCTTGCAGCACGCACATCCCGTATGTGTTTCCGAGAACCTTTTCCGACTCCTTGTAGTATCTGTTGCGAGACTGCCTGAGCGCTCTTCACGCGGGGATTCAAATCATTCAACGCACGTATACCGGATATCCGTCACCGTCACGAAGATCTCGAACGGATTCTGGTCATTCGCTTCCCTCAGCCCGCGCTTCACATCCCGCTTGATTTTGGCCTCCCGCTTGAGCCGGTGACTGCAGGAAAGGAAGATAGGGACGCGATCAGAATGGGGTTGGACCAGGACAACGCTCGTGAGGGGCCGGACACGAACATTGGCAGGAGTTCATTCAAACGCAGACCGACCTGGTGAATCCGAGCTCCTTCTTATAGCACCACAACACCGAGGGACGGGCGGAGACACGGGCTTGAGATAAGAGGAAGTGCAGGTTGACGATCTTGCGAGGGTCGTCAGACTGGAGGGAACACTACATGGGTGTAGGAAGCGCACCTGATCCCTCCCCTTGTCTCCGACCAGCACGATGAACGACCGGTGGTTCTTCTTAACATTGTTGTTGATGAGGGTCGGGATCCGAGGGTCGAGCTGCTTGCGCATTGCGGAGAACGACAGCCAAGGCGCGCAAGGGTGATCGGCCACAAGCAGTGATCGAGAGCAAAAATTCAGAAGCTGTAGCCAAACAGACCAAACAACCTCTTTTTAGACCAAAAAGGAAGGTTGTAGTTGAGCTCGCATCTTGTCTCAGTCTACCAACAGTGAGCGTATAACGGGCTCGGCGGGAATGATGATATTTCCGGTGGGCCAGCCTGCTTCGGGACACATCGACCCTCTCGAGATTCGACGGCCTGGGTCTCGTGGCCCCTCCTGTCAGCTGCTCATCGAGCTAGACTTCACGTGATACCCCGCGTATATATGGACGCTATGACGCGCTTCCGCTCACCTCACTCTCAAACCTCTCACTCCTCTTCACCATGTCAAACCTGGAAGAGTTCATCGCTCACCACGAGCCTCCTGGTACGTCCCACTTCGCCCGCGTCTGCGCAGAACGAACGCCTGACTGTGCTTCAAGTCAAGGTCGGCGGACGACGCTATTCGATCACAAAGCATCACCATCACCACCACGGCCCCAACTCGACTGCCACCTCCAACCCCGCGTGCGTTCCATTAACAGTGTCCATGTTGATGCCATGTGTTAATTGGCCGTTTACAGGGAGCCTGCTGCTGAAGACCCAGCACCGAACGCCGGCGGAGCCTACGTAGACGACTACCCCCGCCCGAACCCTCCTGACGCGCGGGCCCAACAGGACCGCAACCGCAACCACAGCCCCCCTCGTCACGACGGCGAACTCGAGTCCGCCTCCAAGTCAAACGACGAATGGAAATACCACGACAAGCCTTCGAAAGCTGTCAAGAACGTCAATCCCACGCAAGGCAAGATCGGTGGGGGTGGAGGCCGCATCGGACAGCCTGCGAAGGAGATGCATATCTGAAGAGCGGCAAAGCGAGAAGACCCATCAGCATGTACGATTAATATGGAGGTGTAAATGCAGTATTGACAGGCAACTTGCATGAAGAACGTTTGGATGCTCAATGTTGCACGCGACGAGATATTGCCGAACAGAAGCGTTTGAGCTAAAAGAGGCATTTGCAGCTGTCCAAGCATATCTTCTCGGCGTGGCGGCAAAGATGCGGTCGACGAAAGCACAGGCGGTGTATTCCAACCTGTTAGCTTGAAGGCGTTGAAAGAACGGAGAAAGAGAACAGTCAGGAAGGGATGCCAAACAAGAACACTTGCAGTTGTTGGTGCTTGAGCACGGCCAGTCATGCTGAGTTTGAGTGATTTGATCACATATAGGTCAAATGCCGGTCTTCGTGCACACTCCAAATGATCATGCGATGCCCTTCCTGTCGGTCGAAGCAAAAGCCGTCGAATGCGCAAGAGCTCGATATATAAACCACAGCCAAAATGTCAACACCGGGAGGAAATCAGCTCCGATCAAGACCACAACTCATCTATGCTGCAGTCCCCGTCTTTTGTCGCCCGAGCAGCAGCTCGAGAAACACTTTTCACCTCGTCAAAAAGCCGGGACACAGGCGCATTTCCGCCCGTAGTCGACTCGGCTTTGATTTGACACAGTTCTCTGAATGCCATGTCAAACCCGAATCCAGTCTGTCGGCTATATGCGTAAGACGCCTTTAAGATCTTCCGCTGGCGGGAATCAATCAGCCGTAGCTCCACGTCGTCCGGATCTTCGTCGTGCTGGAATAGGGCTTGTGCCTTCAGCAACACCGTCTGTCTGTTCGGCTGGTTGTTGGTCCCGTACTGGTCACCGGCTGCTTTGATTTGTCTGAACTTGACGTGTGCCTGATCGACGCGTTTCTTCAATAAGTCCAGATCTTCGGCGTAGCTCTGAGCCCAAGGTGCGCATGTCTTGTTTGCTTTCTCGGCTTTTGCAAGCGCGTTCTTCCACGGCAAGAGAAGTGCTAGGTCTTTTGAGAACGCTTGGTAGCTGTCTCCGGTCAGTCGGCCACAGTCAATGTCGAACTTTCGGAGCAATTCATCTCCCATAGCTCTCCCTTCGTCCATCCTGTGTAAGTCCAGTCTTGAGTCTACCAAAGGTCTCAGATACGGCACTGAACACTCACAGCTTCCTCAAAAGAAAACGATCGCCGTCAGCGCGGCCATGGTCTTTCCATCCACTCAAGCGTATCCTCTCTCCGTGCCGGGACCTATGAGCCTGAAACACCTCGTCTTTCAACGTGAGTCCAGTCTTCCCGGCATCCAAAAGCGTGTTTCCGCTGTGAGACGCTGAGAAATGGACTGTTTCAAGGATGGAGAACCCACTCACATATGAGCCATCAGAATAGCCTCGGGATGATCATATCCATGCTTGTAAATCGCGTTTTCATGAAAGAAGGAATACAGTCCAACTTGCGTTGCCTTCAAGCCCGTGAGTAGATGCCGCTGGAACTCCCGTTGGGCTGCCACAGGATCCATAAAAGCCAGCTCAGTTTCCAATGCCGTCACAGACTTGACATTCCGCTCGAAACAATCATCCAGGTCGGGAGGGGCGGCTGCGAGTGGACTGTTTCTGAAATGATCCAACAAGGATTGAAGCCACGTAAAGATGACCGTGTCTGACAAGCCCTCAGCGCGTGAGGGGAACGACTCCAGTTGACAGACAGACCTCCGTCATAATCTAGTCAAAAGTGAGCTTGCTAAAGCGATAATAGACGGGAGAAGCCGACTCGCCGCCGCCGCTGAGCATCGAAAGTAGGCTTTGATCACCCCTGGTTGATACCACCACCACATCGGTCCACCGACTCAGCTCGGGATAGTCAACGGCCGTAACCATTTGCAGGTCGGAGGGCAAGCGCATCGGATATCTTCACCGGACGATGATGAGAAGCTGCGGACAAAGACCCTCGTTTCATCACCTTCCTATCTATGAGATGCTCAGCCTAGAGAAGAAACTGCAAACACGGGGTCGAAAACGCACAATCACACGGCCGGTCAGCGTCTGAATGCACTCCTGCGTCTCAGCATTGACCATCCCATTTGAAGCGCGAAAGTAGATCTCGCCCTCCCTCAGCACATCGAGAGGGTCTGATTTCAAACCGTTACGTTCGTAAGCGCAGAAAAGCTTTGGGGAACGCACCGGGAATGACAAACCCGTCAGCCGCCGTCGAGGCTGGCAGAGAGATACGACAGCGGTCTACAACAGCAGCGATCTCGTTCTTGACGATCCAGCGTAGTTTGGTATTCAGGTACTCGTCTTCGCGCGGGCTAAAACCAGCCTGGATGAGCTCTACAGTCCGTTCATGCAGACTTAATGGACCTGCGGAGAACGTTCAGCCAGGTGCCCTTCAAAGTCTGTGAACACACACCACCAGCCAGATCCCTGCCATCTTCAGCGAGCGAACGTGGATTATCGTCGTCGTAATCATCTTTCTCGTCGTCGTCTTCGACGGCCAATGACGATTCCTCGGTTTCGTCATTCTCGACACTCTCTTCAGGATCTCGGCCCCGCAAGCCAAGGACGCGGCTCTGACTGCCAGCGAATCTCTGGAGCCTCGAATTAGACACGTTGCCTGCTTTCTCTACAGCCCTCCACAAAGCAGCTCTCGATCCAGGCGTCCAATCCAGCAGCGGCTCGACGCTGCCTGCTAACCCATCCAGCATCAATTTCACGAACACTTCATCTGGCACTCCGTTGTGTGACAGACAGAGGATACTCTGCTCGGACAGAGACTCACGGGTCTCGCTCGCTGGAGGATGCGATGCCCGCAGTAGATCAAAGATACGGTGTTCTCGTCTCGAGCCTTCCAGGCGAATTTTGCGCTGGGACGCCCGGATCCAAATCTTGGGTTCCGCATCTGCGTTCGACGGGTGCAACGTCCACAGTCCTTTGCTACCGCCAATGCGTCCTTGGACTGCCGTAGGAGGTGTCGGATAGTCGAGCCGCGCGGCGATGATTCGGAATCCCGCCTGGTTGATGAATCCGCAGCCGTCAGTCATTGCTATATGAGATGTGAGGCGATAGCCAGGGAAATGAACTCGGTCGACTGACTTTGCTCAGCGGGAACTTTCCCGGTGCCCTTCCAAGTGGAGGAGATCACGTCGTCAATGAAGTGGATGGATGCCTCCTGGAACTCGAGAACAGGGGTCGAGGTCGACAAGCCCAGCGCAAAGCGCGCAATGTACTTGGCAAACGGCTAAGTATCGGAATCGTCAGTCGATTAGAGCACCGGGATGGAAGAACGCAAACCTGATTGCTGTTCAGAGCGGGGGGATTGTGGGTTTTCAGAAAAGAGTCAAATGAGACCCTCCGTTGGTCCCCAAAATACTTCAAACTCGACCGTTCCCACCCTTGCTCTGTCTCAATCAGATAGATCGAGTTCGTATCTTTCGGGGGAATGGCAATGAAGACGCGACCGTTCAAAATGAATCGCTGCGAGAAGAAGGCCGCGAGTTGTTCCGGCTCGTTTTGGACCAACTTGTCCGGAAGTGAGACATGCAGAACGGAGGCTGATCCCAAAACGCGGGCGAAGCGAAACGATCGACCCTTCGTTGGCTTCTCCAGACGCAGTTTGTACTTTCCTTCTTTCCCTCTCAGCCTCACGCCATATCTGATCTGGCCACCGTAGTAATTTTCTTTGGGCCCATCCAAGGCACCCAGTGCCGGACCGTCGAGAACTTTTCCGCGGATGTAACTCTCCCGGTCGACTTCAGCCCTTCGATTGATCAGACGACCGAACGAAGACCTCGTGCGGAATGCTCACCACATGCGCAGTTCTTTCGCGCTCACCGCTTTCGCGTCACGGCCCAGCATGATGTTGACGACATTGGGAGCGATCTTTATACTCGCATTCGCGTCGCCAGTCAAGAATAGGGTGCGATGCTGCTTCAGTTTATCGACCACTTTCTTCCAAGTCCACTTCCGGGCCACGACGCCCCGTGCCAGTTCCCACTGCGCACCCAACGGCACGCCGATCTCGTCAAACATCTTCTGCGCCGTGGTATCGTGTGCGATGATTAGCGCAGGCAGCTCGCAGCCGTGCTTGCCCTCGAAGAGCGAAGTGAGCGAGAATAGGGGCTCGGGTGGATCGCATCGCGGATTCGCATCGGGGCTGAGCTTGCGGGCCTTGGACGGTGAACCACCAAATAGCGCGCTCTCGCCCGCAGCGCGCTTTCGGGGAGAACTTTGCGAGGAGGACGAGTGATCGGCGGAAGACATCGACGAAGTGCGCGAGCGTGAGTCGGCAAAGAACGAATCACCACTCGCATCGGTTTGTAAGGACGACTGAGTCGAAGTAGGCTGGAGAGAGTGTCGTTCTGGAATGTGAGACGGCGGAGGCATCTGTGGCCGACCCCGCGAGAACAGCCGTAGAGGCGCCAAAGGGGCTGAAATTGGGGTACTCAGAGCCGTTTGCGGTGTTCTTTAAGGACCTACTGTGCGGAGAGACTGCATAACCGTCATCCTGCAACGATGCACTGTCGAGCGACTGCGCCAAGGCCCGCGAAACGCCCGATGCCGATTGACGAACGGCTGGTGACGGGGTAGCAGGCGTCCTATCCTGGAGAGCAGCTGCCCTCCTATTCGTACTCGGCGTGGCGGGTGCTGTGAGAGTCCGAGTGAGCTGATGATGAGGATTGACGGCGCGGGTTATCAGCGCGTACTGTTATCCACCCGCGGACTCCGTAGCCGCCAGGCTTCGGCGGAGAAGCGCGTCCTCGTGGGGCTCGCTGATGATGAAGCCTGGGATGCGTTCGCTTCAAGTTCCTGGAGAATATTCCAACCATCTTCATCCAACTCAAAGTCATCGTCAAAGTTGCTGCCGAGACTGGACCTGCTCGCCTATTCGGGTGGAATTAGATCAGTACGAGTTCTCCGAGCTGCAGCAAGCCATACGTTCGAGGGCATTTTGGGAGAAAGCTAACAGTGATATGAACTAGGACCAAGCCTGCGATTCAAATTTGGAACGCAGCTGTCAATCAGAACATTGACAGTTACATTATGAAGCAGATGCAGACAGCCATAAGTACTGTCAGTGCAAGTGTAACGCTTTGGCTGTGAGCGGTGGATAAGGAATGGCAGGATTAAATCATCCTTAACTCAGATCAAGTCCACCGACTTATGGTTTCGACAATTCACACTCGTATGTGTGAATGGGCTGGTCTAATGTCATCGTCACCTGACCGCGTCCCACCGTCACACCGTTACTTCACCCCTTTCTCTCTCAAAGCGCGGTTGGCATAACTTGAACTAGTCCCGCACGAGCAACGGCCTCTTTTCTGCGAACCCCCCCTATAATCCAACGTCTACAGACCTATTTCCTGCGCCTTCCTGAGGGCCTCATCCTGTATCGACCGATCCGATGACTCATCCGTTACCATTGCGCAGGCCAGGTCGTACCACCGCACACCACGAAATAGTGGGGGAGACCGGCGGCGGATTGATTCAGCAGAGGACTTCGAAGCCGTCTAATAGAACCCGCAAACCGCCGGTCGACATGCCACCCATTCACGCCGCCACTCCTGTGCCGGCTGCACCGCCCGCCCTTCCACGCCAACGAGCCGAAGTCCGAAACGCTGATGCTCGCCGACGCTGGACTCCGAAACCGAAGAAAACCAAAGCGGAGAAAGCCGCCGATGAAGAGAATCACTTGGAACTGGTGCTAGACGCCGCGAAGACAGCGATGCAGATCCTTCAAAAGCATGGGTTTCCTGCGACGCTATTCGGAAGCCTAGCATGTAAATTGTACGGGAATAGTCGGTGTCCAAAGGTGGCCGTGTTTGACGTCCGCAGGAGCGCTATCTTCTCACTCCGACTTGTTTTTCACAGGATGCCGACATACTAGTCTTCCCACCGGAAGGGGATGCTGAAACCGACGCGGAGGCTTTGAAGCGGATCATCGTCGCAGCTGCCCCCGATCTCTTCTACCTCAAAGACGCACGCGACCCCAGTGCTCCCTACCGCATCCTCTGGTTCAAGCACCCTCCTTTACGTGGTGAAAGCAAAGTCGACATCCTCGTCCCTGGCTCGATGTCTATGCCCAGAATCCGACCGTCTCGAATACGTCTCATACGCGACCTGTCCGTGGCCCCCTTTTCGTTCATCCTGCTGCACAAGCTCAAAGGGTGGTCGGACCATCGAGCCGCTCCTGAAGGGTTTAAACGTGCGCGGCAAACGACCGATGCAGGCGATGTCCGGAGACTGCTGGACCTCAAGAAGGAGATGGTTGTTTTGCAGAAAAGCGTCAAAGCAGGTATCGAGCCACTATGGTGGAAAGATTCCGAGTTGTTCGACGAACAGCTGCAGACCGATTCTGTAGTTCGAGTACAGGAGTTCGCCGCAGAGTTTCCTGCCAGGATCGATCGCTTGCGTTCGTTGGGCTTTGAAGTGGCCGATCCACCGCAGAGAGATGACATACACTTGGACTTGGACTTGAAGCGGATAAACCTTGCGGGCGGAGACACCGTAACCATCGAAGCGAATGCGGCAAAAACTCTTTAAATCGTTGTTGTAAACTCTTATCAAGCATTGACAGTCTCAAGCGCTCTGTCATGGCGCATTTCACTTCCCTGCAAGTGTTTACATAAGCGGACCTTTCCTTGGCATTTACTCCATCGCACCAACCTGTGCCATAGGAGAATATAGGATAAGACCTCGGTAGTGTTCTACCCAGGAACGGGAACAGTCAAGGACCCCTCCTATACGATGCAGACCCGCATGCAATACACCTCTTACGGTCTGGACAGGAGCTGCGGTGACGATGGCCGTATGAACGTTGCATGCTCAGAAGTGGGCTTCCATAGCGTGCGTCCCTCACTCCACGGTCTTGTAACCATCCATCCGGACGGGCGACACAACACCTCCTGGTGCGACTCCACGCGGAAAAGCGTTGCGGGGATCGTGAGAACGACGACGATCGAGTTTTGAATTGCTGTCAGCAGCACCCCCGTACGTGATCGAGAATTGAGACTCCAGAGCCGGGATTATAAGTAAGAGTGGCTGGAGATCCGTGGGCCCCCAGGGCCCCATCCCCGTGCCGCGTACCCCCGCATCCCCGTAACCCCGCACGCCATGTCCATCAGCAACACCGTCGGCGCATTGATCATCGGCGCCTTCTTCGCGTCGATGTGAGTCCTCCGCAGCTCCCTCCGTCGCGCGGCTCATTGTCTTGTTTCAGGCTGAGCGGGGTGGTCCATGTGTCGACATTCTTTTACTACCGCACATACCCCACCGACCCGATACACTTCAAGGCTCTGGTGAGCGTCACGCGTCATGGCTCGCTACGTCTCTCATGTTTCCACGAAGGTCGCTATCGTTTGGTGAGCGCTGGCTTGACCACGACAGAAACATGTTCTCTGACCGAGCAGGCTGCTGGATACACTCCACACCGCCTTCATCTGGGAGGGAACCTGGAACTACATTGTCCCGCAAATCGAGAGCCAGACGTTGCTCCTAGACAGAATCCCCAACGGTGTTCCGGTAAGTTTATCTGCACTTGGAGCCCCTCGTACTCAGTATCCCCAGATATCCGTTGTCTTGACTGCCACACTCACATTCTTTGTCCACAAGTGAGCGACCACGCCAATCCGTCTGCACGTACTAAACTTACTCATCCAAGTTTCTTTGCCCATCGCATCTATCTCTTGAGCAAGAAGAACTGGATCATGTCGGCACCTGTCGTATGTTTCTGGTGCCGCGCGTATTGCTAGCCAGACTGAGGACTGCAGGTTATCCTAGCCTTCCTTCGACTCGCTGCCGCGTCTGTGACCACCGGCGAGATGTGCAGTTCCTTGCTTGCCCCTAATCGGTCATTGTTGACCAAGCTGGCAGGTTCCACTACCAACACTTTGCGGCTTTCAAGCTGCACGCGAATGTAATCATCTCTTGCAGATGACCTGTCTAGACACTCATTTTTACCATATCCACAGTGGATCTTCATTTTGGGTCTGGCGCTTTCGTCAACTGTGGACGTATACATCACCGCGTGCCTCTTCTACCTCTTCAGATCGAACCGCTCCGAAGTCTCGGCGTACGTGCCAGCCATCGACACGAATGCCTGAGTGCTGCTGACTTGTCGCAGATTCAATCACGTCATTGACCGGTTGATCCTCTGGGCATTCGAGGCGGGCAGTCTGACCACCCTCGGGACCGTCGTGACGATGCTCTGCGTGAGTGCACCTGACTGGGTCGACATCAAGGCGCGAATGAAACTAACGTCATGTCGGCAGTGGGTGACCACATCCCACAACTTGATCTTCCTTGGCCTCCACTTCGTCATTGGCAAACGCAAGTCGTCGTTTCCGAGTCTGTGTCCGTAACTCACCTCTCCTACAGTCTATGCCAACTCGTTCCTTATCACGTGCGTATGCGTGGATGCTCTCTCAACTCCCTGTTGACCCTGCGTCACAGACTCAACACACGCGAGACCATCCGCAGAGCCCGTGCCAACACATCCTCTGGTGACCGCGAGCGCGGCCAGGTCCTCTTCCTCGAATCAAGACCCGGCCCGGGAGCGTCCAACTTCCTGAAGACGACCACCATCCCCTACTTTGTAGCTCTTTCCTCGCTGCCTCGCACCATGCGCATTTGCTGATCCCATCCACAGACCCGTTCGAGGCATGCTGACACACCGACGGTGCGTATTCTGTCCCGTCTATCTTGACCCTGTCTCAGCCTATGCATGCAGGATGTGCAGATCAACGTGCAGACCAGTGTACAGTTCGACAGTGATCAGAAGTCGACGATGGATGCCAAGTAGCGAGATCTGTGGCTCACACACACACACTGTACAATATCATCTCACTTGTAATCACGTCACCCCACTGGATTGTGTGGGTTGATGATTTGGAACATGTAATCGGTCAAGGAAAACGAAACTTCTGCTGTAATTTCCGCTTTGAAGTACGAGTCTTGGATATCTTGGGTTTTTCATTTTGGTCCGAGTGGATCACATCAGACATCTGAACTTATGTGACGGTTGCAGACGGTGGCAGTGTGGTTGATCCCAACAACCATCAAACCGCACTCTGCCAATAACGCTCGCCGTCCCGCAGCCGGAAACTCTCCCATTTCCCGGCGCCCGCCATGAGCTTCCAAGACATCGAATCAGGGCTTGACCCACGCTCTTCAGCAACCGTCTCGAGTGAAGAAGGCGCCTTCATCACCCTCCAGTCCTCCCTGTCGCTCCAAGTCTTCAAGATCAACTCCAATGTGCAGGCTATTCGGGGCCGTGTCGACCAGCTGGGGACGCCCAAAGACTCGGCTGCCCTGCGAAAGAGCCTGTAACTTACCATGTCGATCCCTCTGGAGCTTCTCTGACTGTATGCGCGTTGCAGACACGACCTCACCGAGACCACGCGCGACCTTGCGAAACGCGGCGGGGAGGACCTCAAGAAGCTAGCTGCAATGCAGGCCGCGCTTGTGTGTGAATTCGAAGCATCTGCGCATTCCTCTGGACACTGAACCCCTCCCTCCTCTGCTGTCCAGCCCTCGAAGAAGACCGCGCTGCAGAAGATCTCGAACGACCTGGAAGCCGCGTTGGTCGAGTTCCAGCGTGCGCAGCATGTCAGCGTCGAGCGGCAGAGGTCTGTCGTGCAGGGGGTGAGGTTGGCCGTGGATGATCATGACGCGTGAGTGCTCGTTCATTGAGGTTTCCTTGCTGCCCCGACGCGCCACCGACGTCATCGCTTTCTCGTACACGCGATATAATACACGAACACTCGTCGTCTCGATGTACTCCTGTCCTAACTTTCCGACCTTCTGACATTCCTGCACAGCCCTCCGCCCGAATACGAAGAAGACTCCCAAGTGCAACGGCAAGCGCAGGTTCTGCAGCAACAGCTCTCGCCGCATGAACTTGCGTATCAAGAGTCATTGATCCAAGAACGGGAGCAGGAAATACGGGAGATCGAGACGGGGATCCACGAGCTCGCAGAGATCTTCCATGACCTGGGGACACTAGTCCAGCAGCAAGGCGGCATGCTCGGTGCGTGGTCCGGTCACCCCTCGTTCGCAGCTGAAACTCATCACATGCTCCACCAGACAACATCGAGTCGAACATCTCGTCAGTCGCCGCAGACACGTCCAGCGGCGCGGAGGAACTACGGACGGCTTCTGACTACCAGCGCAAGGCCGGCCGACGCGCTGCGTGCTTAATGGTCATTCTCGTCATCGTCACCGCCATCGTGTTGCTAGCCGTGCGACTCAGTTCCCTGTTTGACTCGAATCGCCTCTGACATACTGTCCCCAGATTCTTTCATAGACACCGACCGACACATTCACTCGATCTGACTGCCAGTGCGTGCCTCCCTTTCACTTCGTATTCGGGCGCCGTCAAATCCTTGTTGTCAGGCATTTATACCATTCACATCGGTACTAACCTAATGCATAACTTATCGTATGCTATTCAAGTAGCTAGCTTAGACTCCGCATCTTTCGATATACATGTCGGGCTAACATTGACTACTTTCATCCATCGTGATACCGCCCATACCGACACGTCCACTACCGTAAGAGACAAAAACCTACAACTTGGAGGTAGGCGTTAAGAGACCCGACTCTTGCCAGGGAAGACCGAGAAACTCCCAGATGAAGTGGAATCTGCGCTCATGCCTGTCAGCTACAACCAAGAACACCCAGCCTCTGCAACGCATGATTACCTGTCGCTCCCGAAGAAGGGCTCCTCCTTCCCGTTGCCGTCCTGCACCCACATCCACGGCGCTCCGAAAGCCCCGAGCTCGACGACTCTGCGTGTATTGCTCGTGAGACAGTCCTTCCATTCTTTCTGGGCCGGCGCCGTCAATATCGCGTCGACTTGCGCGTCCGAGTAAAGGTTCAATTCGTCCAACACGCCTCGAACGACGTCGGGTTTCGAGATATCGGCATGCGGAAGCACCCAGAGCGAGCGGAAGAACGACAGCAAGGTCTGCTCGAAGGCGGGTTGGGGGAAGGTCGCTTTCACGTAGCATAGGATCCGCTGGGCCTGGTCCGCATGGTGAGTATCGTCACTCTATGTGGGTGTGCATTGCGGCATGAAACGGTCGAACCATGACTGTAGACGCGGGAAAGAACGCAGGCTGCGCAACGCCAGAGACACCGTGGTACCGAGCCGTGCGCGCGATGTCGAGCTCCATATACGCCGCCTTCGCGGGAAGCGTCCACGGCGGCTCGTTGCCTGAGAGGGATTGGATGAGAACGACGACACTGGCGCTGACGCCGCCGCATGCAGCGGCAGCCCACACACCGCTAGCCCGGTGCACACCGCCGAGCAACACCGGATGGAAGCTGATGAGCTGGTGAGTCTTGTGTTCCCGGGGGACGAGATGCCCCCTGGCACACGCACTCGAAAGAGACACCGTGTGAGGCAAGCTGTGGCCGGATCTTGCATAGATGGAGAAACGCGAAGAAGCTGTATAAGGAAGCTGGCGGTCGTTGTAATGGATGTTGATCGGGGCAAAAGAACGGCGCACCACAGTCGAGGTAGCAGTCGATGTGGGACGGCATGGATGTATGCGTTCCACGTCCGGCTATTCAGGGCCGTTCACAAGCCGAAGAAACAACTGATACGGATGTTCGCTGGCATGCACTGGTGGCGGAAGACCAAGTCGGGATCATACACAACCTCTCTAGAATCACATACTGCCCGGGCCGCAAAGACCCGGATGGGCTCGAGGATGTGTGACCCCAATCTCCCAAATTCCAACTCGGGTTATCAAGTGACCTGTAGGATGCGCAGAGCTTCCGGAACTACGTGGTCACAATGCAAGCAGGTTAAATAATATCCAAAAAGCAGGCGAAATTGATTAGAGCGTCCAGCAGAAGGTGGTGATGCACTGGTGAGCGGCTCACATGATCGGTCGCGGCGCTTCATGCACAAATGGCTCTGCGTAGTGGCAGTGCTCGCAATCGCATCTAATCCTACTACAATCGCATTCCTCTTCAAATTTCAGGCCCGATACTGATGTGTGTGGACGAAAATAAAAAAAAATAAAGAAAATAAAGGGACGCCAAAAAAGGGCTCCTTTCGGGCTTCTCGGCGACTTCAACCGTTATCTCACCAGATCTCATCAGAGTGACATCAGCATCTCATCTAATCCCCTTGGGGCTGTGCGTGGATCACTCCCACGTCCGATACTGAACAAAAACAATGGAAATACTTCTAATACTGCATACACTACTCCTCTGGATCCGTAAAAAAGTCTGGGAGCAGCCACATAGGCGAGGATTGCTGGTATCAAGTACCATAGGAGCAGGATGCATGTAAGACAGTGAATGAATTGTTTACTCTGTCGCCGATACTGACTTTAAGATCATGAGCTGTCATTTCCTTACCGACGCCATCGCCATCTCAACCGCTTTGCTTTCACGTCTTCCCAGCGCCCTCTTGGCTCTCAATGTTTGCTTGTCCTTGTCACATCTGGATGTCTCGAAACGCGTTCTTGAGGAGTCTATGGAGTGGCAGCGGAGTCAAACAGTTACAGAGTCGGGTGATTTTTGGAGTTTGTGGCACATGGAGATCTGGTGCGCAATCGTTCATACGTGTGTCTACAAAACTGAGAACATCGAACACATAGCATAAGTAGGTACCTCATTCACTCATCATTCCACTTTGCGCGACTACATTCGACATTCGGTGACTTCGGATTCCGACCACGGCAGTCCTGCTTGCCACAGTCACGACACGGGTTGTGACAATACTTGACCTCTTTTGCACCTCGACAACCTGGGCTTGCCTTCCCGCATCTTCGACAACTCCGCTTCGCCCGTTTGTTTTTGGGCATGGATTCCGCTGTCAGAACTGCAGCATCAACCTTTCGCTTTGCCAGTGCCTGCGTGTGTGACTGTAACGAGCGAGGAGGTCCCTCACCCGTCGCTGTCTTGCGGCTCGACCCTGCTACGAACGTGATACCGGCGGCGCCCGAAATTGCGACAGCGAGGCTATCAACAGCAGTCTGGGAGAAGGTGTTGGGAGTAGGACTCATCGGAGGTTGGGCTGGGGGTGGCGGGTCAAGTGGAAGTAGCCCCGCTGATGCAGAATGCAAGCGCATCGGGACTTCAGGGACGGCAGGCATGACATCAAGACGTTTGGGATCACGAATTTTATTCAAAACGGGGCGCCGAATTGCAGCTGTGAGTGCTTTGGTTTGCTTGATGTTCGCGTTTCTCTTCCATTTGCCATTGTAATAGACCTTCAGTTGCTCGGATAACTGAGCAATGATGAGCCAGATCCCGGCTTTGATTAGAGGCAAATACCTTGTAGTAGATATCTTTCTGCGTATCTGCTTCTGCGTTCCACGCACGCACAGCGTCGTTAACTTGTTTGGGAGACGTGAAATTGCCAAAAGAATGTTGACCGGACATGAAGTCCCTGAACAACTTCTCCTCTGCGTCGTTGTGTATTGGAAGGACCGCTTTCCGTGTGCCTTGTAAAAGCGCCAGGTGATAGTGGAGAGCAGTCCTTGGGGTTGTCACCGTGTCAAAGTCTGCCATTCCTGCCTTTCTCCGGATGTCGATCGGAATGGGAAGAACACCAGAAACTTTGCTGCTCGGGAAGTACAGATTTCCGTTGACCCAATTCGAGCGTTCGGGCACGTCTTGCAGGATATCCTCGAGCGCAATTTGGTATTCCTGGATCTCGTTGGTGAGCCAGATACTGTAATGCCCACAGTATCTGCTGCCAGTACTATTCATTGTTCCGACCTGAAGAACGATCAATCATGGTAAGTAATTTGGTACTTTTCTAGATAATAAAATCGCGACTCACATGCAGGTTATGGCAGAGTATGAAGTCCTTCAGCGATGCATTGACATGCCGAACAGACACGCCCGACGACGGCAAACGATCACGAAGGTAGGTGTGAACGCCACCTTCCGTAAAGTTTGTCCCACGAAAGCAGCGATACTCTGTGAGCCCTGTCTTCTTGCTGATTCCCCGAGGTGAGTACAAGGCAATTGATGGCGGATCCGAAACAAAACCCTTCCGAATAGTCTCCAATATGTTTTTTGCCACGGCCCAAGCGGTAGCGTTGAACAGAGGCAGTCCCGTCGTTGCGTCTTTCAATGGCCCAAACGTTCGGAACACCTCAGAAACAAGTCCATGAAGCTCCTCTGGTGGGGGGATAATGCGCTTGCAGTGCTTCCAAACCCATGATGCGTTCCAAAATACAAGATCATCCCAATGGCGAGGGGGATTCTGTCGTGAGCCCCACTCGACGATTTTTGCCTTGTCCTGTGGATCAGGCAGGAAAAGAGCATCGCGGAATGCACGTGCGAACTCAGGTCGCAAAGAATGTCCAGCAGAGATGTAGAACATGTTGAAAAGATGGAATGGATCCTTGAGCACCCGGCTTCTAATCTCTGTTCTCCATTCTTTCCACTGGATCACTTCGTTCAGGATAGTATTGCCCTGCGCTGCACTCTCAGCATCGACAGCATGTGAGTTCGGATTGAAAGGAGCGCGCTCGATTGATTCCGAGGGCTTATCGACCTCACGCAGCGTCTCAACGAGATTTGACTGGCCCGCGGAAGCGCCCACAGCCTCATCAGAGAGCTTGTTAGTGCCCATGGGAGCGATTGGCCGTGCAGATGGAACCCGGGGAAGGGAGGGTATGTTTGATGCTGCCTGCAAGCGGATATGGCTGCGTCGCCAAATGACATCAAACGGCACAGACCCCATTGCCTCTAGGGCAATCTCCTTCTTTCCCGACTTGAAGAGTGCGCCCGGGACAACTACTTCCAAAACGCAGACAATACACTGTGACGCCGTAATCATGACACGCTCTTGATATCTCCCGCTGAGAGCACTGATTGTCCCCCGAGCGACAAGACAAGTCCGATCCTCCGAGAAAAGAAGGACATCTGTCCCCACAGGTGCGGTTTTGGGAAGAGGAATAGGCAACGGGATCTGAACCAGAACATCGTAAATGCATCGACAGGCATGAACATCGAGCGCAGCGTATTTGATTTGGGCTTCAGTCAAAGTCTCCGAGTCCCACATTGAGCTGAGACGCTCTGCAACATTCTTATCAAGCCGCTTCCCGAGCACACGAGCACAGAGATCGTCTAGCCCGACTTTGGCCGTTGAGATCACCAAGCGATCCTTCGCAAGACGAGCAAGATCAACTGCTCCGACAAATGCATCGGTGCTTGCGCAGGCATCCTGCAGGTTTTTGAGATCTGCATGCACGGCACGGCCTACTTTGAGAATGCGAGGATTGGTAAAGATTTGCTTCAACGCAAGTGGTAAGCGACTACCGGCCAACATCTGCCCAATCTGATTCTTTCAATCAGTAAACATGTTCGCAATGGCCAGTAATGATTCCCATACCTGTAGGATATAGATACGATCCTTGAAACCAAGCTGCAGAACGGCAGTTGAACCACGTCCTGTGATGTAGCCGCGAGATGACATCTCAACGTTCCACTCGGAATCTACAAACAAGACTAATGAATCTCCCAATGATGAGTCGTCTGGAAGCTCGTGGAGGATAGCACGCATGGCCTCGTTGATCTCGTCGTGGCCGCTCATGACAAAGATCTTGTCGCAGGACAAGAGCTCCAAGTGGGGTAACTCGCTGTACTTCTCGACAGTGATCACATCCTCACGGAGGGAGGGGAAACAACGCTCAAGAAACTCCTTGTCAGCCATGTTATCGGTGTAGAAGATGGCCGGCTGATCATGCCCGTAGCGTTCGAGAGACTCCCGCATACAGTTCAACGCAAGCTCAAACTGTGAGTGCGCCTTTGTCGCAACAAGATTGCAGACTCTAATTTCTCCCAACTCGTTAGTCACCGTGAGCAGAGCAATGAAGATCTGCTCTCCGTTAACTCGAGCTATATGCTTCGCCAGCTAGTAGTTCAAAAACTCATTCAGAATACGAATAATAACCACAAAAAGACTCACCTTGAAGCTATGGTCAATTGCGCACAGATAGCCACGCAGTAGCGAGATTGCCTGGTTGTAATCCGGCCCATGAAGCTCGACGAATCGGTCATACAGGTCTCGAAGGAGTTGCGAGCCAGGAATATAGCCGTGGAAGCCTGTGCTTGATCTGTCGTCAAATGGCGGAAAGGATTTGAACTTGCGGCTGTCACTGTTTGCACCCAACCAGATATTCTTTGCGCGCGCCCGAGCAACTGTCGAAAGATAGGCCAACTGGAGCTTGTCGTAGTTCTCGAGATGACGGACACGAAGAGCATCAGAGAACTGCTTCGCGCTCATCCCACTCTGAAAACAGGATCTCATAAACATGAAAACCCGCTCCGAGATGGCACTGCGATGGCTCAGGATGGCAGGGAAAGAGTTGGCGAGGGCGCGGGGAAGTTTACGTAGAATGGCAGCATCCCAGCTGTTGAATGTCACGGTATGGCGCCCGGATTTTGAATGAACACACATCGGGCATCGGTATCGGTATCCAATCATGAAGAACGTGTCGTCAAGATCGACTACTCGACGAGGTCGCTTGATGGTCCCGTGACGGACAAGGTTCGACGAGCAACCTTCTCGTGGGCATGGTATCTTATCAAAAGCTCCAGGATCCCACAAGAGCCAGCGGCACTGATACAGTGCTTCCGGGGTCAACTCCTCCACCGACAGGTTGCGAGTTGCAAAGTACGAGTCCTCGCATGGGAACCAGAACGTGCGATGATCTCGATACAATGGCGGGAGCCCATTGTCACCGCGCTGTGCACTTGCTCGAACAAGGTCGTGGAATCGAGACATCACCCAGAGAGCATGCGGATGCGGTGCCCTCTTTGTTTTCAGATCCGAGTTTTGACCTTCCTCAGATGCTAAGCCATCATCATCTCCGTCACCCTCATCTTCCTCTCCTCCAGGTTCCTCTCCAATACCATCGTCGAGATATTGCTCGCATCCATCCCTCTCATCCTCATCTTCCTCATCAATCTCACGAGTCTCAGTCTCCGCCGCAGCTTGCACCCGGTCGGTCGCTACAATGTGCGAACGAGGCACTGAAGCACTCGCTTCGGGCTGATTTGTACCCACATCTGACAGTGCATCTCCAGCCAACGGCAGCGGATGCGGGGAAGGCGAGGGAACAGTAAAACGCGGCGCGTTGAGAAAGATCGGTTGTAGGTTGAGCGGGTTACGGTTATCCACGGTACCAGGAGCTCGTGTACGGATTACAGCAGATACTCCGGGCAAGGTCTTCTAGATCAATCAGTTTTTGTCATCACGCTAAGAGTAAGGATTCGACGTACCGTGCGTCCAAGATTCACCGATGTTACCGGAGGTGGTGCGTGCAAGCGAGGACGCCCGACGGGACGCTTGACCACGGGCATCTGCACCACGACAGTCTCGATGTGTGGGGACGAGCTGGATGCGGCAGCATCTCCTGTGCCGGCAGAGTTGACAGTAGTGTTGGTGGCGGCAATCTTTGCGGCAGCGGCAGCAGCAGCGATCTGCTTGGGTCCGCTGCCTCGTGGGCGCCCTCGTGGCTTTCCGGAGGTCTTAGCGGCAAGTGCGGGTGTCAATTTCGGCTTGTTCTTGGAGCCTTTGGGGCGGCCGGGTGCGTGTTTAACACTTGGAAGGGAGACAATGTTCATGTCAGCATGTAGGATGGTCTGATTTGGACGCACCTTGGTGTACTCTGAGCTCGCTGCTCTCCGCTCACATCCCGCGCCTCTTCCTTGTCCATGTCCGTATGAGGCGTGGATGGCAACACGTGACCGCGTCGTAAGTGGGCGTGTTACGAGGTTCGAAGAAGATCGAAGAATCGGAAGATCCTGTAGATGGACAGATGGAAGGTGTAGATTGATTGCTCTGTCAGCCGGATCACACGGTCCGCAGTTCAAACTCCGCTCAGTATCAGTATCAGTATCCGCCACTGACACCAGTAACGTGCCAAATTTCAAAGCCGGCTCATCATGGATGACACATTGGAGGAACTCAGGTCTCTGATCTTCTCTGATCCCACCATTCATCGCCGCCGCGTGTCGTGCGTTGAGCCAAGATTCTTAATTCTCCGTCGGCCGTCCATACTTCAAGGTGCTAGACTTAGGCGGGGATGAAATCTTACCCGCGATATCACTTATAAAGACTCCAATCTGACTGAACCTTGAGCTCCTTACACATTATCCACGACCCTAGAATCCCTATGAGCATCCAGTACACTGTTTTCAAGGGCTCCAAGAACGGCATCGTTGAAGCCACAACGTCTCGCCCTGCACCAACAGGAAAAGAGGTCCTCCTTCGCATCACGCACTCGGGCATTTGCGGCACCGATGAACATTTCAAGAACGCCGATATGGTTCTTGGACACGAGGGAGTTGGCGTGGTTGAAGCGGTTGGGTCGGATGTAACACTGGTGCATGTCGGTCATGTCGTAGGTTGGGGCTACACACACAAGACGTGTGGGACCTGCGAGCAGTGCATCCTTGGTTCGTTTGCTTTCATTATATAGTTTTCTCTCTCTCATTCGCTTGCTCTCCAGGCCAAGACCAGTACTGTCTGCAGCGAGAGCTCTATGGCAAGCACAATCTTCACCAAGGCTCGTTCGGCTCCCACGCAGTGCGTGAATCCTCTTTCTTTTGTCAACTGTATTGACCCCCGCCAGATCTGGGACGAGTCCTTCCTATTCCGTATTCCAGCAAATATGGCCCCAGAAAACGCTGCACCTCTCATGTGCGGTGGCGCGACTGTGTTTGGGGTGATTGAAACATACAACATCCGACCCACCCACCGCGTGGGCGTCGTCGGCATTGGTGGTCTTGGGCACCTCGCGATCGTCTTCCTCGCCAAAATGGGCGCCGAAGTCGTCGTCTTCTCAAGCTCAGACTCCAAGAAAGAAGAGGCCACGCGACTCGGCGCATCAGAATTCTACACGACTAAGGATGTGACCAAGTTCGAGAACGTGCGCTTACTAGACCACCTCATTTTCACGACCAGCTTCGTGCCGCATTGGACTCCGTACCTTGCCATCATGCAGCCGAAGGGTACGATCTTCCCGCTGACCGTCAGCAAGGGCAACCTCTCGTTCCCTGTCACACCCTTCATCGATAATGGGATTACCGTGCAGGGCTCGCACATCGCTTCTCGCTCCGTGCATGCTCGGATGCTCGACTTCGCTGCGCGTAACAACATCAAGCCCATAATCGAGAAGTTCCCCTTGACGAAACAGGGCGTCGAGGAAGGGATGGCGCGATTGAGAGATGGGAAAGTCAGGTACCGAGTAGTACTTGTAGCATGATCCGAAATCAGTGTTTCTCGCTTTTGTAATTAACTGTATCTCCACGCCGCTCATGCTTTCGACTGGCGTCGTGTGGCGAGACATCACGCAACGATCACGGGACCGTGTTGAGACGACGCATGGCGATTGATGTGATGTGATTTCAGACTTGGTCACTCCAGACATGCATATGTTGCTCAGACAAATCTAGCAGTCAGCTCAGAGTCATAACCAATCGATTCATATTATGCAAGCAGTCATCACGCGAGTTTAGGCTTGTTCTGACGCTAGAGTCTTAAATGCATCGGGAGCATGCATGTGGGGTAAAATGATATCCTATATCATCGGATTGTACATTGACTGGTCGTTTTTTTTTTGTAGACTACAGACCGAACACATCCTTGACAGTCTTCCACTGGTGACCTGGCCACAGCGCGTTTCCACTCTTGGACGCCTCTTCGTCAGACACACCTTTGACGCCGTGGCCAGTGGTGGCCAGACCCTGGTCAGCGATGCTCATCAAGAATGCCTTGAAGTCAGCCATCTCCCCGTCCAGCTTCTCGACCGTCTCGACTTGCGCGCCGAACAGCGACCCGAGAGACCGATAGCCTGGGATGCGGTCGCCTTCGATACGCAGAATCTGGTTCTCTAGGACGGACGGAGGCTGATGGGTGAGGACATGTGCGAGATAGCCTGGGAGAAGGTGGTTAGCGCCTTGTAGATCGTGGTGGACCAGTAATTACGCACCAGCAACATCTCCGATCGACGTGGCCGACACGGGGCCCTCCGATTTGCCGATCACGTACAGCTTCTTGGTTTCGGCGCTGTAGTTCACGGCCCAAGTCACAAACTCGATGAACAGTCCATTCTGAATGTCCGCGTCAGGATCTAGAACAGAGAAGAGCAGAGAAGCACTGACAAAGATGCGGAGGTACGGCACGCCGACGCTCTGGAGCTTTTCTGGACGAATGAAAGCACGAATGAGCAGCCGAAGGACGAAAAGGGGCTGCTGATCACACCTATGATCTTGTTCTTCTCGCCAAACGGACCTTCCGTATATCCTGCCGTCGACGTGCCAAACTCAGACGGCGCGAATAGCTTGACGCCGGCTTGCTTCGCCGCGTCCACGAGAGGCGCCTGCGCAGCGATGGCCTCCGTGGTCAGCGCCGACACGATCACTTCGACTTTGTGCGCCTTGAGTGCGGCGGTGACGGCGGGCACGTCGTCGTACGACGGGACTTGGACGACCTGGACATTCGCAGGGACAGACTTCGACGCACTGCGGGAGAGGAGGATGACTTTCGCGGAGGGCTGGGCAGCGAGGGCGGCGAGGATAGGGCCACCGACAGTACCGGCACCGATCACTGCGAAAGAGGAGTAGGAAGACATTGATGGGTTGAGTGAGGGAGGTAGATGTTGTTGTTAGTGAGTTCGGTTCTCTGTTGTCCTCTGTCTCATTTCGAGTCTGGCTTTTATAACCTGGCGAGGTGGATATGGCGACATGGTTGAGAGTGAATAACCAATCGCAGAATCGATCGCGTGCGGATGGTCCAATCAAAAGATTAGATTCCTTCGACGCTTTCACGTCATCAAGTTGACGAGATGCTTCGCCCCCCTGGACTTGGTTTGCATCCTCCTTCGCCATTTTTATTGATGAAGTTTCCATCGAACAAAATCCCTTGTAGATAATTCGTATTTGGAATCCTCCTCGCACTCTGCGTGAAGGGGTATCCCCGTTCTCTCAATTGGTATTCACGTACCATCACCAAATATTGATGTAAGCGTTGCCAAATCGGGCGGGCTCTTACTCAGTGCCCGAGACGTCCCCGAACCAGTCGCCATCCCAGTCCGACGCTCGGGTGGCCTAAGACCGTCCATCTGACCAAGCGCATGTCATTTGCGCGTTGTCTGTCGCCCAGCCTAGGCAACGAATACGGGATCGCTCGGTTTGCGCATGAAATCGCACGCCAGCGGCTGACGCTCCGTTACTACTCACACAACGGGGCCAAGAAGCTACTCCCGACCCCACCGGACATACACGTGCTAGAAACTCCTGCTGCAAATGACTCGGCGCGGAGTTGGGCTGCTGCGTTCGAGCGCACGCCAATCCCTCGAGGGGCGGTGGAGCTGGCGTTCTCGCGGAGCTCGGGTCCCGGTGGACAGGTGCGATCTATTCCCAGCGCGTACACCTCCGTCCATTGAATTTCGGCCAATAGAATGTCAACAAGGTCAACACGAAAGCTACTATCAAGTGCGCTATCGGGGAGGAGTGGATTCCACCATGGACCGTGCCCCTGCTGAAGAAATCTGTGCGTCGTGTCTGAAGCACTCAGAAACGGCGACTGATGTAGCAGCCCTAGTCGTACTACGTCTCGTCCTCGCAGTCCATCCAGATCACGTCCAGCGTCCACCGCTCTCAGTCGCAGAACGTCGACGAATGCCTGTCCAAAGTACGCGCATATGCTCTCTTCGTCGAGGCGCACAATCAAGGTGGCTACAGTTCCATGCCCTCATATTGGATACATCAAGATCGCTTTTGAAGAACGAACCGTCCGACGCACAGAGGAAGAAGGTCGAGGGCCTCATCAAAGCTTCCGCTCAACGGCGGCGTATGGAGAAGACGGCTCGCAGTAATGCCAAGGCGTCCCGCAAACCTCCGCGCGACTGACACTCATGCTTGCTCGGCTTGCCCCACTGCAGCTCACACTACAGCTCAACTCAAGAACGGCCTCCACTGTGCACTGCCATGACTTGTGCTCTCACTGTCGTGCCCACATTGTGTCAAAGCTCCCTTGGCCGAGTCACAGACCGCTGATTGGGGCCGCAATCGTCTACACCAGCTGTCCTCCATGAAGCCTGGAGCTTATGTGTGGCCTCTAGGTTCCGTCGCTAGAAACTGTGCTGCAATGATTTGACAATGAATGCAACACATAGTTCAGACAACCATGACATTCTCAACAAATTGGAACTACGACGACGTACAGCCTAGGGCGAAAGACTGTAGGACCTGAGCCGACGATTGATTTGGCGTTCAAGAATCCGAAGCACTCTCGCCTGTTCCGCATCCATCACTCATGTATACAAAATCTGTGTGCGCAGGCGAAGGTGGAATCGCGACGGAATTGATGCTGGGAGCTTATCGGCCACGAAAGATCGCGCGTGAGACTCCCAGTTGTCTTCTAATTCGGCGGTTACGAGCAGGCGCCTGTCGAGTTAGTTTGATGGGCGCCTACGACTGGGCAATATGTAACCTGCGCGAAGCAGTTTCTCTTCCTCTTTACTGTTTCCTTCCTTCTGCCTCTGGTCCATGGATAAGACTCGTTTATCGGCTGCACTAGATGCCATAGATCAGAACTGGTTTGTCAATACGACTCGGCGAGCACGATGGATGGACTTGCTTGGAGATTACGCTGGGACGGAGCTTTTCGTTATCTCAGGCAAGTCCCTTACATCAACTCGCTATTCCCCGAGCGACTCATTGTCGCAGGGGAGTCACTGCTCAAGACTGTGCTGGATGATGCGCTGTTAGCCTTGGGGCATGCCGGAGGTGTGTTAAACTCAACTCTATCGACTGGGTTCCGCTCAGGATCCGACATGATTGCATGACTGTAGACCTCAGTTTCCAAATTCTTCACGCGTATTACTTGCTGGAAAACGCTCTACTGGAGTTCACTAGCCGCAACGCAAACTTCGAGATTGTGTTCTGGCAGAGTCAGTCCCCGGCTCAGAGCTGTTTCACACAGGGTTTGTACTGAACAGACGCGTAGGTGAACGTCACTCGACCATTCACACCGGCGCATCTGCGCTCGTCATTACCTCGCGGGCACTCGCACGAGCGCTTCTGTTCCAACATCTCCAAAAACTGGATGTCGTGGTCCGCCTTTTCTCGGACACCCGTGATCCTTCATGGCTCCAGTACGAAGAGGAGAGACGCCCGATGTTCGTGATGCTCCACGATGGCGGAGTTGGTGATGGAAAAGACGTCGACCGACGCACACTACTCCAGCGCATGACCATGCTGGACCTCGTCGATCGAGGTTTGTCTATCGCTTTCCTCAATGGGGTTGAGTTCCGTGACTCCAAGGTAGGCATCACCGAAACTATCAGCTCCCCGATGACCAACTCACTTTCAGGTTCTCACATTCGTCTATCATGGAGATCATCGTTCCAGTGATCACCAAGGCTTCGCCGATGCTCTCTGCATCGCCAAAGGGGCCAGGAAAGAGCTGGACGAGGCTTTGCGAGATCAGTTCGAGTCATCACTTGCGTTGAACGCCTTGAATCCTCCCATGAGTGTTCCCTTGCATGCCCAGACCGTCTTCCTGGCCCGCATAAGGAACAAGCTGGAAGACTCGGATCTCGTCAGAGAGTTGCTTTTCGTGTTCTTGACGCACGTAGTCCTTCTCCCATCTCTTCCGCTATCCGACAGGGCCCAGCCAATCCACCACTTGCATTCGCACGTGCAAACGTATCTCCTGGACACATTCCTCCCTGCGGTATTCTCTGTCCTGGCTGTCGCGCCGTTAGAAGTCGACGGGAGAGTTTTCGCGGCTCTGCTGGCTTATATCGTATCGAATCCGACCAAGTGCATCAGCGAGATTGTACCAGGCATCGAGAAATTTGCCGCGCAGTGGTCTCTGTCTATGCCGGTCTTCAGAGTCCTGCAAAGATACGCTACATCAATCTGTGATGAGAAACTAGACGTCCCGCATCCGGTTTACGAGGTCCTCCCATTTCATCATCCAGCCTTGGATACGCTCCCTCTCGTCGATGATCCCGGCTCCATGGACACACGGGATGCGCCAAGTTCGGTTTACTCCGATGCCAAACACTGGCACAACGACCAGTCGATCCTACCCAGGTATCTAGGTGGCCAAGATCGACCGGTTCTCAGTGCATGGGAGAAACAAAGACGTAACCGAGGGAATCAGTTATTCATGGTTACGCTTCAGAGAACCGCTGAGACGCTGACCGGAGCGCTGGGGACCGGGTTGCGAAAGATCTCTATTGCGCCGGTCAAGGATTTACCTCAGGTCCGACACGCCCAACCAGTGAGTCCCTGACTCATCTCGAACTACTCATGAGGTTCTTAGAAACGCTTGCCAGATAATTGTTACGCAGAAGGCGAAGCAGCAGAAAAAGTCGAAGAAAGAGTTGCTTCGCGAAGAGATACAGCAGAAGAAACTCGAAACACGGAATGATTCGTCTGGCCTCTGGTGGAAGGAGCGGTTGGTCGAACTCAAAGAACTTTCTCTGAACGAGCAAGCAGCCAAGTTTGCTCTGCTTCTCAGGAACCCGCGCTCTGCAGAACCGATGCTCGGGCTAGAGATGCATCTCTTTATGCTCGATCTGACCATCCGTAGATGGAAGGAATCGCCTTCTTCTCACGACGACTTTGCGCTGAACATGCTCAAATGCATCAAGAATATGCTCGATCTCGGACTACTCAATCCAACGGCAACGGGGATCCTGGAGGAGGTGTTCGAAGGCCTGGGCTTCAAGGATTATGCGCCTGCTATGCTCTCGACATCCCTGGACGATCGGCTCCTTGCAGACAAGCCGATCTCATTCGACTTCGTCAGGCTCTTCAGTCGTCGCCACGATTGTCAGCCAAAACTACCGTCGATGGCCATCCGCGAGAATCCTATCATCTGGCAACTTCGCGTCTTTGGCGATTACATGGATCGGAGCATGGACAGCTCGGTGGACGCACGTGTAAGCTTCTGGCCGGATGCCTGGCAGAAGCGCGTGCTGGATTGCATAGATGAGGGCCACTCGATTCTCGTGATTGCGCCAACGAGTGCGGGGAAGACTTTCATTTCATACTACGCCATGGAGAAAGTCTTGAGAGGCTCCAACGACGGAATTTTGGTATATGTCGCTCCGACGAAGGCTTTGGTCAGTCAAGTTGCCGCTGAAGTGTATGCGAGATACGAAAAATCTGTGGACGGCAGTCGGTGTCTGATACTTTCGCGGGGTCCAACAACGCTGACCGTCTGCAGTGAATCTATGGGCCATTCACACCCGGGATTATCGAATCAACGATCCGTTGCGTTGCCAGATTCTTGTGACCGTCCCCGAGATACTCGCCGTAAGTTCCTCTCCGATGGTCGCTACCATTGGTTCGCTCACTGTTTGCACACAGACTTTGCTCCTGTCCCCGCCACTCGCCAGAGTTTGGATACCCAGGATGAAATCGTACGCAAGTGCTTGCGTGTGGGTTCGAGATATTGAATGATGTGCAGGATCATCCTCGATGAGATTCATTCAATCGGACAGCAGGAAGGTGGAACTGTTTGGGAGCAGATCATCCTGATGGCTCCATGTCCCATTATGTCAGGCACTGTCCACTACTGCTGGATATGAGCTGATTTCTGCACTCAGTGGTCTCTCTGCTACGGTCGGATCGCCAGAAGGCTTCAGTCAATGGCTTGCCTCCGTTCAGACGCAACATGGATTCAGGTACAGCGAGATTATACATCCTCATCGCTATTCCCATCTACGCAAGTTCTTCTATGATCTTCAGGGTCAAACCGTTGCTTTCAATGGGCTGGATGTACACACCGATACCGGCCGAGCGCGTTTCCTGCATCCGATCTCGCTTATCCCTTACGGAACGTGGAAAATCACAGAGGACCTCGCGCTCGAAGCCAGAGACACGCTCTCTCTCTATCGGGAACTTGAGAGGTCCGAGATACCTGGACACGAAGAGCTCCATCCAGTCGTGTTTTTCAAGGGTGCCAGCAGACTTCTTGTTCAACGAGACATCATCCGGTACGAGCAAGCGCTGAAACGGAAACTCGAGGAATGCGTCCTTCCAGACCGAGACAGAACGCTCGCCATTACCTGTGGTCTCATGGACGAACATGTTCGGCTCCAACTCCAGAGCGCGCCATCCAAAGAAGCGTATCAACGCAACGTGATGACTTTATTGTCCGACCTGCATGTGAGAGGCGAGCTGGTCAGTCCTCTCTTTGTTGGTTACTGAGATGCACTCACTATTCATCTGGAACAATCAGCCTGTCATCCTGTTTAGCTTTGACCGGACAGAGTGTGAGCGGATCGCCAGGTCCATTCTTGAAACACTCGAGAGAGCCGAGTCGCTCTGGCGCGCCACTAGTCCTGTCTGGGCGCAAGATGTCAAGCGTTTTGAGAGCTGGAAAACCGGTGAGGCAGCGCGCAGAAGGAAAGCTGACGCTGCCGCTGCTCGCAAATCCAAAGTCAAATCTCGCCGGCCAGATCAGGGCAACAGCGGAGGCGACGAGCGTGATCAAGGCCCGTCTTACAATCCAGGGAGCACCTTCGATCCTAACGAGCCGTCGCGCCAGTTTACGTTTGCCGATGTTACACGGTATTCGAGACAGGATCTGGCCGAGGATATCGAGCGTTTGACATGGAGAGCGTCCGTCCCTGGGTGGGCTTCGGCCGCCCTGAAAAGGGGCGTCGGAGTGCACCACGCCGGGATGAATAAAAAGTATCGCAGCGTCATTGAGAGGTCGGTCAAGGTTATTCATCGGATTCCACGCTGAGCGCACGCAGTTTATTTCGACGCGGTTACATCAGAGTCATGATAGCGACTGGTGCGTGCATGTTCCATGCGGGGAGGCGGTTGTATCTGGAGCATCTCACAGGCACGCTTGCTCTGGGAATCAACGCTCCGGCCAAAACTACCGTGTTCTGTGGCGACTCTCCCTACTTGACAGCCTTGATGGTCAATTCTCCTCTTGACAATGCGATTAGCAACTCAATTTCTCTCCAGTATCGGCAGTGCGCAGGCAGAGCCGGTCGACGAGGCTTCGACCTGCGCGGGAACGTCGTCTTTTACGGGCTTCCCCTGGACCGAGTCCAGCGCATGGTCCTTTCAAAGATCCCGCCGCTCGGAAGCAATTTCCCGCTCACGTCGACGCTCTGTCTCCGGCTGCTGAGTATGCTCAGTGGCTCGAAGAATGCCGACTCGGCTGTGGCTGCAGTCGACAGCATTCTGAAGTTGCCGCGGATCAGCTTCGTCTCGGACATTGGGCGAGACCAGGTTCTGCATCATATGCGGTTCAGCATCGAGTATCTGCGTCGAATGGGTCTGGTGGATTGTCGAGGGCAGCCATCCCAGCTCTTCAGCTTGACGGCGCACTTGTATGTACGTACTTTCCTGTAAGCCTCCGCCTTCTCTCACACACTACGCAGTATCACGAGCCAAGTAACTTTGCCTTGGTCGCACTGCTGAATAGCGGGGTCCTGGAGGGTGTTTGCGCACAGCATTCCCTCGAATCGGCAAAACACGACTTGGTCCTGGTGCTGGCCCACCTCTTCGGCAGGCGCTACCTTTCTCGCTCCTCGCTGCCGGCCATTGAGAAGCTTGTTAAAAAGTATCCGTCGCAGGTGGTATTGCCCCCGCTGCCGCACGCGGTTCGCACAGTTCTGGTGCAGCACGACCTGCTTATCCGGGACATCTTCAGGGGCTACGCGGCGGCGTGTGCGTCCCAGCTTGGGCCCAGAGATTCCGTGCTGCCGTTCAGCAACACGGCCTTTGCTGGCCACGGCGGAGAATGCACCCCTTTCCAGGCCTATCTGCGCAAGACAGCCATCACAGTCTCCGCGCGATCGCTGTTTGTCGCCACCTCAGGACACACCGACTCGTCGTTCTCGGACACAGCGGAGCTAACGCGATCTGCACGGCACGGCCTGCATCTCAACAACAACGCTGTCCCCTCAATGGGGCATCTGGCGGCGGACGGCGAGCATGCGCTCAACGCGTATCTGCTCGACTTTTACGTGCACGGACAGAAGCGCGCGCTGGTGGATGGAAATGGGATCCGGGAGGGCGATCTGTGGCAGCTCCTCCAAGACTTTTCGTTGACGCTGGCCACCATCCGGGCGTCCTTGAGTGGAACAGATGACGAGGTATTTGGGGTCGATGCGGCCGAGGTTGAAGATGGCGAGGGCGAGGGCGAGGGGGTTGGGTCGGTTGGCGAAAAGAGCAACAGTGTGTTGGCTGTGGTGTCGGCGGTGAAGGAGGAGTTTGACGAAAAGTTCAAAAACATCTGGGCGTAGTAGGTACATACAACTCACGAGCCTCCTTGCTGCCGACGCCCATCTCCACCACACAAGTCTTCAATCCCAGGCCCCGCATCCTCTCGACCACTTGTCCGACTTTCTCAAATTCTGTCCAGCTGAGCGGACTCGATGTGTCCGTGTCCGTGTTCGAAGTAGGCTCCAGAAACCGCAGGCGCAATGCAAGCCACTGCATCGCCTTGGTCTTGACAAACTCCTCCACACCCGACTGTTTGTCTTGCGCATAGATCGTCGACCTTCGCAAAGCCGGAGATAGAGAGCGTTTTGGGATCAAGAAGTATGCCGAATGAAAAACTCTCATCTTTTATTATTATTTCTATTTCCGGCGCAAAACGGCGTTCATTTGTAGTTGAAAGAGACTGAAAAAAAGATGATTTTCTCTTTTCAAATTCTTTGTGAAGATATGAGAAGTCTATTCCTCCGCACGTTTGATGAATTAAGTGTCGATTTTTATTATCTTTTCTTTCTTCTGCAAAATCGAAAGTACTCGTAGATTGTCGTGTGGTTTTGCGCGGGACCAATACTTAGGTCCCCCTGAAATGACTAGGACAATTTGAGGCTTGAGCTGGGTGAAAATATCACATGGCATCTGATTCTAGATCGAAACATCCTTGACAGCCTTCCACTGGTGTCCTGGCCACAGCGCGTTTCCGCTCTTGGAGGCCTCTTCGTCAGAAACACCTTTGACGCCGTGGCCAGTGGTCCCGAAACCCTGGTCAGCCATGTTCATCAGGAACACCTTGAAGTCAGCCATCTCCCCTTGCATTGTCTCGACCGTTTCAACCTCCGCACCCAAGAGCGACCCGAGGGACCGATAGCCTGGGATGCGGTCGCCTTCGATACGCAGTGTCTGGTTCTCGAGGGCAGAGGGAGGCTGGTGAATAAGGATGTGTGCGAGATAGCCTTGGAGGGGGCTGTTAACGCTCTGATCACCGACCAACCAGTCAGAACGCACCAGCGATATCTGCGATAGAGGTGGCAGAGACAGGACCTTCCGATTTACCGACCACGTACAACTTCTTGGCCTCGGCGTTGTAGTTCACGACCCCGGTCACGTATTCGAGGAACAATCCGCTCTGCTTTCCCTCAGCACCCAGTCAATGCAAGACCATATGAGCCCTTACAAAGATGCGAAGATACGGGACGCCCACGCTCTGGAGCTTTCCTGAATGTATCGATGGATGAGCGAGGAGCGAGGTTCGAGAATGAGCTGAACGGACCTATGATCTTGTTCTTCTCCCCGAATGGACCGTCCGTGCGTCCTTCTGTCACGGTACCGAACTCGGATGGCACGAACAGCTTGATGCCGGCTTGCTTCGCCGCATCTACCAGAGGCGACTGCGCAGCAATGGCTCCCGTAGTCAGTGTGGACACGATCACTTCGACGTTGTGCGCCTTGAGTGCGGTGGCGACGGCGGCGACATCCTCGTACGATGAGACTTGGACGACCTGGACATTCTCCGGAACCGTCTTGGACGCGCTGCGGGAGAGGAGGAGGACTTTCGCCGAAGGCTGGGCGGCGAGGGCAGCTACGATGGGACTTCCGAGAGTGCCAGCACCGATCACTGCGAACGAGGAGTAGGAAGACATCAGTCGATGGGTTGAGTCTGTGAAGGAGATGGTGCGGTTGGTTAGGTGAATTCACTTCTCCTTCCCCTCTTAACCTCACCTTTAATACCTCCGCCGCGAGGCGGACAATGTCAACATGGTTGGGAAGTGGATAATGAACTGGCCGATCGCGCATAGATGGATGATACCATGCAGGGATTGTATTTCTTGGAAGTTTTCACGTCATTGCGATGACCAAAGTCCCTCTCCTCCTGGACCTTGCGTCTCAATTGCGCTACCAACGAGTCAGTTCCCTTGCAGAGAACTGATATTCTGAATCCTCCTATGGAATTTGCTTGGAGTTCTATGTATCTCGTACTCTTACCATTCAATATTCAATACCGACCACCAGATATTGATGCGAAGTGATGATATACTGGCACTAAGTCGTTTGATCTCTTCCTCGCTAACCGGGCCGTCCAGACGTTCGGCCGGCCGACTTCGTGCGTATGAACAAGCGTATTGTCATTTGTGCGTTGTCTATAGCTTCGTCCAGGCAACGAATGCGGCATCGCTCAATTTGTACGTGGAACTACGCAACAAAGGCTAATGATCATATTCAGTTCAAAAATCTCCTTTGCTGCCGACGCCCATCTCTACCACGAATGCCTCGAGTCCCAGGCCCCGCATCCTCTCGACCACTTGCCCGACCTTCTCGAACTCTGTCCAGCCGAGCGCACTCGACGTGTACGTGTCCGTGTCCATGTCCGGAATGGGCTCTAGAAACCGCAGACGCAACACAAGCCACTGCATCGCCTTGACATTCTCGACAAACTCCTCCACGTTCGACTGCTCGCCCTGCGCGTAGATCACACCCGGATATCCGACCTTCGCAAAGCCGCAGATGGAGAGCTCATGGGACCACTGCTGGAGCGAGCGTCGCTTCTTGGATGAGATCAGGTGGTGCGAGGTGAAGAGGGCATGGAAGCGAGGGCTGGGTGGGGCCGAATCTGCGGGTGGCAAAGGAGAAGAAGATGTTGGCGTGTCAGAGTCGCCCAGCCGAGCATGCAGCAAAGGGAGCAGGTGTATGCATAATAGCTGGTACACAGGGAATCTTGTGGGGCGATAGAGGTTTAGCGGATAACCCAAGAAAGAAGACAGCTGATCTCACTCGGATGCGAGGATCTCATCCTCGTTCTCCCGCGCAACTCCCAACCAGTGCTCCTGTTCAGCGCGCGATATGCCTTCACCCTTCACTGCCAGCAACGGCACCTTGCTGCCAGCCGGGTCTGGGAAGCGCACTTGGAACCAGACGGGCGAACGGTCTGGCTTGATTTGGATATGTGGAGGGCTCGAAGGCGCCGGGCCAACGGAGTCTATGGGGTTGCCGTCGACACTCTCCAGAAGCTGGCGCCACTCGTCCGCTGCATCGTCTATAAACGAGAGGATTTCATGTGGAAGAAGCGTGAACTGCAGCAGTTGGAGCTCCACAAGCACGTTCATGAATGGTCATGTTCAGACTTGAGCTTTGTCCGTGCTTGGCCTCCCGCTTCTCCCTTGGTATCGGAGCGCTGCCTCTGTCTGAGGATCGCGTGTTTGCGAGTCAAAACACGGCCGACGAATCGTCAATTGCGGTGTAACGTCCAAAAGAGTAGTCCGATGTAGGAAGGCGGTGGTCCCCCACTCTGTGCGACAGATGTGAGAAGGGTGCTGCGCTAGACCTAGCACTACAGCTAGTTGTGCTAACTTTGTGTGGGGAAGGACGATGCCGTGAGCCGAAGCGGCTCAAGATGCGCTCGATGATGGTGACGCGCCAAGCTCTCGTTGTTCGTCCCGGCTCCCGGCCCCGCACTTCCACGATGCGGAGCACTGCTTTTGGTCCTCGTGCGTCGAGCCTAAACCTTGCGCCTCCTTGCGCCCGCTCTTTTGAATGTCATCATGTCACATTGCTATCGTTGGACTCGGGTATCATACATACAGAAATTCAGAAACCATCTAAGCAGTTATTTCGATCGCGGCAATCCCACTCAGAACTTGGTCCGCGCGCAACCACCGGTCGTCGCTTACACTTCCGTCTCTTCTCGGGATCCTTGAGCGGAGACGGCGGATGTGGCAGGAAGGACAATCGGGGATGGAGTGGATCCGCCATGGCAGCGCGCTCAGGCTTATGGTGCGCTGGTTGGGGCGAGAACGGGGGAGAAGCCAGCTCCTCCGAGCTCTCGTCGGTGGTTTCGCAGGACAGGTCGGGGACGGACGATGAGGGCGGAACGGATATTTCCAGCTCGCAGACTTCGAAGGCACGGGGGTGGAAGTAGCTTCCCTTGGTGGACGCGCACGCCGGGGTCGCAGGATGTGTGTGGGTATGGGATCGGGACCGCGGGGCGTAGAGCACACGTCCGCCACGTTCAGGCAACGCGCACGAGTTCGCGGACACCTCGATGGGCGCGCGGTCGTATGAGTCGGAGGAGTAGGTGTTTCCCATCGATGCGAGGCGGGGAGTCGACGGGAAGCGGACATGGGGAGATATCAGCAACGCCCGGGAGCATGCTGCGAATGGAAGAGGACTGGAGGTGGTTATATCGATCTTAAGAAACTCGGGGCGGGGGGCAGCCTTGAGTATTGGCCGCGGGGACTTCATTGAGGGGCTTAGACTTGCGGCAAGTCCGACTGCTTAAAAGCTGTCAGTTGGATCATGGAGCTATAAACGTCGACTAACTCTTGGGCCACGCAGTAAAAGGGCCGGATGGGCAGAGCGAGACCGCCGGAGCCGTAAGCACAGCCCCGGGCTGTCTATGGTCCTGAGCCGTTCCCTGCCGTTTCCATGATGACCAGCGATAAGTCCTTGGAGTGGGACGGAACCGGACGGAGGCACATTTTTGACCGTTAGGGGCTTGGAGTCTCGTGCGGAGGATTCTTCCAAAAATAGAAAGATGACGTTCTTCTCGTGATCGACCGGCGGCACTCGATCAGACTCAATCAGATCGATGCAAAATCGATGCCAAGTTCTCAGCCCCCCCATGGGGTTCCTCAGCGTTTTTGGCGCTCAAGATACTTGCTCAGACGGCCAGAGCACTCGCTTGCAGCAGGATCGGAACTTTTCCGGAAACGTGTACATCGATAGAGCTCTTGTCGTGGAGCCGCCAATTCGCCGGGACGGAACTGCATGGATTCGATAACCCTCGGCACGTACCTGCTATTGTTGAGGCGCCGAAAGCTGAAGACACGGCTCCCGTTTGTTGGCTAAACATTGCGGACACGGCCTTGCGCATTGCCTCGGGGAGTCCGACGTCCGCAGTCAAGTAGATGCGCATGTCGTAAATGCGGAATGTCGGACGCAGGAGCTCGCCACCCGACCGAGGACTTGTGAGGCTGTCAGTCATGAGTCCAGTGCAACACCTCGCGCATCCAGTGGGATTTCGAACTTCGACACACCCGCGCCCGGGAATGGAAGACTTGCGGCAGCGGACGAGGAACTTCTTGTAATGTGTGATCTCGACAGACAGCAGGAAGATCTTTGTCCCAACATGCATGGATCTCACAAGATATCAAGAACGTTGGAATTCACCACCGCCCCTCAGATTCTCTCTGATTTTGTGTGCTCACAGCGCAAAACATGCACGATTGTGAGCAGAGTGACCCTCATCTTCTCCCACGTGGTTTGGGGATGATCAACAACACACGGCACTGCCACCGCTCGCTTGCTCACGACTTTTTACCTCCGACTTCCACAGCACAAGCGTGCCACCCACACCGGGATGGAGGGGCACGCGTCCACGAACTCCTACGACGCGCCACCAGGGCTCTTTCGTCTGCCCGGGCTGCCTCTGAACCTATCAGCCGCCGGCGCAGGTCTCGATCATCACCCAGCGCCGGGTTTGGACGGCCAAACGGACGCGGAGAACGCTGATCAGCCTGCCTTGCATGATACGAGCATGAACACGCACACTTCCCACACCCAGTCCCAGACGCAGTACATCTCCCAGCGCCCGTTCGACATCTCGATACATAACGATGATCGGGAGTCGTGCTTTGGGCTGCTCATACCGAGTGTCAAGGGGATCTCAAGCGTCAAGCTCCTCCGCGCATCGCCTCAGTTTAGGGTGGGACGGGATCCCGATGCGAATCACCTGTACATCCCGTGGACTGCGATCAGTGTGTGGTTCCTCGCTCCGACTGTGGCAGCTAGCACGCGTCGTCCTGACTGCAACCAGGTAGCTCGCACGCGGCGATTGACTGGAACGGGGGGGTCGTTGAGTCGGAGGTAACAATCCGAGATTTGGGGTCGGTCAATGGAACCTTTGTACGCACAGGTTTCACAAACCTCCATTTTCCCATTGACAAATGGATCTCCGCAGGTGGAAGGCCAGCGCCTCCCCCCCGGCGAATCCCGTTGGCTCACAGACGGCTCGAGAGTCAGTTTCGGCCCGGTCCGGCCCAAAGGAACCCTCCTCCTTCCCGAATATAGTGCGCTCTTCATCTCGTGCATGGATGTCAGCCACAATTTCTGCAGCCTACACGTACCGCGACCTGATCTCCGATCCGCGTGAGCTCTACACAAAGTATGATGTGTCAATCGAACTCGGGTACGGCGGTTATTCGCGGGTGTACAAAGCACTGCAACGGTCATCAGGGAAAACTGTGGCTGTCAAGGTCATCAATGCGGTGCGGAGACATTCCTCGCTTTATACAACTGTTTCGCCGTCACTGATCCTACATAATCAGGTGAAGCGCCATAATCTTGCCGCCGAAGGCGAGCTGCGCGAGATCACGATCATCAGGGCGCTGCGACATCCCAATATATGTCGGTTTTTGGACTACTTCGAAAACAAGGACCAAAGCGTCGGTGCGTTCATAGCACTCGCAAGCTGGGCAGAAACTCAGTCTCGCAGACATCGTGATGGAGTATGTCAGCGGCGGGGATCTATGGCGGTTGATATATGAGAACCAGGGCCTCTGTGCGTTTCTTCTAGAACTCTGAGCCTGGAAGACTCTGAAACAGGTCGCAGCAACCAACGAGGCTTGCCATATCATGTATCAGATATGCCAAGGCGTCGCATATCTGCACTCCCGGGATATCACACATCGGGATCTGAAGCCCGAGGTGCGCGCAGTCTCGCTCAGCGGGTTTAGCTGACACTACCCCATAGAACATTCTTCTTACAGATCAGCGTCCGCCCATCGTCAAGATCGCTGATTTCGGATTGTCGAAGAAGGCCGGCGAGGGGGTTCAGCTGAATGTAGGATCCTCGAGTTTTCTGCCCAAGACGAATTCTCATGGAAATGTACAGTCGCAGGTCGGAACACCGATGTACATGGCTCCAGAAGTCTTGCTGCGCCGAGATGTCCACCCGTACACGAAGAGCGTCGATCTTTGGAGTCTTGGGGGTATCACCTTCACCATGTGCGTAACCACTCGTTTGCGCGCGCAGAGATTGACCATGGCAGGCTCACGGCACGGACTCTCTTTCCTTTCAACGCGGAAACAGCGGACATCATGAAGATCATGCAAACGGGAGACTTGGGATGGGAGGACGATTTTGAGCAGTTCAGAAAGACGAAGCGGAGGAGAAGGCAGGGCAGAGGAAGGGAGCACAGCGATGGTTACAGTGATCGTGCGTGTCTGTTCTGCCGCGTCCTCCCTGATTCCTCACGACGGTACAGCCAAAGACTTCATCAAGGGTCTGCTCGTCTTCGACCCCACACTCCGGATGACGCTGGACGCGGCCCAGCAGCATCCGTGGCTGGCCAAGCACAGCCCCGTGTACGAAAGTGCGTACCCGGAAGACGAGGACAGCCAGAGACGGGAATCATTCGCATCCAGTCAAGGACGGTACCAGCGCAGCAGCCAGGGCTCAGACTATCCGCCCCGGATGAAGCGTGCGAAAACCGTGGACCCCTATGCGGACGAGCAACCGGAGCCTGTTTCTGCTCAGCAAAACGGGCATGGGCGATGGGCTGGGAAGATCAACGCCACGGCGATGGTGGGTGTTCCGTTCACTGCCGACGATCACGACCTGTCTTCCTCGGGGCCTGTGCTTGCGGACGACAAGGTGGGCCACGGGCCGTCTCCGGTGGTCCCATCATCGACCGTGATACGGGAGGAGGACGCATTCATGTACGGGAACGATGTCGATGCTGAGCCATCCGCTCTCCCTCAAAAGAACTTGAAACGGCAGCGCGAGGAGATGGACGAGCTGAGCGAGCTTACCCCATCGCCGTCTCCTCCGCCTCCACCCTTCCCGTCCAACCGTCGCGTCACGCGTGGCATGGACAAGGGCAAAGCCGCTGCGCTGGCCACAGGCACCGGCAATACAGCCAAGGGGAAAGTCAAGGCGCCAGTCGACGACGACAGCAAGGAGGACAAGCCGCCGCCGAGGAAGAAAACAGCGAGAGAAGCCAAAGCTCCGGCAAAACCCAAGACGAAGGCCCCCGCTCGAGGGAGGAAGAAGGCCGTTGTCGACGAGGGTTCATTGAATCTTGTGACGGTGGCTGTTCCCGCTCGAAGACGAGGGCGGAATGTTGCTGCTCCAGCACGGGAACCGGAGGCGGCTATTCAAGAGATTGAACCCGCTAGAGAAGGGCCCGCAGAAAATGATGCGACTGATGACAAGCCAAGTTTGCGGCCGGCTCGTACGACAAGGGCTGTGAAGGGAAGGGGGAAGAAATGATCTACATCTATGTACTTGAAAGGGACGAGAAAGGGAGGGAAGGAATATTGTATCGGAGATCTTTTTACATCTGCTGTCTTACTGCTTTTGTTTGCTTTGCTCATCTATGTATATATGCTGTGAGCTTTCATATGTATGATCCACGAAACGTTGGACTTGACAACCCAAGTATGTGAAGAATGATATTTGTGAGGTCGACTGAAGTATGGATTTGCATTATCCGTAATGGTGTCGGTATATGCTGTTCCTTTTGTCAAAAAATAAATGGCCATACTTACTTCAAATTCATACATATTCGGATGGTCCTCAAGAGACGATAGTATTGTTTGTAGGGTGTACAAACTAGTATGGGCAGATGTAGTGTTGAAGTAAGTACATACGGGTTGCGGCCTAAGTCGGTATACTGTAAAAGGGCGTTCGGAAAACGGTTGTAAATAGAGTCAGCTGGCCGGCTATGTTCTTGGCGGAACCTGCTGATTCTTCCTTATTGAGACCTTGCCACTGCGACTTTTCGCTGACTCCCATGGGCCATTTTCGCTGGTCTCGGCGGGTCCTCGCTGCCCGACACCGTCTTGTAATGGCGGACTCGGCGGATTCTCGCCGCTAGGAACAGTGACAGCCTCGCAGCGAGTTTTCGCTGTCTGTCGCCCTTTCGCCTTGTTCGGCGGTTTCCCGCTGCCCCGTCACCTCGATACACCGTCCACGACTTCTCGCTGCCCTCCTCCCGTTTCACCCTGTTCGGCGGACTCCCGCTGCCCCGTCACCTCGATACACCGTCCATGACTTCTCGCTGCCCTCCTCCCGTTTCACCCTGCTCGGCGGACTCCCGCCGTCTCTGCCCATCTGCGCGCTGTCTGCGATTTGTCGCCGCCCCCTCCCTCCCCTTTTGACACGTCAACGGATTCCCGCCGTCTCTGCCCGTTTGTGCGCTGTCTGCGATTTGTCGCCGCTCCCTCCCCTCTTGACACGTCAGCGGATTCCCGCCGTCTCTGCCCATCTGCGCGCCGTCTGCGACCCTCTGAATTTGCCGCAGTCGCCAAACTTTCACTGCCCTCCTCTGATTTCGACGCACCCAGCGAATCTTTGCTGCCCCTGGTGGTTTTGGTATGTCCTCACCGACTTCTCGCTGCCCTCCACTGATTTCGACGCACCCAGCGAATCTTCGCTGCCCTCCCCCACACTGGACACTGCGATGAGACTCTTTTTTGGTGTCCTCAGCGAATAACCGCCACCTTGAGCGGCTTTCCGCCACGTCTTCTGTCGCTTCCTTCATGGCCCAGCAGAAACTGTGCACGAGCACTCCGGCTATGCTGACGCTCCAACTCCTTCTTTTCCGACCTCTTCGTGCTCCTTTTCAAGACTCACTGGGCACATTGACTCGGTCGCACGAGTGGCTTGAATCGGTCCTTCCAAGAAATACAAGAAACTTCTATCAACTACGCTGCGCCTTGACTAGAATTTGAAGACACGATGAGCGTCATATGGGTTTCCGAGCGTGAGATCTTCTTGAATGGGAGACGACGGGAGGAAGAGAGGAGTGTTGGTTGGCCCGGGGGCCCCCGGCAGGTCGTCGTTGTCTGAGATACTGGTGAGATCAATGCCCCCTGCGTGATGAGATGTGAGCACGATGGTCATATTACTCATGCTGGAGGAGATAGGACCTACCGTGGACTTGCATACTATTACTAGGACCCGCACTGGAAGACCCTTCACCCGAGTTCGTATCTACCAAATACAATCAGCTTTGACCAGGTATCGAGTTGATTGAAGAAAACACACCAAAGCGATGCTTCTTGCGCATAGGATAGACCTTCCGGCTTCGATTCTCTTCGCCGCGGTCCGCAAGGATGGGTAAGTGAGAACTCATCCCAGCTTGTCGCTTGCGCTTGCGCTTGTTCTTGGGGTCCGAGTCATCAGAGTAAATGTTGCCCTCGAGGCCAGGGCATGGGGGGCTACTCTCTATCCGGAAGATTAATGCTCAACCTGATGACAGTCAGAAAGGTATGCACCTTTTTGGAAAAACCCGTCGTTGTCGTCTGATTGAACCGAGCTCGCCCACTCCTCAAGAACCTCATCTGGGATGGCGTCCTTGGCCACTGCGAACCTCTACTGTTAGACAAGTCAGACACTTCAATACTGAACAACAGACCAATGAAAAGACGATGGCGTCTGAAGTTTGCGGCAGCGCTGCCCTTGTTCTGGTCCAAAGTCTGACCGTCTGGACGGGCGCGTGGGACAATCTTCAGGTCATGACGGTCTTGAAAAGCAAGTACCCAGGGAGGTGGGTCGTCTGGGTTCTCAGCGGAAAGGCTCTCAAAGTATGAGAACGGAAGCGGTAAGAGCGTGCATAGGCTATCTATGACCTCTTGATGGCTTGCATCGCGCTTGCAAACAAGAATCCCGTTTGTGTTGTGGACAGCAAGACCGCGGTTAACAGCCTCCTGGAGATCTCTGGGACTAGGAACTGTGTTGAAGCCTTCACGAATACTCAGGGCTTTCACATTCTGTAGGCCATGTCAACGTGCAAGTGCTTTATCAAATCAGAAAAGTAGCTCACTTTTCCCCCCATCCGCTGCTCAATGAACTCGGTTCCATACGGGATGACTTGAAGAGACACAACGCGGACATACTGTCGCTCGTCACTGCCACCTTTTTTCTATTGTCCTTGTTCAGTAACGGGAGCGCTAGAGATCACTGTGTACATACGGTCTTCTTCGACTTTAAGCCTCCGACCTTGCCCTTCTTGCCACTGGTCTGTTTGGGACGAAGACCTTGGTTAGACTCTTGATGAGCTGCTTCAAGACCCCAGCTATGCCTTCCTGACACAGAGGCCAACGTGCTCTCCCCAGCAATGCTGTCAAGAATCGACTGGACTTGAGAACTGGTGCCGCCAGACTCATCAGATGTGTCAAAGAGGAGATGGTGGGAGCGACGATGATGGCAGATGCTGCAACGACCCGGATTGCTAGTGGACTCGAAGTAGCTGGTACAGGAGCACTCAGCATTGGTGGCATGGTCGTGTGCCATGCATTCTCCAATGACTTGGTTTGCGGTGGACATGGTGGATGGATTAGAGCAATTTTTTGGTTAATTGAATCGAAGGAGTTTTATAGCTGTCAGAAACACAGAAGAACACGTAGCAGAAGATGTTATAGCGGGATAGGAACAGAATTGTCAATGGAAGCAACTACTCAAACATGTACGTGATCTCGTTGAGAATGGCAAGTCCGCGGGCCCATATCTCTGCGCGTGGCTTCCAGATCGAAACAGGGAGGGCTACCTGAAGGCGCTTGCCACCATGCCTACCAGACTTCAAGATCTCATGTGTCGGATACTCTCCTCCCACCCACTCCTCAGGATATAAACCAAAACCTGCAGGAACAAGACTGCGATCTTCAGCGGCAGCAAGGGCGGTGAAGAACAATTCCATGGTCTTGTCGTCATCGAACGGAGCTGCGTGTTTTGGGACAGAGACTGGATCGTGATGGAAATTCTTCTCGTGAGCGGTCTCAATTTGACGGCGCAGTTCTCCATCGTCACTCCCGAATATTGACCCACACTCCGACTCTGCACTTGATGCACTACCGCAGTCACCAGGGTCGGGCGAAGGCACATCCTCATCGCCTAATTGGCCCGCACCAGTCTGTCCATTCTCCCGATTGAAAGGATTGCCGACCACTCCGTAATGTCGCTCAAGTACCGAAGGATGAACATGAGCATACTCATTAGGATCATAGAAGCCGTGTTCGAGCTGGCCAAGTAAGCACAGATCCTGGCAACCAACATCAATAAGTTGCGTTTAACAGAACATTGGCTCACATTTGGAGTTTGATCATGACCTTCACCAGAGATGGGATGGCAATTCCACTCCTGACAGAAATTTTCGCAATCAGCATTGATCTGGTCAAGGAAAAGATGATGGAGGAGCCAAAGATGACGCTTGTCCTTGCGGTCTAGGCTATGTAGAGCCTCCAAGCGATAGAAGAAAGCTCGCCAGCGTCTCACAAACTGCGAACCAACTTCAACCCAAAGACGTTCAATTCGTGTGTTATGAGTTGATCTGGAATATGTTCAGATACCTTCCGAGTAGCTAGACATGCCACTTACGACCCCCACATGAACGAAGCGCGTCCAAGTCCTCTTTTCAATATCATGTAGACAGACACCTTCTTGTTCTCGCCACCACGGTCTCCACGAATCCTAGATGGCAAGATGCCGTACTTGCCTACTGCATCGAGCAGGACACGAAGGACAGTAGATGCTTGGTTATTAGTGCTTGCACGCAGCGCCGTCACCTGGTGTAATCATTGACACAAGGAACGATCATGTTGAAATGGAGCAGCGCACCGTTCGAGAATACCCATCTACAAAGCCATGGATCACAATACCCCATAGGATGAGCTTGTGGTGACCGTCCACATGCCACAATGCATGTGGCCGGGAGACGCGGTACTCCTGGCGCTTCACAATACGCCGTGCACGAAGCAACCGGCCAAATCCGTCCACCCGATGTACTGCAGAGCGAACACGATGCTTTTGAATCCGAAGACCACGCTGGCGGAGATGGCCATCCAGATATCGCACACCCGAGTCGGGTTTGGCAGACTTGAAATGACGAACAAGCTCATCCAGTTGGTCCCTGCTGAGCTCCGAGAATTTGTAGCTGATCCCGAGATCGCGGAGTTGCTTGAGGAGTGTGGGACGGCTGACTCTGAGAGTTCGTGCAAGCTTGGAGATGCTGATCTTCCGCTGGTTAGACATGGCTTCATGGAGTAAGGCCGCGTTGATGATCTTCCGAGGTCGACCACGCCCTCCCGTATACACAGTCTCAACAGGTACAGCATGGAGAACCTGTACATGATCCCTGAAGGACATCACCAACCGTAGAGAGCTAACAGTAAAAAAAAACATACTCTTGTGCCATTTGGTCACACACGACACAAAGAGCCTTCATCAACTTTCCTACTGCTTGAGCTGCTGAGCATATCCAATCCATGGGTATCCCCTCCTCTACCGCGTGGTGCTCAAAGGCTTTGAGAATGGGCACCAAGTTGGATGCGACATGCTTTAGATGATAGCGGACCTGGTTGATATCAGTCTCTCGATTGAGGACAGCAAGCGCGTGTTCATATCCCAATGAAAGTTGTTGGGCAGCCTCAACAGCATTTGTCGACCAGACATGACCATCCGGTGGTGGCAGGAACAGCGGGAGTGCATGAGTCATTGTGGTGTGAGAAGACACTGTGTAGTCCAAACATCAACAATTGCGGCAAGTACGTACAAGGCTCTTACCTTTCTTTGGCAAAAAAGCTATGGATGCCCCCATCTACCTCCCGGCTGGACTTCCTGCCTCTCAAGACCACCCTGAGGCTCATACCTGGGTGAAGAATTCCCGTTACTGGTTTGCCGACGGTTCTGTTGTCATCCGTGTGGGTGAATTCGAAACGTGGCACTACGAAAAAAAACTCACCTGTCTGTACAGTTCCAAAATGTTCTCTACAAAATCCACCTCAGCCAATTGACGACACTGTCCCCGAACATGGAAGACATTCTGCACATTCCCCGCTCGACAGAAAGCCATGAAGGGACCCTGGAGTTCCCACTCTTTATCCCAGGCATCACTGCTGTCGAAGGAAACCATTTCCTGGCATGGATCTATCGACAGTGAGTGTGCTGTACTGTCTGTGTGAAGAGAGACCGACACTTGAAATCAGAGACTGGAATGCTAACGTCATCCACGATCCTGACCACAAGGAGACAATGCTCGAAGCACTCCTCAAAGTCAGTCAGCTCTGGGAGATTCGAGAGGGACAAGACTATGCTCTCACAGAGCTCACCAACCACCGCATGCCTCCTTCCCGTCGTATTGAACTTGCACGAGCGTACTCTGTTAATGACTGGGTTCCCATGGCGGTTAACGAGATCTTTGACACTGGTAGCCTCCACCAACTCACCGATCTTGATGCCCAGCGTATGGGCATGAAGACCTACTCCATCATTGCACGCGGTTTTCTTATGGTGGAGGTGGAACGTCGTCGAGTCGCAAACGTCGAGCCCCCAATGGTAGCGGACCTAGATTGGAAGTGCGCAAAGCACTCCAAATGCATCTCGGAGTGGCGGAAGTTGTGGTGGAGCCGCATTGGTCGGAAGCTGTTGCATCCCGAAACTCCGTTGCCGCTGGCAAAAGTTGAGGATGAGGTCAACATGTTGCATGCTACGCACAGTTTGAGCGAGGTATGCTTCGCAGATATGATACACATTGTTCGGGGTATCAACTTTGATTTGCCGCGGATTCAAATTGTGGATGCAGTGGTGGCAGCAATCGTCGCTCATAATGCGACCAAGGTCAGAGAGTGATACTGTATGTATTCTTGTATCTTGGCAGCTACAATGTAGGACAGTGATTAGCAACCTGAGAGAAAGGTCAACATGAGAAAGAGTATGTGCCAGCGTGCAACGGACGTACCTCATCATCCGTCCTCATCTGAGTCTGACAAGGAGTCATCATTTCATCACTCCTAAGCCCAATTATCCTTCCCAATCCTACTTGTAAACGTCCAACCGTCCTGAGTTTGCATGCGAAAGTAACAGTACAGAGAGGATGGTCTGAGGACACCAAAAAAGAGTCTCATCGCAGTGTCCAGTGTGGGGGAGGGCAGCGAAGATTCGCTGGGTGCGTCGAAATCAGTGGAGGGCAGCGAGAAGTCGGTGAGGACATACCAAAACCACCAGGGGCAGCAAAGATTCGCTGGGTGCGTCGAAATCAGAGGAGGGCAGTGAAAGTTTGGCGACTGCGGCAAATTCAGAGGGTCGCAGACGGCGCGCAGATGGGCAGAGACGGCGGGAATCCGCTGACGTGTCAAGAGGGGAGGGAGCGGCGACAAATCGCAGACAGCGCACAAACGGGCAGAGACGGCGGGAATCCGTTGACGTGTCAAAAGGGGAGGGAGGGGGCGGCGACAAATCGCAGACAGCGCGCAGATGGGCAGAGACGGCGGGAGTCCGCCGAGCAGGGTGAAACGGGAGGAGGGCAGCGAGAAGTCATGGACGGTGTATCGAGGTGACGGGACAGCGGGAGTCCGCCGAACAGGGTGAAACGGGAGGAGGGCAGCGAGAAGTCGTGGACGGTGTATCGAGGTGACGGGGCAGCGGGAAACCGCCGAACAAGGCGAAAGGGCGACAGACAGCGAAAACTCGCTGCGAGGCTGTCACTGTTCCTAGCGGCGAGAATCCGCCGAGTCCGCCATTACAAGACGGTGTCGGGCAGCGAGGACCCGCCGAGACCAGCGAAAATGGCCCATGGGAGTCAGCGAAAAGTCGCAGTGGCAAGGTCTCAATAAGGAAGAATCAGCAGGTTCCGCCAAGAACATAGCCGGCCAGCTGACTCTATTTACAACCGTTTTCCGAACGCCCTTTTACAGTATACCGACTTAGGCCGCAACCCGTATGTACTTACTTCAACACTACATCTGCCCATACTAGTTTGTACACCCTACAAACAATACTATCGTCTCTTGAGGACCATCCGAATATGTATGAATTTGAAGTAAGTATGGCCATTTATTTTTTTGAAAAAAGGAACAGCATAGTCGGTACAGTGTATGCGCTATACGTTGGCTGCTCGAGGTTTCGTGCAGACAATCTCACCGTGCATCAACCCAAACCACGCATCGGGCTGCGAGCCCCAAGCCTTCCAAGCGTCAGAGACAGTCTTGAGCCCATCCTCATCCAAAAGTCCGCGTTCGATCGCCCCGGAGGCAAAGCCCGAGTGCAGAACACGATCAGACCACAGCGAGCTCCACCACGCCACATCCTCAGGCGTGCTGTAGCACCAGGTGCTCGCCGTATTGACAATCTGCTCCCTCGCGAATCCAGCACGGAGCGCCCACGAGAACAGCCGCCGGCCCGCATCCGGCTCGCCTCCATTCGCACGCGCAAGCCGGCGGTACGTGCGGTGGGACAGATCCATGCCCTCGCTCTCGGGGAACCACGCAAACGAGGCAAAGTCGACATCGCGCGCGGCGACGAGCCCACCCGGCTTCGCGACGCGCGCCATTTCGCGCAGCGCGCGGACCGGGTCCGAGACGTGCTGCAGCACCTGGTGCGCGTGCACCACGTCAAACGTCGCGTCGGGGTACGCGAGTGCGAGCGCGTCGCCGAGCTCGAAGGTCACGTTGGCCGCTACGCCCTGCGACGCTGCGTGCGCGCGGGCGCTCTCGAGCACAGACTCGGAGGAGACCTCGATCCCGGTGACGTGCCCGTTGGGGACGAGAGCGGCGAGGTCGGCGGTGATCGTCCCCGGGCCACAGCCGACGTCGAGGATGTGCATGTCTGGTTTGAGGAGGGGGAGCAGGTAGGCGCACGAGTTTTGGGCAGTGCGCCAGGAGTGGGAGCGCAGCACCGATTCGTGGTGGCCATGGGTGTATTTCTTGTCTGTCATCCTGGTTGTGAGTGGGTATAAGTGGGAGGAGGAGGTGTGAGCATCTTATAAGTCGGGAGTCAAGATGGAACTCCGAAATCTAAATGAGCTTCGTCGGACTTCGGAGTTCCGATCTGGTGCATGACTCGGAGTCACCTCATAGCCGCCGGTTCTGCTTGAGCAATGTGACTCTAAGCTCCCAACGCAGCAGTCGTTTTGAATGCCTAAGTAATTGCATCTATCTCGCCGCCGAAGAACCGATATATGATTTGCCTTTGCTTGCTTCTCTAATCCTCAACATCCCAAGTTCATCGATCGCGGTCCCGACCCCACCTGCACGCAGTCGGCACTTGGATTGTTTCAACCTCCTCAAACTACACGCGCTGATAAACGGAAACATTCATCATTTAGATAATAAGTCTACGATATGTCACTCCAAAACTACGCTTTTACACAACGAGGACAGCGCGGTATCTGACCTTACCGTCCCTCAGCCGAGCCATGCCCTCCTCGACACCCTCCTTCGTCATCGAAAACTTCTCAATCATCGGCTCGATGTGGTTGCGCGCGGCAAAGTCGAGCATACGGCGATGGACAGAGCGGGCGGCAATAGCCGAGCCCTGGATGTTGATTCCACCCATGATGAGGGGAAGACTAGGGAAGGACAAGTCGTCCTGGCTGACCGTCAGCGGGTAGATCGTGCCCTTGGGCTTCATCACAGTCATATACGGGGCCCACGAGGGGATGAAGCTGGTCGTCACGATCAGGTGGTCGAGCGGCCGCACATTCTCGAACTGCGTCACGCCTTTCGTCGCGTGAAACTCCGACGCGCCCAGCTGCGCAGCCTCCTCCCGCTTCGAGTCGGAGCTCGAGAACACGACGACCTCCGCGCCCATCTTCGCCGCGAACATGACGGCCAGATGGCCCAGCCCGCCGATCCCGACGACGCCGACGCGCTGCGTGGGCCGGATGTTGTAGCTCTCGATGACCTCGAACACAGTCGCGCCGCCACACATCAGGGGAGCGGCGTGCTCCGGAGCGAGGTTGGCCGGGACGCGGAACAGGAACGTCTCCTCCCAGACGGCGTACGTGCCGAAGGAGCCCTGGTCGAAGCTGTGCGTGCCGTACATCTCGCGGTCCGTGCAGTACTGGTCCCGGCCTAGAGTCCAGCAAGCGATTCAGCTCCGGTTCAAGTACAATCTGGAGCAGACAGACAGACCCTGGAGACACTGCTCGCATTTGCCGCAGGTCTTGTGCGTGTAGCCCCACCCGACGACGTCACCTACGCACAGCGACGACACGTCCGATCCGATTTTCTCGACGACGCCGACACCCTCGTGACCGAGCGCCATGTCGGCGTGCTTGAAGTGCTCGTCGGTGCCGCAGATGCCAGAATGTGTGATGCGGACCAGGACTTGGATCCCGGTCGGCTCGGGGCGCGAGGTCGTGGCTTGGACGATGCCATCGGCTTTCGAGCCCTTGAAGACGGTGAATTCGACGCTCATGTTGATGTTGGTGGTGAGGGAGATGGGGGAGACAGTTATTGCTCAGCTCCATGCAAACGTTGGTGCGTTTTATATTACACCTCATAGATAGGCCGATTGCAAGCGAATGTTTTGCCGGGGTCGTTGCTGAACGAGCAATCCAAAAAACGCAGGCGGCGGCCGACTCCCCGGCCATTAAACCAGCCGGAGTCTCCTTGCATGATGTCAGCAGCCAAGAAAGGTTTCTGAAGATCTTCATGATGACGTTATGCGCAAACCATGTCACGTGTCTTGATGTGAGATTTGAACCGATTCATGGAGCTCAAATTGGAAGGCAGAAAAAGCGTTGAGTAAAAGGCAAGCAACTTGCATAATCATATATTATGAGAATTGTTAAGGCTTCGAGAGCCATAACATAATGTAGTCTACATAAAAACTCAAACCAGCAATCTAACAGTCACAACTCAACTGTAGCCAAATGCCGTTCTGACAAACAAACATTCGAAATTCAACAACACAGGCCGAGCTTCCGAGATCGACCATACTCACGAACACAAAGGCTTTTTTGACCCAACACCTGCATGGCCCGCCGCGCGGCTTCCCGGGCCGGATTCTGCATCGACAGGAATGTGGCCGAATCGAGAAAACGGATGAACCCTTGGAGGAGGGTCTGCAGAGCGGCGCCTGTGAGTGACTAGCAGCTGCGCGGGAAGTCATTGCTTACGCCGAAGATGGGATCCACGTATTCCCAGGATCCCGCATGCGCCGTCACTATCTCCAAGTTCGCACGGACTGTCGAGACGGACTGCGCGCACATGTGCTGCGCGTCTGCCGCAGTCAAAGCATACGAATTGAGCAGCTGGAGAATGGCGCAGTCGATCATCAGGTGCGTGAGCAGCGACATTTGTACCGTTGGAGAGGCGGTTTCGATGTCCGGGAGATAGCGACGGAAGGTGACCATGCGCTGAGAGAGGATGAACAGATCATCCGAAGTCAGAGGCTCTGCAGAAGTTACAGAATGATCGTATGAAAAAGTGCTAAATACGCACTGCGCGAAAGTGCCATGCTGCGTTCAAAGAGGATGGATGCCTTGACGAGAAGTGTCAGCGCCGACTGGCCAGTTACGTCGTCGTCTGCTGGCAAAGATTGCATCCCAGCAACAGAAGCCGCCTATAAGCAGTTTAGGTTCCGCAGTTGCATAGACAATGACGTCCTCACCGTTGGCCAGGGGGTACTGATCGGTGCACCATGGGGGATGAGCGAGGGCACGCCAGCCGCACACACCCAATAACAGTTCAAGACGACCACGCTCCAAAACGCGTTGTGCAGCTCGAATGTGCGCGCCCCCGACCGCACGATCGGGGCCGTGCGGCTGACACCGACCGGATCAACGCTCTCCTGCGATCCGCCAAGGAGGTGCAGGCGACCGGTGAGAACGAGCGACGTGGCCGCCGCGCAGTGCAAATGTCCCTCCGTCTGTCTCCCGGTCTCGAGGAAGTAGAGCGAGAGCAAAACTTCCGTTTGAATGAGACTGAGCATCTCCGGTGCCGCATGAGACCGCGTGCTATCGAGCTGGCGGGCGGCGTGTTCGGCTATCTGTGCGAGAATCTGGGTGATACGGTAGGGCGATTCGGGCGGACGTGTGTGCGAGTTGAGATGGGCCCAGAGATAAACGATGTACCCTAAAGGTCGGAAGCTGTTCTTGAGTGTATGCGTGTCGATAAAGCAGAACTGAGTCGCTGAGAACTTGAGCAGGAAGTCATTCAGGCTGAGAGTCCAGTCATCAACAGAGCGTGGAACTCATTTTGTAAAGCTTACATATCCTGCGTGAGCTTGACGTCGATCTTCGCGTGGCGAGTCAGACTGAGATCCCATCGATCAAATGAAGCGCACGACTCGCCTCACTGTCGTCGTCATTGTCACCGTCATCGACTGACCGTCCACCCGTGCTCAGCTCCGTCGCATAGAGACAGGGAGCTCCGTCTCTGGGCGGATGTCGGCTGCATCGGGTACACACTGGTCGGAGCCCGTCGCATCCCTAAGTCCCCAAGTCGTAAGTGATCGATCATGCAGGCAGTCTAGACGGACGCACAAGCTTTCGGCGCCTTCGGACAACGCGCGTCAGCACTGTCTCCCAAAAGTGCACAGGGGATAGGGGAGACGCACTTGCAGTTGGAACACGATTTCTGGAGGTAAGGACCCCGCGTTACACGCGTCGGATTCGCCTGGGCGCTCGACATGCTAGGTCACTGTCGCGGGCCGCTCTCGACATCCTGGCCTGGCTTAAGAAACATCGCCAGTCCCCCAATGACGCGGCACCGTCGACAGAAATGAGTCCACGGTCTTCCCTGGCCATTGGTCGACGGCAGGAGTAGCCCGCAGGCCCGAATAAACGTTGTGTTTGAGCTCCCGTTGTTTCGACTGTCCGGGGGTGTCGGCCGCGAGAGGGAAGAAATGATATCAACTGATTTGTTGCCTTCCTGCAGCGAAGTAGGCGCGATAACGCAGCTGCAGGTGCAGAGAGATACGTGTGGGATAGCAGAGGCTAATAGCAGAGCACAGAGCACGCGTCTGGGGCAGTGCTGACATGCGAGCGTAGTCCTGATGGTAGCGGAGGCATTTTGAGCGCCGGCCACGCTGTGAAACATGTGTGTACATTGACGAGGTTCTCCGTGTTGTCCGAGAGCAAGTCTATCTCGATTCTCAGTGCGTGAACACGAGCAGCCCTCTGTCTGTGATAATCTCATCTTGAGGTGACCCGCAAGGCCGGCCTTATCGTCGACATGTATCAAGTCCATTATATTGGTTTTTGGCCAGTGGATCGACGCGCCAATCTCGCGCTTGGAGATGTGAACTTGAGTAATGGGCAACGCGGGAGGAGTGAAGAGGTAGGATGGCGATGCAAAGGGAAATGATCGCATCAATCTTTGCTTACCGAAGCTTGCTCATCGCCTAAATTGCATGTACTGTCACTGCGGGGGGATTTATTTTTTTTCTGTGGAAAATGCGTGACAATCTAGAAGTCCGATTTTCACCGTTATGTTTTCAGACAAAAAATATATATTGAAAATAGACGTCGATTTACAGCTCGATTTTTACCATGAATAGACATCTATTCCTCCCGAAAACAGAACTGTAAATAGATCATCTTTTTTTGATCGATTCCCACTGGGAATAGACGTTGATTTTCACTGAAAATAGAGACAAAGAAAAGATGATCTTTTTTCACTGAAAACAGATTAAAACCACTGGAAGAATCTGTTGATTCCGGCCCCAATTTGCATCCCTGGCCTTGCAAAAGGCTACTGGATGCTACTCACAACATGCACTTTGGGGGGACTTATTTTTTTTCCATAGAAAACGCATGACAATCTAGAAGTCCGATTCTCACCGTTCTGTTTTCAGCCAAATTTGGCTGAGAGTCTGGCTGAAAACAGAACGGTGGGAATCGGACTTCTAGATTGTCACGCGTTTTCCACAGAAAAAAAATAAGTCCCCCCAAAGTGATGTTGGAATCATGCTGCAGGACTTGTGCTGTGAATTGGGGCCAGAATCAACAGATTCTTCCAGTGGTTTTAATCTGTTTTCAGTGAAAAAAGATCATCTTTTCTTTGTCTCTATTTTCAGTGAAAATCAACGTCTATTCCCAGTGGGAATCGATCAAAAAAAAGATGATCTATTTACAGTTCTGTTTTCGGGAGGAATAGATGTCTATTCATGGTAAAAATCGAGCTGTAAATCGACGTCTATTTTCAATATATATTTTTTGTCTGAAAACATAACGGTGAAAATCGGACTTCTAGATTGTCACGCATTTTCCACGGAAAAAAAATAAGTCCCCTTGCAGTGTGTAGTGCTGGGAAGGATTCCTCCTTGTAATTTACATGTCATTTGCAAAATTTACAGAAATTGTCCCAATTTGGTCATAGAATATGGTAGCCAAGTGTCATAAATTGATCTCACACTGCCTACGAAGACATAATGCACTTGAATGTCTGTCCAACTCAAGGAGCAAGATAGCCAGAAGGACTTGCATGGGTGTAACTTTCAGCATCAATGCTAGAGAAAGGGAGCCTGTTTGTGGACCTGGATGGCACATGACAAAATGTACAAATTATATCATATGCTGCAGTAAATTATGCTAGATTTCAGGTATTTCTTTGGCTGGTAGGCCCAGCAATACAAAAAAAAAAATACAGACACTCGATATTTTATTGCAGACCCTCTGGATGAAGATGTAAATTACGACCCAGATTAGGAACATGGAGGCCACGTACTCCATCAGATTATCTGATATGCAATCAGGTATTTGTGATTCCATCGATGTTACAGCTGGTTGCAAATGGCGAGGCCACCGTCCCTCATTCTCGACGTGATGGGAGGTGGAGCTGTTGTGACATGCCGCCATTGTCGGGTAGCTGTGACTCAATTTTTTCCCAGCTATTCTTGTGAGTTAGGCGCCGGATTCTCATCGGGCATACCCAAGAGGTACTATAAATGATGGTAAGACAACCTGGGCAGTTCAAGATTGCTGGAAGAATAGTATTCATTGTAGTAGACAAGAGAAAATGAACTTGCACTGCATGGAACATCAAGCAATTGCACAGCGGGCCCCGCTTGCCCACCGGCCCCACCCCCTGGCAACAGCAGCATGTCACCACAGCTCCACTTCCCATCATGTCAAGAATGCAGGACGGTGACCTTGCAATTTGCAACTAGCTGTAATATCATGTCTGCTCCACACTAGAAAGTGTCGGCTCCGCCAACATCATGCCTTGATACTTGATTACGGTACACTATGGTTGATTTCAAATCAAGAGGTAAGAGCAAGAATGTACAATTAGAATGAACAGAAAGGAGCGGATAGCCAATGCACGTACAAAAAAAATGTCCCTGTATACTGTACTAACGCGACCGTAGAGTCAAGTCACCGGTCACCGGGACCTCTGACTTGACTCATCTCAGGGTCTGTCACCGGTCACCAGCCGGCTTGACTACTGACACACTTCATTCAAGAAAAAACATTTTTTCAGACAAATTTTATTGAATTTAATTGCACTTGAGCTACTTGCTACTGATTGTGTACAATGTAGTTGATAAATCCACCAAAGAGTCGACCGCTTGTGGCCCATCAGATGCGCTCCCGCGACCATCAGCTTGACGGTTCTTTGATGGGTGTCACCGGTGACCGGCAGGCTTGACTGATGACATGTTTTGTTGACGCATGTCACCGGCTACCCCCCTTGACTCTACGGTCGCGTTAGTACAGTACATAACCCAGCAAAAGCACGGCGGACGTGTAAGGAGTAGGCACAATCAGATCGGATCAGATTCTGGAACAATTCCATCTGATTTGTGTGCAAGAATTCAGGGTCTGGAGAAGCCTTGACAAGCAAGGCAATCATCACATGGTCATGTACTGGGGATTTTTCAACGTCTAGTTGTATCTGGGTAGATGATAATTGTAGGATGAATCAATTACTTTTTTCTTTTCTCGTGAGTAGAGTAGTGGTAGATTTGAGCCACAATCAATCACAGAAGGTTGAGGACAGCAGCTTGTATGACCGACTTGGACTCCTCAATTCTCACTCCTTATGCGAATTGCCAAATCAATGCTATATAAGTTGCCCCTCGTGGGCACTGCAACTCATTTTGCACTCTAGGAGCTCAATCACGTGGCTTAGGAACTAGCTTTGACCAGGTTTCATTGCAGAAACTGTTCATGACGCTCGGGAATAGCGGTGCACCAGGGCCGATGCACGGCGGGAGGATCGGGAGCCATGTCGGTACTAGATGTAGTCCGGCCCCAGCAGTTGATGCCCAGAATTTCGATTCGTATATTGGCGCAGCACACGTGGTCCCGTGACCGCGTCGCCGAACTGATCGTTTCGACCTCAGTCTTGTGCCGCCGTGCACCTCTATCGTGCTCTGGTGAAGCCCCACTCTGTGCCTCTCTTTCTACTACTCCAATGACCGACTCTGCGGAGAGCGATGGCATGCACCAGTTTGAAACGGGACATCTTGATTCCCCTCCACCCACGATCACCCACACATTATCAGACGCCTGGGAACGCAGCGCACGGCATGGATATAGATCGTGTCTGCAGATCAGCATGACGCCCAGATTTTCCCCTCTGTTTCGCCGAGATGCTTATGCAGGCGGATGCCTACCACGGTCTTTGCAGTCACCGTGTCCAGTACTCACGCATCTTCTGTCGCTGTCAGTGTCAGTCCTGAGTCCGGGCGCCGAGTTTCTGTAAATCGTCGCACGGCGCTGCTTCGACCGCACCTGCTGACCACACGCACGGCACCACAGCTCGGGACATTCGTTTCGTTTCATTCGTCAAAAATAACAATTCGTGGTGTGTTGTTGTTGTTGTTGTGTGAGGTGAGTATAGATATAATGTACGGTACGGTACCAGAGAGAGTAATTCGGCGGGGGGATATGTGCTGGTGTACAGGCCTGCGTTCATCTGCGGGCAGTATTCAATTTGAGGAGCGAGAGAAGGGCGATGATGTGTTTGGACACCCACGCCTTGACTTGAGCCAACAGCGATACGGGGACCGCAGCGACGCTCAGGGAATTAGAGCCCTTGGAAAGCGTGCTGGCGGTGCTCATCGCATCAGTAGCCAGCTGCTTTAGGGTGGGCGGCTCCGGCGTCAGACGTTCAGTGAACCACTGCGACGGAATCACCGTCAGTCTGAGCAAAGCGAAGTAAAGATGTGTGGTTGGGTAGTGCTTACTTGGGCAACAAAGCCGGCAGATTCCTTGGGTATCCGCTCCTGGGTCTCGTAGTCGACATAGACAACACCGAACCGTGTAACATAGCCATCGGCCCTGCGCGGGTCAGATTTCCGATCGGTGCTCAGTAGCCAAGGACATTACCATTCGAAGTTGTCAAGCAAACCTGACAGAGCGTCAGCAAAATGCGGAACGTTCCGAAACCACACTCACTCCAGGCCAGATAGCAGCGCACGTCGACCCCATCGTCGTGGATCGCAGATTGCAGAGACGCAGTGACACCCCGGTAATAGTTGACCCGGTCAGTATCTTTTATAGCCTCCTCCCTGGTTTTGAAGCTCTCATTCTTGACCGCAAAACCATTCTCCGTGACATAAAGTGGCGTGCGGTACCTCTGGAACAAACATGAGATTGTAGTCAAGGGCCAGCTGATGCCAGCACACTCGCCTTCCATAGGTAGTTCAGAAGAGCCCGGAATCCCTGGGGATCTGAGCATCGCTCAGCGGTGTGCAAACTCAGGCAGAAGATATAAGAAGCATACAGTCTTGGAGCCATGCACAGTGGGCTGGGAGCGTGTCAGCGCATGTGAACGGCGTGGCACTGCTGGATGTACGCACCTTGGGTCCCGAGTTGGGTGCCGTCAGGACGCGTGAAGGTGTAGTCGACCAGACCCTGGAACTCGTCATCTCCACCGGCACGGCAGAGATTGGTCGTATATGTGTTCATCCCGTAAAAGTCAGATGACCCTTTAACGACCAGGAGCTCAGCGGGAGTAAACTGGGGAAGACGGTTTCCGAGGACTTGCTGCATGTATGCTGGATAGTGCCCGAGATAGATGGGATCCTGCGTTCAGTCAGTCAGTCACTCGGTGGATATTGCGCCAGACAGATCACGCACAGCAAACCAGCCTGGATGCAGAAACGTCGGAAGTCAGCATGAGCAGGTGATCAATCGGCGCCACCTACCAATAGCAAAGTCGAGCGCGTGTTGTGCAGCATCAACGTCTGCGTGGGACCGTCAGTAACAATGATATTACAGATCCCCCTCCCCCTCTGCGCAAGGCTTCACTCACTTTCCGGCGAGTCGTCGTACGGCATTTGCCAATCCCCATTCAGCGTGATCCCGATTTGCCCCCCTTGCACGGCTTTGTATTCCTCCCGGTACAGCTTGGCCGCATACGCATGGGCAATGATGACGCTGTGTCCCACACTGCAAAGTCTCAATTCGAGAATCGTGCCCGGCGAGGCAACAGCACTCACATCCACGGCTCCGTCGACGAGTCACCTTCCGGGGACCGAGTTCTGTCGCTCGAGCGACCGGGCGCAAAGACACCTCGTCCGTAGCCCAGGATCGAGATGCACCAAGGTTCGTTCATTGTGAGCCTACATTCATCAGTCAGCGGATGCCACAAGGCCTAGAGCGGAAAAGTTCCACCAGTGCTTCACGCGGTCGCCGAAGGCCTCGAAACAAACCTTGCGATCGCGCAGTAAGAAACGGATCTGTTGGGAATCGAGATGCGGACATACCCGTGCATAGTTGACATAGTCCTTGACGATCTCGTCCTTGTTTAGCCATCCGCCGTACCGGTCATGCAGGTTCTGGGGAAGATCCCAATGATACAATGTCTGCGGGAGCACAAAATGAGAGGCGCGTCAGAATGAAGAGCTCGTCGCACGCACCACAAACGGCACGATACCGTGCGCGAGCAGCGCGTCAATCAGCTTGGAGTAGAACTCGATTCCCTTGGGGTTCACGGGATCGTCCCGTCCGCCGAGCGGGATGATGCGCGACCAGGCCAGGGAGAACCGGTACGTTTTCACGCCGTGCTGCGCCAGAATCGCGACGTCCTGCTCCCAGCGGTTGTACGAGTCCGTCGCCACGTCGCCATTCCGCCCGTCCGACGTCTTCCCCGGCGTGCGCGAGAACTCGTCCCAGATGGAGGGGCCCCGCCCGTCGACGTCCGTCGAGCCTTCGATCTGGAAACTCGCTATCAAGGCTGGTAAGTCCCAGTGCGTGGATGACGCGTCCCCCCGCGCGTCTCCTGCGCGAATGCATTGCTGGTAATCGGCCCTTGACCCCGGGGGTAACAATCTCGGTGGGAAGAAGGGACTGACCCGTGGCAAAACCCCACAGAAAGTCGGCGGGCAGCTTGCGGATTGCGGGAGCGGCCATGGTGCTGGATATGGAAATCGACGATGTCGGTTTGTGGAGACTGTTGCGCAGGAGGTGGCGGACGAACAGAGTGCGGAACGAGAGCTAGGGCAGCTTCGAGTGGCACGAGAGCAGGCGCAGATGAGGATATGCTTTTTCGCTGCACTGGATGTACGCACATAATCAACCACGGGAACTAGCCAACCAATCGATACCAGTGATGGCAGAGAGGAGTCGGACTGAATGGAGGCAGACAGTCGTAGTGGACATGGGCGAGGGCTGTCTTAAGAGACGGAGAAATGAACAGCACTGATCAACGCGTTCCTCCGACATTCCTCCGGCCGTAATGCGCTTCTCGCCTTCATGCAGACGCCACACGTTGTGGGGATATTTCCGGGCAGGTTCGCCTCACGCGTAGATCACGTCGTGGCTCCGTCTCTAGGCTACGTGCCGATGGTGTGCTGGGAGTGGGATGCGGACATTCTTCGGCGTCTCTCCCCACATCGGCTGACCGGTCCGAGCCGGTTGATTTTGATGCCAGGCGTCGGCTGTCCGCGGTTTTGTGGGGAAAGTCGATTCTTTGCGTACTTCCGACTCCATCTTGAGGCGCACTCAACGCAATTCCAACCGCTTTCTGCCTCTATCCGACCAGTCGCCAGATTCCCGTCTCTTTTTGAATTACACACGTTCCTGAGCTCGTGTGTGCGCCGGGGCCTGCCAAGCTTCTTTCGGCCTGTGAATCAAACCCAACGAATGAGATGCACATAAATAGACCCGTGCCAAAAAGACTCAGACAGATCCGGTGGCCTCCGGTGGGCTGCCGGATCTGTGACAAGCATCACCAATGCGCCGCGATGTGGGTTCATTATATATCCGATATGGACATACAGGTCACTTTGAACAAAACTACGCAATGCGCTTCCTTGGACAATGAGAAACCGTCTCGGCGGCTCCGACCGGAGGGATTTAATGGGGTGATTCGGAAGTCGCCGCTCGGACCGCAGGAAGAAGGGCGCGGTGGCTCAGTGTCTGCGAGTTTCTCCGGACGGCCCCCCTGCTAACGCCTGTCGTCCGAAGTAGCAGTAGCAGCAGCAGCAAGCGAGGTGTGCTGAAAGACACAGCTGTGCTTACCTCACTCCTCCGGGTCTTCGGTGCCCGAGATTTCGCCTAAAGCCTCTATGCTCCATGCACGACTCGTAACCCTTACAGCATGTGTTGGATCAGGCACGAGGGGGTTTGTCGATTCGGGGGTCAGTTCTGGTGCGCCCCTCGTGCAGTCTCTTCAGCAGATTTTCCCCGCCTATCGTAGCGCATTGTTCTTGATTTAAACACGAGTTACGCTGGAAGGACAGAGACAGTTTTGCGCGATTGAGTCTTGGCCTTGGGGATACCGGAAACAATCTAGATAACAGACAGAATGAATTATGAAGAGATCAACCGGTTGCAAACGGAGTGATGGAGCGGATGAAGGCCTTGGACTTACCTCAGACTTCTCCAATTGGAAAGGGACAAGAAACACGTGACCGCGTTAAGCGCGCGTGAAAAAGTCACATTCGTATCTCAAGAGGCCGACATGTAGCTAGTAAGTTGACCTGACAGTATTCAAACTCCACAAGACGTGAACGATAGCTAGAGCCCGCAGGTCCTCAGGAGGTTAGAACTCGGAGTTTTTTTTACTCCACGAGGGGTGGAGGCCGAGGAGCGATCTTTCGTGATCCCTGGTTTTCCGTGTAGTAAGTTGATTGACAGAAATTTGAGTCCTCAATCATGATCACAATAATAAAGAGCCAAGGTCTTGAACCCATGAATTGTGGCTTTGAAACGACACCGGTCGAGCTCCTACGGTATGTGATCTTCAGATCTCACGATCCAGAACAATACCAACTGTTCTCAATTATTGACAAAGCACTGACGGAAGGGGCAAAGGCAACATACGATACAGGATACCTGCAATTGTTGTAGTGATCGATTATCTCCACCATGTGGGATCTGAAGACGATGCCAAACACTCCGCAACAATTACGCTCCTTCAAAGTTGGACGCACGCTGCAGGCAATAGCGTGCCCATGGGCCAACGTCGTCCGTCTGGCGAGAGCAGTTCAAAGTCGGGCAAGCAGCCGATGTATCAAAAACGGGCGACCTTTATCACCGGTACGTTAGGTCAGCTGCGGGAACTCGCCTTCTGCAACTGATTTGCTGTTGCAGGAGACAGCCCAGGGAGGGAGTGGCACAGGGACGACTCTCCGTACTCCCCGGAGCGCGACGAGCGGATGTACTCTCCACAACAACAACAACAGCACTATCGCTTCTCTCCCCCGGCCCATCACCCACACTACCCACCTTCAGCTGATTCGCGGGCAAGCCCGTACGCGCGTTCGCCCCAGAACGACAGCATGCTCCTAAACGGAACACACTTCTCGGACGACGCAGGACTGGACGGGGAGGTGGCGGTGGATCCGGCTACGCCGCCGCTGGCGTACTGGTCGTCGAAGCGGCATACGAGTTGTGGGAACCCGACCCCACCACCACCCTGGTCGGCGAAGACCATACCCTGGCGCGGCAATGGGGCGCCCGGGAGACTCAAAACCGCCAACGCCGCGCTTGTGCTCTGCCTCAACATCGACGTCGACCCTCCGGACGTGGTCAAGACGAACCCGTGTGCGGTGCTAGAGGCCTGGGTCGACCCACACACGATGCCATCGCAAAAGGCGATGGAGGTCATTGCGGCGAACTTGAAGCTTCAGTTCGAGGGGTTGAGTCTCAAGCTGATGTACAAGGCGGTCCAGGATCCATCCTACGACGATCTGTGGCGGACTTGTCAAACTCTGCGCAAACAGGCCAAGGAAGACGCGGTCTTGTTCCACTACAATGGGCACGGGGTACCGAAGCCTACAGCGAGTGGAGAGCTGTGGTGCTTCAACCGGGACTACACCCAGTACATCCCCGTTTCGTTGAACGAAATACAAAGCTGGCTCGGCTCTCCGGCTATCTACATCTGGGATTGTTCGGCCGCGGGCCATCTGCTGAGCAACTTCAACACGTTCGCCGAACGCCGAGACCTCGACGCGAGAGTGATGCATGGGGGTCCATTGGACGGATCTCAGCCGTTCACTCATTCGCTGCAGCTTGCGGCATGTGCTGCCTACGAGCAACTGCCGTCGTGCCCCGAGCTTCCCGCGGATCTTTTCACCTCGTGCTTGACGTCCCCCATCGATATGGCCCTCCGATACTTCATCATGCATCACCAGCTGCCGAGCAATATAACGGCAGATATGGTCATGCAGCTCCCCGGTGACCTGAAGGACAGGAAGACACCCCTCGGCGAGCTGAACTGGATATTCACGGCCATCACGGACACCATCGCATGGACCACCTTTTCGCGCGAGACTTTCACCAAACTCTACCGATGTGATCTTCTCATTGCGTCTCTCTTCCGGAACTTCCTTCTCGCCGAACGGATTATGAAGAATTACCAATGCACGCCCCACACCGAACCCCCTCTGCCACCAACCAATACGCATCCCCTTTGGGCTACCTGGGACCTTGCCGTCGATGCGTGCTTGCGTCAACTTCCCGATCTGCTCTCCAAACGTGATTCAAATACCGTCGTCCTCGACTCGACCGTGACAGTCACGTCACGACCAGGTCGCATCGGGCAGAACTCGAAGGCCACTGCAGACAAGGGCTATAATTATACTCCCAGCCGATTCTTCGCCGACCAGCTGACCGCCTTCGAGGTATGGATTTCTCGCGGGGGGGCTGCACTCACCAAACGAGGGCCCATGTCATTGCCTGCATCTGCAGAGTTGGACGAAAACGTCAATCCGCTGTCTGAGACGGAGCCCGTGAAGGAGTCGCATCTCGTTCCGCGAAAGCCGCCAGACCAGTTGCCGATAGTGCTGCAGGTCCTGCTCTGCCAGCCCCATCGGCTGCGTGCTCTGATTCTCCTGTCCCAATTCGTCGATCTCGGACCGTGGGCTGTCCACTTGGTACTCACCATTGGCATCTTCCCGTACATCAGCAAGCTGTTACAGGCTGCCGGCCCCGATCTTCGGCCCGTCCTGATCTTCATCTGGGCTCGCATTCTTGCTGTCGATCCGAGCGTGCAGGTCGACCTGGTCAACTCGACGGGCTATAAATACTTTTCGAATATCCTCGGGGCACGAGATGAGCCGTCCTTCAAGAATGTCTCAGAACACAAGGCCATGTGCGCTTTCATTTTGGCCTCCGCGGCGCGTGACTACCGACCAGGCAAGTGGGGATACGATCTCAGGGCTGTTTACTGACCCGATCGATAGGCCAGGATGCGTGCGTGAGTGCCCGGGTACTCAATTTCTGCTTCGAGAAGCTGGACGAGCCAGACTTTCTGCTACGACAATGGAGCGCCTTGTGCATCGCCCAGCTGTGGGAAAGCCACGACGAGCATCGTGCTGGGGCGGTGCAGCAGGATATGACGACCAAATTCATTCAGCTGCTTTCCGACGACTCGGTCGAAGTTCGATGTGCATCGCTGTACGCGCTGGGCACTTTCATGGGCGCCAGCGGATCGTCGAACCCCGATAAACGTGGCGGCGGGGCTAGTGGACGGATGGCCATCTTCGAATCCAAGATAGACCACTTCAAGAGCGAAGTGGCGCTTGTGACTGGGATCACCCTCGCGGTCAAAGACGACGCGAGTCCCATGTGCCGCAAGGAGATGATCGTTGTCCTGAGCTGTCTCGTGAAGGAATATCGCGGATATTTCGTCGTCTGTGCATGGATCTATTATGAAGAGGACCGCCATCGGATGGAGGGCAAACTTTCGACAGTGACAGACGAGGCTGTCAAAGACTGGTTGGCCCAGTTCCCGGTGTCGGAACAGAATGAGAAGCGGGTCTATCTGTCTTCCTTCTTCACGCTGTTCGTCATCCTGCTCGACCTGTCTGTCGACCCGTACCACGAAGTGGCGACGAATGCACAGACCGTGCTCGACTACATCATCGCCCTTCTGCTCGATTCGCCCTTCGCGCGGATATCGCCCTCGATCCACTTCCCTCTGGCATTCTCCGGAAACCGCAAGCGCACGAACTCACACGCTTCGACGGTGTCTGGATCCCCGATGGTACCCCCGCTGTCTCCTGTCCCGCGCCCGGCGCTGTCTCGAGCGGATACCATGACGAGCACGATCTCGAACGGCGTTACCAATACGCTGCGGCGCACGTCCTCGTTTGCCAGTGCGCTCAAGTCTCTGGTCGCGTTTCCATCTTCCGAAGAAACCCTGCACGAGCCGGTCGAGCCCCCACCACCCGGCGCCGTCTCCCGCCCCCCCTCGCCGACGCTGAATCTGGCCAAGTATGCGTCGCCGTACGCGGAAGGCTATGCACCAGCGGACCAGAACTGGAGCGCACCGCCGTCGCCGCGGTTCAGCGACGCAGCATCCGACGTGACGTTCCACGCGTGGAACGTGATCGAGGCGCTCGTCGAGGAGGACATGGAGCGGCTCAGGGCACGGCGCAGGACGGGCCCCGGGCGGCGGGGCCACTCGCACGGTGGGCCGGGGGCGAGCCCGAGCAGCAGCTTCTCCTCGATGGACTCGACGGCGAGCAGCGTCATTTTGGGGCTGGGGACCGGGACCGGGATGGCTGATGTGTTGCCGCTGAAGAGCACGTATTTCGATTGGTGCACCGAGTATTTTACCGAGCCGCAGATGAGGGTGCGTTCTTTCTCTTGCTTTTATCATTTGGGTGTCTTACTTTTCGGTTTCAGCAAGCGGAAGCTGACGAGCCGGGGAGCATTCAGTACAACTACCAGATGTGGAGACTGAGTCGCAACGATCTCCTGATCGACCAGACGCGGAGACACATCGATGTTGCCGGTGCGTAGTCATGCGCTTGCGTGGTCATGAGTTTCTCTCACCTATTCTTACACGCAGAAACTAGCAAGTGGAACAAGGTGGTCAGATCGCTGCCTGTTTCAGGACATCCTACAACGATCAAATTCCATTCCTACGACAAACACCTGTTCGTCGCAGACTCGACTGATGTCGTGAGCATCTGGGACTGGTCGCAGAAGGACCGCTCGCACATCTGCTCGTTCAGCAACGGTGATCCGGCGGGTGTGCGCATCACTGCGCTAGATATCATCAACCAGGACATGGGCGGGATCATTCTCACTGGCTCGTGTGAGTTGTTCACCTGTATGCCTTTGCGGTAGATGCTGAATTCGCAATCTGCAGCGGATGGCATGATTCGGCTGTACCGGAACTACGACCCCACAGTCGACCAAGGGCCTGTCCAGATGGTTAGCGCGTTCCGCGGGCTCAGCGATGTTGTGCCGGTGCACAATGGAGCGGGGCTCGCCATGAATTGGAAGCAGTCGACGGGGATCCTCCTCGCTGGTGGCGACTCGCGGATTATCAAAGTCTGGGATGCGCAGACTGAGACGCCCGTACTGGTAAGTGGATGCGACGGTCTGTTCTGCGCGGATTCTCACGACTCGCGCAGGATCTCGAAACGGCTTCTGGCAGCCCGGTGACCTCCATCGCATGTGAGCAGGCACCGACGATGCAGGCGTTCCTGGCAGGTTTCGGCAACGGCGAAGTCAAGCTGTTCGACCCGCGGCTCGAGGAGGACGCGTGTGTCGTGGCGACCTTCAACGAGCACGAGTCGTGGGTGCAGAACATCCGGCCGTATGCGGGGTCGCCGATGCAGTTCCTGTCCGCGAGCCTGGACGGGAAGGTGAAGCTGTGGGACCTGCGCAACTTCTCGCAGTCGCTGCCGCTGCCGCGGCTGTCGAGCTTCACGCAGGAGATCCACGCGGACGGGCTGGCTGCGTTCGACGCGCACTCGACCGCGCGGGTGTACGCGAGCACGTCGGCTGTGATGCCGTGGTCGTGGAAGACGCAGCGGCTGACGGTGTTCAATGCCGAGCAGGAGCTGTCCAGCATGCAGATCCCCACGGGTCTCGCGGGCCCCCCGCCGCGGAACCTGATCACGTCCAGACTGTGTGGGCTGGTGTTCCATCCGCTTGAGATGGTCTGTGCGGTCAGCGGCCCCGAGGGCAACGTTAGAGTTATTGGGTGTAACTTTGAGAAAGTATAGTATCTGTATGTCGAGTAATTTCTTGCTTTTGTATGATAGGCGTAAGTACGTAGAGTTGGAGGCAAGGCTTGCTTTTTTCCTGCTGTGACCGAGTGCAAGATGAACGTCGGAAGCTTGGTGATTAACAGGGAGTTTGATGTTTCCAGCACGAGGGGATCGTGGAACCGGATTGATTGTACACTTGGATGAAGAGATTATATGCGCGTACTCATTCGTCGGCGTTCTGTGACTGCGTGCGGTGGACTCTGGACGTCACTTCAATAGACGAGAAGCGGCGCCGCTGTGTCAGCCGTCGTTCCCGAGTGCACGAGTCACGAAGCACGGATTTCTTCCGGAGGGGCCATGTACCGCCCACGGCGAGATCGACTGTTCCCAGGTAGCGCGCTTGATAGTCGTTTCGTGTCGGCTTGATTCACGTTCTGCCTCACGACGTTCATTGAGGCGTGGGCGCAGGGAAAGACCGCAACTGTCCACCGGAAACCGAACTCCGCAAGAACTCTGTCTCCAGTGCGCGCGAGGGATCGGGGCACACTCGAACTGGGCAACCCAGGTCCACGCTGAGTCATTTGCCGTACGAGTGCGTGAGGTCGCATGCAGTGTGCTGGCCGTGTTGGGTGCGCAGCAACCCGGCATGAGTCGTTGGCATGCAGTGCAGTATCATGGCACCAAACGAGCGATATTGCATTTGTGGCCTGCCTTGAGCAATAGACAACGCGCAGATGACACCGGCTTGGTCAGACTGACAAAGTCGGCCGTCCGAACGTCGGGAGGGGATGGCGACGGGTTCGGGGACGTCTCGGTCAGTGAGTAAGAGCCTGCCCGATTTGGCAACGCTTCACATCAGCCTTGGGTGATCACCACTGAATGCCAGTTGAGAGAACGAGAATATACTTTCACATAGATTGTGAGCGCAAGTCCACATAAACAAATGACCTGAAAATGGATCCCTTCGATGAAACTTCAAATCAAGATACGAGGCGAAGGAGGATGCTGATCAAGAAAGACAAATCATCTTGCTTTTCTGATGACATGAAAACATTGTAGCGATCTAATCTCATGATGGGATCATCCATAGCCGATCGATTCTACGATTACCTCTCTGCTCTCAACCATGTCGGCATATCGACCTCGCGACGATATAAAAGCCAGGTTCGAGAGGGGATGAAGGGCAAAAGCAAACCTACCTCACTCATCCCAATATCTACATCCCACCCTCAACCCATCGACTCATGTCTTCTTACTCCTCCTTCGCAGTCATCGGTGCTGGCACTCTCGGTGGACCCATCCTGGCTGCCCTCGCTGCCCAACCCTCGTCGAAAGTCATACTTCTCTCTCGCAGCACGTCAAAGACGGTCCCTGCGAATGTACAGGTCGCTCAAGTCCCGTCGTACGACGACATCCCTGCTGTCACCGCCGTACTCAAGGCGCACAACGTCGACGTGATCGTATCCACGCTGACGTCGACGGCAATTTCTGTACAGCTGCCTCTCGTCGACGCGGCGAAACAGGCTGGCATCAAGCTGTTCGTGCCGTCCGAGTTTGGCTCCTCGACGGAGGGACACACGGAGGGTCCTTTGAGCGAGAAGAACAAGATCATCGGTGCGCCCGGCTCCTTCTCGTAATTGGGTTGCGAGCTCATGCAATCACTCGTTCAGAAAAGCTCCAGAGCGTCGGCGTGCCGTATCTCCGCATCTTTGTCAGTGCTTCTGTGCTCTGCCCTACTTTGGATCCTGATGTAAAACTGCAGAATGGGTTGTTCATCGAGTTTGCCCCCTGGGTCGTAAACTACAATGCCGAGGCCAAGAAGCTTTATGTGGTCGGTGAATCGGAGGGTCCTGTGTCGGCCACGTCGATCGGAGACGTTGCTGGTGTGTTATCCCTGGTCGGTCATTGATCCGCAGGGCACTAATCGTTTTCTCCCAGGCTATCTCGCACATGTCCTCACCCACCAGCCTCCCTCCGCCCTCGAGAACCAAATTCTGCGTATTGAGGGCCAGCGCATCCCGGGCTACCGCTCCCTTGGGTCGCTCTTCGGTGCGCAAGTCGAGACGGTCGAGACGATGGAGGGAGAGATGGCCGGGTTCAAGACATTCCTGATGAGTCTGGCTGACCAAGGTCTCGCGACGACGGGCTGCGGTGTCAAAGGTGTGTCTGACGAAGAGGCGTCCAAAAGTGGAAACGCGCTGTGGCCGGGTCACCAGTGGAAGACTGTCAAGGATGTGTTCGGTCTGTAGTCTACATGCTCCCGATGCACTTCAGACTCGAGCGTCAGAGCAAGCCCAAATTCGGGTGTTGACCGCTTGCATCATAGAAATTGATTGATTATGACTCTGAGCTGACTGCTAGATTTGTCTGATCAACAGGTGTTTGCATGTCTGGAGTTATTAGGTCTGAGAATCACATCAATCGTCATGCGTCGCCGCAACACGGTCTCGTGACCGTTGCGTGATGTCTCACCAGTCAAAAGCATGAGCGGCATGGAAATACAGTTGATTACAAAAGCGGAAAACACTGATTTCGGATCATGCTACAAGCACTGCTCGGTATCTGACCTTCCCATCTCTCAATCGCGCCATCCCTTCCTCGACGCCCTGTTTCGTCAAGGGGAACTTCTCGATCATGGGCTTGATGTTGTTACGCGCAGCAAAGTCGAGCATCCGAGCCTGCACGGAGCGAGCAGCGACGGCAGAGCCCTGCACGGTGATCCCATTATCGATGAAGGGGGTGACAGGGAACGAGAGGTTGCCGGAGCTGACGGTCAGTGGGAAGACCGTCCCCTTCGGCTTCATGATGGCAAGGTACGGAGTCCAATCTGGCACGAAGCTGGTCGTGAAAATGAGGTGGTCTAGCAAGCGCACGTTCTCGAACTTGGTCACATCCTTAGTCGCGTGGAATTCTGATGCGCCGAGTTGCATGGCCTCTTCTTTCTTGGAATCTGAGCTTGAGAAGACGACGACTTCGGCGCCCATTTTGGCGAGGAAGAGGATCGCGAGGTGCCCAAGACCACCAATGCCGACGACGCCGACGCGGTGGGTGGGTCGGATATTGTATGTGTCGATCACCTCAAACACAGTCGCGCCACCGCACATGAGAGGTGCAGCGTTTTCTGGGGCCATATTTGCTGGAAGGCGGAATAGGAAGGACTCGTCCCAGATCTGGCGAGGGTCAATACAGTTGACAAGAGAAAGAGGATTCACGCACGGCGTGGGAGCCGAACGAGCCTTGATGAAGATTGTGCTTGCCATAGAGCTCTCGCTGCTGACAGTACTGGTCTTGGCCTGGAGAGCAAGCGAATGAGAGAGAGAAACTATATCACGAAAGCAAACCAACCAAGGATGCACTGCTCGCAGGTCCCACACGTCTTGTGTGTGTAGCCCCAACCAACGACATCACCGACATGCACCAGTGTCACGTCAGACCCGACCGTCTCAACCACACCAACTCCCTCGTGTCCTAGACCCATATCGGCGTTCTTGAAATGTTCATCGGTGCCGCAAATGCCCGAGTGCGTGATGCGAAGGAGGACCTCTTTTCCTGTTGGTGCAGGGCGAGACGTTGTGGCTTCAACGATGCCGTTCTTGGAGCCCTTGAAAACAGTGTACTGGACGCTCATGGGGATTCTAGGGTCGTGGATAATGTGTAAGGAGCTTAAGGCTCAGTCAGATTGGAGTCTTTATAAGTGATATCGCGGGTAAGATTTCATCCCCGCCTAGCGAGTCTAGCACCTTCGAGTATGGACGGCCATAGGCGGGGAATTAATAATCTCGGCACAACGCACGACACGCGGCGGTGAGTAATAGTGGGATTAGAGAAGATCAGAGACCTGAGTGGATTCCTAAGCTCCTCCAATGCGTCATCCATGATGAGCCGGCTTTGAAATTTGAAGAGAAATGCGATTGTAGTAGGATTAGATGCGATTGTGAGCACTGCCACTACGCAGAGCCATTTGTGCATGAGCGCCGATCAGGAGGCTAAATGAGGTCAGCCGCTCGCCAGTGCACCACCACCTTCTGCTGGAAGGTCTAATCAATTTCGCCTGCTTTGGATATTATTTAACCTGCTTGCATTGTGGCCACGTAGTTCCGGAGGCTCTGCGCATCCTACAAGCACCCGAGATGGAATTTGGGGGATTAGGGTCACACATCCTCCAATCCATCCGGGTTTTTGCGGCAGTATGTGCCACCCTGGAGAAGTTTTGCATGATCCCGACTTATTCTTCCGCCGCCAGTGCATGCCAGCGAATATACGTATCAGTTGTTTCTTCGGCTTGTGAACGGCCCTGAATAGCCGGACGTGGAACGCATATATCCATGCCGTACCACATCGACTGCTACCTCGACTGTGGTGCGCCGTTCTTTTGCCCCGATCGACATCCATTACAACGACCGCCAGCTTCCTTATACAGCTTCTTCGTGTTTCTCCATCTATGCAAGATCCGGCCACAGCTTGCCTCACACGGTGTCTCGGTCGAGTGCGTATGCCAGTGGGCATCTCGTCCCCCGGGAACACAAGACTCACCAGCTCATCAGCTTCCATCCGGTCTTGCTCGGCGGTGTGCACCGGGCTAGCGGTGCGTGGGCTGCCGCTGCATACGGCGGCGTCAGCGCCAGTGTTGTCGTTCTCGTGCGATATCTCGGAGGCAACGAGCCGCCGCGGACGCTTCCCGCGAAGGCGGCGTATTTGGAACTCGACATCGCGCGCACAGCTCGGTACCACGGTGTCTCTGGCGTTGCGCAGCCTGCGTTCTTTCCCGTGTCTACAGTCATGGTTCGACCGTTTCATGCCGCAATGCACACCCACATAGAGTGACGATGCTCACCATGCGGATCAGGCTCAGCGGATCCTATGCTACGTGAAAGCGACCTTGCCCCAACCCGCCTTCGAGCAGACCTTGCTGTCGTTCTTCCGCTCGCTCTGGGTGCTTCCGCATGCCGATATCTCGAAACCCGACGTCGTTCGAGGCGTGTTGGACGAATTGCACCTTTACTCGGAAGCACAAATCGACGCGATACTGGCGGCACCGGCCCAGAAAGAATGAAGGACTGTCTCACGAACAATACGCGTAGAGTCGTAGAGCTCGGGGCTTTCGGAGCGCCGTGGATGTGCGTGCAGGACGGTGACCCTGATAGTGAAACCCAGGAGAAAAAGAATACTACTGCTAGATGGGGTCATAGATTATCAGGGTTGTCCAGGTGGCCAAGAAGATATCGTATCCAAGTCAGATTTCTGGTCTTTGCGATGATGGTATCTTTAATTTCACTTCGGTCTCTATATTTTTAGATCGATTCGCACAGAAAAATGTTCAGGTTCAAACATGGTTCGTACCGGTTCAGGGAGGTTCAAGAAAAATTCCCGCGCCTCTAACCTAGAACCGGACTTGAAGTCCGTTTAGGTTCAAGCTGTCCCTGAGAGCCGGCCTTAAGGTTCGGTTCAAGTTTCGAACCGAACTAAAGCAACACTGCCTTGATTCTTTACAATGGGCACTGGGAACCGAAGGCTACGTTAGGGCGAGTGGAGGCTCGCAACGAGCAGAACTCGAAAGCCAATGCAGACAAAGGCTGTCATCACCCTCATAGCCGATTTTTTCGCAGACCAGGCGAAGCCTTAACCACTGTTGCGAGCTACTGTCTCCGTTCGCCGCCGTTCAGCGGACGCTTTGATGAGGTCCTCAGTGTAATTCTTCGTGCTTCAAAACCAATCTTGATGTATCCAACATGAGCGCACGGAGCTGGAACCGAGTTGATTGCGCGCTTAGACGAAGAGGGTATATGCGCGTACTTTAGACAGGCCTTCATCGACCTTCTGTGACTGAGCTGAGTTGGACGCTGGATCCCCATGGAATAGAGCGGGAGGAAGAGACATACTTGAATCGGGGCCAAGATCTCTCCAGCAGGCTACCTTCGGTCCATGGTGGACGTGTTGACTCGATTCACGATATGTTATGTAAAATTAGATGGAAAGCGGCGTGAGCGCTGGGGAAGGATTGCTCTCGTCCACTGGGACCCGAGGTGCGCAAGGGTGCTAGCTCCATTGCGCCTCGAGGAATAGAATTCGGACTCAGTAGGCCAGCTTCGCACTGATTGATTCGCCGCGGCAGTGTCCGGGACGTGTATCGCCGGTGAGGTTCTGAGGAGTGAATTGGCCGCGTCGTATGCGTGGCCACGCAGCGTGAGCCGTCAACGCGCAGTGTGACGCACATTGAACCGTGCGGCGCTGCGTTCGCCGCCCGAGATGAGCGATAGGCAACGCGCAGAAGATATCCGCTTGGTCAGGCAGGCGGTGTACGTCCATCGGGAATCGGGATGGGATGGGAACAAATCCCCGGACCTCTCGGTCAATGAGTAAGAGGGGCTGCTGGATTTGGTAATTGCTGCTCACATGAGCAGTGGGTGATTGTCAGTGCATAGGCAATGAGAGAGCAAAATACAACTCCAAGCGAGTGTTGGGGGAGTCCAAACAGGAATGAGCAGCACGGGAATTCGTGTGACGGAAAATCGGGACACAAGTGCAGATCTGATCCAGTTTCGGGGAGGGTGAAGCATCTCGTCATATCGATGACATGTAAGCAGCGGCGTCCTCTGATGAGATCACCTTTACTACGCGATCGATTCTGTTATTCGCTATCTACTCTCAACCATGCATGTCGACACGTCCACCTGGCGAGGCTATAAGAGGCGGGGCTCAAAAGGAGTCAGAGGACAACAGAAACTCGAACAACTAACTTCAACAACATCTACTCATCCACACTCGATCCGTCGATGTCTCCTACATACTCCTCATTCGCAGTGATTGGTGCTGGCGCTGTCGGTGGCCCCATCCTCGCCGCCCTCGCAGCTCAGCCATCTGCGAAAGTCATTCTTCTCTCGCGCAGCGCGTCCAAGACGGTCCCTGCGAATGTCCAGGTCGTCCAAATCCCGTCGTACGACGACGTGCCCGCCGTCACTGCCGCACTCAAGGCGCACAACGTCGAAGTGATCGTCTCGACGCTGAACGTCGCGGCTCTTCCCGCTCAGCTCGCTCTCGTTGATGCAGCGCAGCAGGCTGGTGTCAAGTTGTTCGTGCCGTCCGAGTTTTCCTTTACGACGGAGGGAGCCACCGAGGGGATGTTGGGCGAGAAGCAGAAGACCATCGGTGCGTTCAGCTCCTTGTTCCTCGGCTGCTTCCTCATATGTTCCCTCGTGCAGATAAGCTCCAGAGCGTCGGCGTGCCCTACCTCCGCATGTTTGTCAGTGCTTCTGTGTTCTCTCCCTGCTTCGGATCCTGATGTGAACTTGCAGACCGGATTGTTCATCGAGTTTGTGCCCTGGGCCGTGAACTACAACGCGGAGGCCAAGAAACTTTGCGTGGTCGGCAAAGCGGAAGGCCCCGTGTCGGTCGTATCCAGCGCCGACATCGGTGGTGCGTGATTATTGCCCCTGTTGTGACATGCAGGGCGCTGACCACCTTGTCCCAGACTATCTCGCACATATTTTTACTCACCAACCTGCCTCCGCGCTCGAGAACAAGGTCTTGCGCATCGAAGGCGAGCGCCTCCAGGGTTTCCGGTCCCTCGGGCCGCTCTTTGGCGCGGAGGTGGTGACGGTCAAAGCGATGGAAGGGGAGCTGGCTCATTTCAAGGATATGTTGATGAGCCTTGCCGACCAGGGTCTGGCTACCACTGGCTACGGCGTCAAAGGTCTGTCCGACGAGGAGGCGTCCAAGAGCGGAAACGCGCTGTGGCCGGGACACCAGTGGAAGACTGTAAAGGATGTTTTCGGTCTCTAGTCGACGAGAAACGGCTAGTTAATGGATAACTAGATGGCATGCGATCTTGCTTTTTTCTTAACGCGCATTGTTCCTACGTATTTGAGACCCTAGTATCAGAATAGTCTGTTTCAGCGCACTGGCATCCTGCGTCTCAAATAGAAATCTATTGACTCACGTTGCCCGGCTTCGCTATTTCTTCTCAACCTTCTCACGTTCCAAGTGATCAGCCAATGCGGGAACTGCTTCAATCATCGCGACGCGGTCCCGTGACCGTTGCGTGATGGTGATCCACGTCTCGCAGGCACAAGTAAGAAGATCTTTGTAAGCGTGTAGCTGCCACTCCCTAAGGCCGCTCTTTGGCGCGCACGTCGAGACGGTGGGAGATGAGATGCCCCATTTCACAGTGATCCTCATGGGCATCGCCGACCAGGTCGTCGCGACCGCGGGCTTCGGGTTCAGAGTGTGTATGATGAGGACGCGTCACGGAGCGGGAAAGCACTGTGGGTGGGACACCGGTGGATGACCGAAAGGGAGTTTCACGGTCTCTCGTCTGCGGGACTCAACCAGAGAACGGAAAGTTGAATATCGTGTATGCGGTTTGGAATTCGGATGCCCATGGGGAATTCGATGGGCATTCGAATCTCGGTGAAGTGGGAGTTCCGATATGTTGAGATATCGCGGCTGGAAACGCATCGGGCATCCCAGAACGTTGAAGTTCGGATGGTTCCGGGGCAGGAACCCGCTGGTTTCGGTCGATCCACACCTGCTTACATCGGTGGCGGCTACGCTGGGAGCAATAAATCTGCTGACTGTGGTAGGGCTTTGTGTCTGAGCGTCGATTCGGGTGACGGTTTTGGGCCAGGTGGGGTACGATTCAGCGTCACTCCTCATCACTGGATCACGCATCAGTCGGGACTCGGAATTCATTCCGACTGCTGCTCTCAATTTGTCTCTGAAGTACTCTGGAACGCTGAAAAAGAGGAAAATCTTGTACGTTTCTGACCGGTTTCTGATCAGCTCAGTGCCAGTCGGATCTTGAAGAAGACGAAGATTCGGTTGAATCAAAAATGAGTATCTCGTATCTATACATAGATCGAGCTTATCTGCACCTAACGCAGCAGCCGAAAAAATGATTTTCCCCTCCGAAAACAAAGTAAAAGTAAATGTGAGCGCTCAAGGTCAGAGAGTAGATCTGGTTCAAGCCGCGAAGGGTCATCGTTCCAGCTCCATCTCGCCTCGAGGAATCACCATGAACTTGAACTCAGCAGCACAGCTTCACACTAATTCATTCGCCGCGGCAATATCCAGTACTGGTATCGCCGGTGAGGTCCGAAGGAGTGCGTGCGGCACTGCGTTTAACGCCCGGGCTGCGCGACAGGCATCGTGCGAATGACATCTGCTTGGTCAGACACACGATGTACTTCCCCCGAATGCCTCGAATTGGGGTGGAATGGTAACAAATCCCGGAACTTCTCGGTCAATGAGTAAGACGAGCTGCTGGATTTGGTAATCGCTATTCACATGAACAGTTGGTGCTCGTCAATGCATAGACAGTGAGAGAGGGCAATACAACTCCAAGCTGATGATGGGGAAGTCCAAACATGCATGAGCGGAACGGGAATTCGTGTGATGGAACTTCGATGGAAACAAAACTGCAGATCTGGTCGAGTTCTCTCGGATGGATAATCATCTCATCAGATCGATGACATGAACATTGAAGGTATCGAAGGGCCATCTATGTAATCCTTTGTTGAAGTTTGGTAAGATCATCCATACGCCATCGATTCTGTTATTCGCCATCCACTCTCAACCATGCATGTCGACACGTCAACCTCACGCGATTATAAGAGAGGCTGAAACCGAAGTAGCGGACAACAGAAACTCGAATAACTAACCGCAACATCTACCTCCCACACTCAACCATCGAATCATGTCTTCTTACTCCTCGTTCGCACTGGTCGGTGCTGGGACTCTCGGTGGCCCCGTCCTGGCTGCCCTCGCCGGCCAAACCTCCGCGAAAGTCATCCTCCTTTCCCGCAGCGCTTCTAAAACGGTCCCCGCAAATGTCCAGGTCGTCCAAGTCCCGTCGTACGACGACGTGCCAGCCGTCACCGCCACACTGAGGGCGCACAACGTCGAAGTGATTGTATCCACTCTGAACACCGCGGCCATTCTAGCTCAGCTGCCTCTCGCCGACGCCGCGAAGCAGGCCGGTGTCAAGTTGTTCGTGCCGTCCGAGTTTGGTTTATCGACGGAGGGAGCCAGTGAGGGTCCGTGGGCCGAAAAGAACAAGATTATAGGTGGGCTTGGCTTCCAGTCTTTCAGCTACTCCCTCATGCGGCCATCCATGTAGAAAAGCTCCAGAGCGTTGGCGTGCCTTACCTCCGCATCTTTGTCAGTGATTCTGTGCTCTCCCCTGCTTCAGATCCTGATGCGAACCTGCAGACCGGATTGTTCATCGAGTTTGTGCCCTGGGCCGTAAACTATAGTGCCAAAGCCAAGAAGCTGTATGTGGTCGGCAAATCGGAGGGCGCCGTATCGGTCGCATCCATCGCTGATATTGCCGGTGCGTGATTATTGGCCTGGCGGGACATAGACGGCGCTGAACACCTTGTCCTAGGCAATATCGCACATATATTCACCCACCAACCTGCCTCCGCGCTCGAGAACCAGGTCCTGCGCATTGAAGGCGACCGAATCCCGGGTTTCCGGTCCCTCGGGCCGCTCTTTGGCGCGGAGGTGGTGACGGTCAAAGCGATGGAAGGGGAGCTCGCTTATGGAGGCCGGGAACAGCATGCTGATTCGCGGCGCGAAATGAGATCGCTGTCTGATTGATTGATCGCTGCACGTGTTCGGCATCATTCACGGCATATCACATTGTACTTTGTTGCTTGTGCTCTGTAAGGTTTATAAATGCTAGTTAATGTTCACACTAGTGAGATACCATATTGTATGTATGTATTCTTGTTAACGAGCGTTGATTTCCCCTGGTCCTGAAATTGATCGGTCACGTGCAGTTTGGATGAGTCAGCAAGGTCGCCGAAACACTTTCACGTGATCCAGTCTCATTATTGCGGACGCCCTGGGCAGGAATAGGCCCACGGACACATAGGGTGAACATCCTCCGAAATAAAGTAAACCTGGCCGAAAATTTTGACTTTAATCCTCCGGGAAATAGCGTAAAAGTGCCTCAAAAAGGGCAGCAAGCCTCTGGAGATAGCGTAAAACTTGGCTAGTTCCCTGCCGATCTTGAAAGATTTGAGCCCCGGATCAGTGTAAAATCGGGTGGAACCCGGCCTAATCCGGGCATTTCTGACTTGAATTTAGGCATCTGGGCTCATGCACTCTTATCAGTCGTCAGCAAGACTGATTTCAACTGGAAATGTACTGAATTTGGTAGCCTATTGGGAATCTAACAACCGATATGATCAGAATAATCGCTTACCTGATCGTTTTTTCGTGCCCATCGTTCCCGGCTCCCAAGCGCTGCGCCATCCAGCCGGTTCCCGAAGTACATGGGCATGACGGAAGTGTCGGCAGCTGTCCTCGAAGTCACGGACAGTGGCGAGACCACAGACCCAGAGTTGGATCTCTCGGAATGGATTGGCATTGAAAAAGTCTACAAGGACGTCCCATCGGTGGTCTTCATCAATTCAGGGTCTCGTAAACACGTAGCGGGAATAGCCACTGTGCGTTCAAGAGGTGGTAAAGGCCTAGAAGCTTAGGGAGAAAAATCGAATTAACCCTTCGAAAATAGAGTAAAAGTTGCTCAAGATGTCGAGAAATTGAATGTAAAAGTATGTAGGCTGGCGGAGGATGTTCACCCTATGTGTCCGTGGGCCTATTCCTGCCCAGGGCGTCCGCAATAATGAGACTGGATCACGTGAAAGTGTTTCGGCGACCTTGCTGACTCATCCAAACTGCACGTGACCGATCAATTTCAGGACCAGGGGAAATCAACGCTCGTTAACAAGAATACATACATACAATATGGTATCTCACTAGTGTGAACATTAAATAGCATTTATAAACCTTACAGAGCACAAGCAACAAAGTACAATGTGATATGCCGTGAATGATGCCGAACACGTGCAGCGATCAATCAATCAGACAGCGATCTCATTTCGCGCCGCGAATCAGCATGCTGTTCCCGGCCTCCATACTCGCTCACTTCAAGGATATGTTGATGGGCCTTGCTGACCAGGGTCTGGCTACCACGGGCTGCGGCGTCGAAGGCGTGTCCGACGAGGAGGCGTCCAAGAGCGGAAACGCGCTGTGGCCGGGACACCAGTGGAAGACTGTCAAGGATGTTTTCGGTCTCTAGTCGACAAGAGTTATCATCATCCTTCCTGCTGATTCAATTTGACGACCAGGCGAAGCTGGGACACACTGCTGCGAGCCATCGTCTTTGTTCGCCCCCGTTCAGCGGGAGGTTTGATGAGGATCTGAACGTTATTTTTCGTTGTTCAACAGCGATCTTGATGGATCCAACATGAAAGCATGGAGTTGGAACCCAATGAGTGTGCGCTTAGACCAAGAGAGTATATGCGCGTACTTTAGACAGGCCTTCGTCGCTGAAGTTGAACTCGTCGACGTTCAGCGACTCAGTGTCATTGAACACTGACCCCTTTCGAATAGAGTGGACGGAAGATAAATACTTGAGACGGGGCCGAGATATCTCCCCTAGGGCTTCCTTCAGTCCATGGTGGAATCTACTCTTTTCCGATACCACAGTGGCCATCATGTTGACTCGATTCACGTTCTCTTACGTACAATTCAAAGGAAAGCAGCGTGTGCGCTGCGGACATATCGCACTTGTCCACCGGGACCCGAATGTCGCAAGAATGCCGGCTCTATCGCGCCTGGAGGAACCGCCGTGAGCTCGCGCGAAGCAGCCCAGCCCCCGCTGATGAATCCGCCGCGGCAGTATCCAGAACATGTATTGGGCGCGTCGTATGCCTAGCAACGCAGGGTGAGCCGCCAGCGCGCAGTGCCACGCACATCCATGGGTCCAACCGTGCTACTCTGCGTTGGCCGCACGGACTGAGCGATAGGCAACGCGCAGGTGACATCCACTTGGTATGGCAGACTGTGCACGTCCCCCGAACGTTGTGAATTGGGATGGGGTGGTAACAAATCCCGGGACCTCTCGGTGAATGAGTAAGAAGGGCTGCTCGATTTGGTAATTGCTGCTCACATGAGTAGTTGGGGGATCATCTCGTCATATCGATGACATCAAAACATCGACGGCATCTAGTAATCCTTTGATGAGATCACCTTTACTACGCGATCGATTCTGTTGTTCGCTATCCACTCTCAACCATGCATCTCGACACATCCACCTCGCGAGTTTATAAAAGACAGGCTCAAAAAGTGTCAGAACTCGACAGATACTCAAACACCTAACTGCAGCATCTACCTCCCACACTCGACCCATCGATGTCTCCTACATACTCCTCATTCGCAGTGCTCGGTGCTGGCGCTGTCGGTGGCCCCATCCTCGCCGCCCTCGCCGCTCAGCCCTCTGCGAAAGTCATCCTTCTCTCGCGCAGCGTGTCGAAGTCGGTCCCTGCAAATGTCCAGCTCGTCCAAATCCCGTCGTACGATGATGTCCCAGCCGTAACCGCCGCGCTGAGGGCGCACAACGTCGAAGTGATCGTGTCCACGCTGTCCACCGTGGCCCTTCCGGCTCAGCTTTCTATCGCGGATGCAGCGAAGCAGGCCGGTGTCAAATTGCTCGTGCCGTCCGAGTTTGGCCTTTCGACCGAGAGAGACACCGAGGGTCCGTTGGCCGAGAAGAACAGGATAATTGGTGCGCCTGGCTTCTGCTCGTAACAGGGATGCGCGCTCATGCCATCGCTTATCCAGAAAAGCTCCAGAGCATCGGCGTTCCGTATCTCCGCATCTTCGTCAGTGATTCTGTGCCCTCCCTTGCTTCAGATCCTGATGTGAACCTGCAGACCGGATTGTTGATCGAGTTTGTGCCCTGGGCCGTGAACTATAGTGCCGAAGCCAAGAAGCTGTACGTGGTCGGCAAATCGGAGGGCCCCGTGTCGGTCGTATCCGTCGATGATGTCGGTGGTGCGTGATTATTGGCCTTTCGGGTCACAGAGGGCGCTGACAACCTCGTCCCAGGCTATCTCGCACATATCCTTACCCACCAACCAACCTCCGTCCTCAAGAACCAGATTCTGCGCATTGAAGGCGACCGCATCCCAGGCTATCGGTCCCTCGGGTCGCTCTTCGGCGCGGAGGTCGTGACGGTCGAAGCGATGGAGGGGGAGCTGTCCGGTCTCAAGGATATGTTGATGGCCCTTGCTGACCAGGGTCTGGCTACCACGGGCTGCGGCGTCGAAGGTGTACCCGAAGCAGAAGCGTCCAAGAGCGGCAACGCGCTGTGGGCGGGACACCAGTGGAAGACAGTCAAGGATGTTTTTGGTCTCTAGTCGAAGAGAAACGGCCGGTTAATGGACAATTCGAGGACATGCGGTTCTTCCTTTTTCCCCAACGCGCATTGTTCGTGCGTACATAGCATTAGAATACTCTAATTCAGCTCACTTGCACCCTGCATCTCAGATATGAATCTATCAATTTATGTTTCTAGGCTAAGATCCTCAAGGTATGTCTTTCCAGCCTTCGCACGTTCAAAGTTACCAGCATGGGAACCGCTTCAATTGTCACATGTCGTCGCGACGCGGTCCCGTGATCGTTCCATGATGTCGATTCCGGTCTCGCCAGCCGAGGGCATGAGTAAGATGAAGGAGATGCCCTAGTAAGAGTAAAATAAAAACGAAGGATATGCGCAGCTTCTGTATTCAAAATTGTGCAGCCGTCGTGCATCTGATCGTCAAACAAACTTGAGCGCCCCACTCAATTACATCAGTGATGTAATTGAGTGGCGCGCTCAAGTTTGTCAACACTATACATCACCGGCATGTACTCATCGTCGAGTTAAGGCTGACTCACCCGAAGTGCGCGATAATTTCAGCTTTAACGCGCCTCGAGGGACCATGTGAGCTCGAGCTCGGAAGCCCGCCTCCGTTTTGAGTGATTCATGTGCTGCAGGAATTTCTCATGCCTGGATTTCCGATGGGACCGGGAGTGGGCTCTTGGCTCTGTTGAGTCAGTGTGTAGGAGCTTGCCCCGATTGATAATGGACTCACCTCAATATTCGGTGAGAGAGAGAACAAGATACACCCCCAGGCAGATTGTCAGGGAGGATCAAAATGCAAAAAAGCTCCGAGGGAATTCGTGAGACGGGACCTGCATAGAGTCACGTAAGGAAGGAGGATATATATCATGTCCGGGAGGGCATACTCTTTCATTCTGCTGATGACATGAAAAACTGAAGCGAACTCATCTTGTAATGGGATCATTCACACTCGACCAATTCTGTGCTGCGTAATCCTTCAATATCCACTTCCAATCATGCATATTCCCACCTCAAAATACAGTATAAAAGGCAGGCTCAAAAAAGCATGAAAACAGCAAGCCTTCATTGCTCTAGGCGATATCTACCTCCCACACTCAACCCATCGAATCATGTCTTCTTACTCCTCGTTCGCAGTGATCGGTGCTGGCACTCTCGGTGGCCCCATCCTCGCCGCCCTCGCCGCCCAGCCCTCAGCAAAAGTCATCCTCCTCTCCCGCAGCGCGTCCAAGTCGGTTCCAGAAAATGTCCAGGTCGTACAAGTCCCATCGTACGAGGACGTCGCCGCCGTCGCCGCTGCGCTCAAGGCGCACAACGTCGAAGTGGTCGTGTCGACACTGACCACGGGGGCCATATCTGCCCAGCTGTCTCTCGTCGACGCGGCAAAGCAAGCCGGCATCAAGCTGTTCGTACCGTCCGAGTTTGGCGCGTCGTCGGAGGGACAGACGGAGGGTCCATTGGGCGAGAAGAATAAGATCGTCGGTGCGTTCGGCCCTTCCCGTACTCGGGCTACTCGCTCATGGATTCACTCGTCCAGCAAAGCTCCAGAGCGCCGGCGTGCCGTATCTCCGCATCTTCGTAAGTGCTTAGCTTACACGCTCTTATTCTTCTTTGTGCCAGATGCTGATTGGAAACCGACAGACCGGGTTGTTTATCGAGTATGTGTCGTGGGTCGTGAACTACAACGCCGAGGCCAAGAAGCTGTACGTGGTCGGCAAAGCGGACGGAACTGTGTCGACCACATCGATCGGAGACATCGCTGGTGCACTATCCCTGGCCGGCCACTGACCTGCATGGCGCTGACAACCTTTTTCCCCCAGGCTATCTCGCGCACGTCCTGACCCAGCACCCTCCCGCTGTCCTCGAGAACAAGATCCTGCGCATCGAAGGCGACCGCATCCCAGGCTACCGCTCCCTCGGGCCGCTCTTCGGCGCGCAAGTCGAGACGGTCGACACGATGGAAGGCGAGATGCCCCACTTCAAGCTGTTCCTGATGGACCTCGCCGACCGGGGTGTCGCGACCACGGGCCACGGCGTCAGAGGTATGTCCGACGAGGAGGCGTCCCGGAGTGGGAACGCACTGTGGGCGGGCCACCGGTGGGAGACCATCAGGGATTTTTACGGCTTGTAGGCTACGGAAATCAAGCAGTGGTAGGAAAACTGAATAGATTTGGATGCTCATGGCCATGGCCAGTTTCGGGTCGTGGAGGATCTGAGGGGCATTCAATTCTCAGAGAGGAGAGGGCTGTTTGAAAGCTGTCAAGGTTAAGGCTTATCAATTGATTGGCTGGATGAAATCGCACGGTTATGTGTGGAAAGTCTGCTCGAAAAATTAAATTGAAGACCTTAAAATGACGGATAAGATGGAAGACTTTTGCCAGACCGTCATACTCTGCAACGTCCCACACAAAAAAAGGATACATCGAATGGCACCACCACTTTAGTAAATTTCACACGGATTTTTGACTTTTCTCTCAAAATTTTATATTCAGTCTTCATTTTCATTTTCATTTTCTGCATTTTTATATGAAATTTGGCTTGCACACCTGACTTCATTTGCACCTGAAACTTATGGTTTTGATATAATATTTACCTTTGGATTAATTCCGAGTGCAAGCTTCACGATTTTCTCACGCTTATCAAATTTGAGCGCCTTATTGGACCCCCACTGTACATCTGGGCCAGGCCACAGAAGGACGTACACCTCAGTGACCAGGGGGCACCTCCACGTGAAGTCTGTGTGCTCTGACGTAATCTTCTCCCAAGCTCTTGGCGAAATGCACTTCCTTCTGATTCTGGCTGACCGTGGGGAGCGAGACCGCCTTGAGGCCAGCACGAAGTCAGATGGGTGTCGTGCGCACGGGGTCAGCTGGTCTGCGTCGTGGTGCACGCGCACGGCCCGCCGCGGGACCTGCGCACCATAAATGTGCGCGCGACCCTGGGCAAAGAAGGCAGACCGTTGATGGCCTACTACTACTACCCTCTGCTGCTGCTGCTCGTGGCTCAGTTGTGCGCGGCGGAGCTCGTGGCGCCGAACGCGCTGAATCTGCGGATCTCGTCGAATGTGACGCACGAAGCGAGTGTCTTCCCTTGGAGCCTGGGAGTTGCGGAAGAAATAGCTGACCCCGGTGGCAACACACACAGATCCCGTCGACGCTTTATGGGTACATGTGGGAGGTGCGTCGATCCCGTGGGGCCTTTGCGGAGAAATGAGATGTTGATGATTGGGGCGTCAGGATATCAACCACAGCGGCGACGGAGGTTTATACGGTACGTTCCCGTGTTCGTCAGGAGGGCTGGCCTTGTGGATCATATGCGCCCCCAGCCGAGCTTCTGCAGAACCGAGCGTTCCAAGCCGTGATCCCGGGGACCCAGAACGCGTAAGTCGCGTGTGTGCACGCGCCAAGACATCGAACGCTGACCGCCGCCGTGCCCCCCACCCCCTCCCCTGCGCAGGCTGACAGCGTGGCAGCCCTTCAACGGCGCGCGGCTCGCCGTCACGGCCAAGACGTCGGGCGTATCGGCCGCGCTGCCGCACAGCCTGGAGGTGCAGTTCCCAAAGACCGTCGCCGGGCCGATCGGGTTCGAGAACACGGGGTACTGGGGGATCAAGGTCCAGAGCGGGTGGACGTACACGGGCTCGTTCTACGCCAAGGCGCCTGCGTTCGCCGGGCCCATCACTGTGTCGCTCAAGTCGGCCGCAGGGACCGTCTTCGCGTCCAAGAGTGAGTCGTCTGACTGACTACCCACCCTCGCCCCATCGGCGCTTGGCCCGAAAACTCAAACCCGAATCTGAATCCCACTCACGCACCTGCGACAGCGCTGACGGGCGTCACCCCCGCGTGGAAGAAATTCACGTTCGAGCTGCAGCCGGCGGCATCCGCGCCGACGGACGAGAACGTCTTCACCGTCGTGGTCGACGGGAAGAGCGCGGCGGGGCACACGGTGTACTTCGGCCTGTTCTCGCTGTTCCCGCCGACGTTCCGCGGGCGCCCGAACGGCATGCGCGTCGATCTGGCCGAGGCGCTCGCGGCGACGCGGCCTTCGGTGTGGCGGTTCCCGGGTGGCAACAATATCGAGGGCGCGAGCATCGACACGCGGTGGAAGTGGAACGAGACGATCGGAAAGTTCGTTTATTTGATCTGGTTTGGCTTGGGGTCTAGTGTCTGATGAAAGTCAATGGATAGAATTGAAGATCGGCCGGGTCGGGTGGGAGACTGGGGTGAAGATGTTTCGGCTTTCTTCGTCACTGCATGAGATCCTAACAGAATTACGAAGGATATCCGAACACGGACGGCCTGGTGCGCTCCATTTTCGATGTTTCGTTTTCAAACGTTTAACCGGATGGAAAGGGATTGTTGGAGTACTTGGACTGGGCAGAAGACTTGCAAGCGGTAAGAATTGTTACTGTCACACACACAACCCCCGGCCGAGCTGATTCTCCCCGAGGAACCCATCCTAGGTCACTCTCGCCTGTGTCAACCAAAAACCTTATCACGCCCTAATCTGAGTCTCCACAGGCGTCTGGGACGGCATCTCCATCCAGAACTACTCGGATCTCGCCACCTGGCCGATCGTTCCCGAAGCGGATCTGCAGCCGTACATCGACGACGTGCTCAACGAGATCGAGTTCATCGTCGGGAATCTTTCGACGCCCGGTGGGAAGCTGCGCGCGAGCCTGGGCAGGCCGGAGCCGTACGCGCTCAAGTACATCGAGATGTGCGTGTGTCCTGGCTGTTTCTTCTGATCCAGTTTCTTAACACCCATGCCCGCACAGAGGGAACGAAGATCAGGCAAGTGGTAGTTCAACCAGTTCCGATTCTCGGCGCAGCCGGTCGTGACCCTTTTTCCACACCTAGTTCCAGGAAAGCTCGTACGCAGGCTACCGGTGGAACGCATTCGTCTCGGCAATCGGGGCCAAATACCCCAAGATGGAGTTTATCGCGACGTCCTACCCGACACTGGCGCTATCCCCGGCATATCAGCGAAGTAAGTTGCCACAGCTGCTCTCGTGCCCTGCCGGGATCTGTAGCAGTCGGCTGAGCCACCCGACCAGTTGACTTTCATATGTACAATTCGCCGGATTGGTGAGACTTTCTCAGCGGTGAGTCATCCGAGATGACGAAACAGATTATCACAGGTTCACGGGAAATGCGTTCATGTTCGACGACTACCCGCGAAACGGAACGAAGTGGTTCATCGGAGAATACGCCGGGGCGTTTGAGTTTAAATTTTTCTGTTTCGAACGGGTGATCGCTGATACGGCCGACAACCCACAGTCACCAGCACGAACGATCTGAACCTCCTAGGCGCTATCGCCGACGGGCGGCTTCCGTACCCGACTCTGCAGGGCGCCGCGGCCGAGGCGGCGTTTATGACGGGGCTCGAGCGCAACAGCGACGTCGTGTTTGCCTCTGCTTGTATGCCTGCTCCATCCATCTCGCTCCACATTTTAATCCACCTCGTAAACAGATGCGCCTAGGTACAACCGGCAACTGCCGACCCTCCGTTAATGACATCACGCGCGGGCTAACTCGTTTTTCCCCCAGCTTCCAACATCTCAAGAGCTACGTCTGGACCCCCGATATCATCTCATATGACGCCAGTCGTCTGATAAAATCGACGTCCTATTATGTTCAGCAGGTGCCGCTTATTCCTTCGGGTTTTTCGGAATTTGCCATTCTAACTTCTGTCAGATGTTTAGCTTGAACCGTGGGAGCCACGTGATTGCTACGACGCCATCATCGACCAATGAGAGCGCGCCGCTATATTGGGTCGCGAGCTACCAGAACGACACGGACGTGGTGTTCCTCAAGGTACGGACGCCGCCTGCCGATCTCTATCGCGCTCTTAATCGAAGTCATTAACACATGCACACACACACACGCAGGTGTCGAACACTGGGACATCGGACCTGGTCGCGAACATCTTCCTCGACTTCAACGTGACGTCGTTTGGGTCTGCCGTCAGCATCTCCTCGCCTGTGCTCAGTCCGATCACCGGCCTGTTCAACATATCCAATACGCCTGCAGCGCCAGACCAGATCATCCCCGTCTCGAGCAGCTTTGCGCTGCCGTTCCCGGACCGCTTCAACTACTCGTTCCCTGCGACGAGCGTGACGGTCGTGTCGCTGCAGGCCAAAGCGCCGTTTAGCATCACGAATACAAATAGCTAGAGAACACATGTACCACACTGGCAATACATAGCTACAGGCGTGTGACCTCGAGCTTCGGACACACACCGTCAGTCGGCGAGGCCGTCTTGATCTGACGGAAGAAGCATGGTTAATGGTCGGGGCCCGCTAGTCTCACTATTTTCCCAAGATGTGCCGCGCCTCGCCCGGGGTCCGCACATGGACTGCCACATGAGGTGGGGCGCTGAGCCCAAACGAAACTCCTTTAAAAGCAGCTGACGATGCGGGGCTGGAGGCACACTAGTCCACTCGCTCCATTTCACACTGCGATGTTTCCCCAGCTCTTCAACTCAAGGACAGTCGTGATCTCCGTCTCCTGCGCGGCGCTCGCGGCGGCAGCGGGGATCCCCCAGACCCGGGGCGCCGTGCAGCTGGCGGTGAGCCCCCAGTGCGGGACGCTCGCAGCGGGCGTGCCCGTCGATGTGAACGTCGGGCTCGCGCCGTTAAGCTCGTACAAAACGATCGTCGCATTCGGAGGCAAGTCGATCTCCGGTTATCGAGCTAGATTGCACCGTGCTGAATCGACCCTTGCAGACTCGTACACGGGCGGCGGCGCGACGAACGGCCCCACGTGGGTGGAGCTCCTGGCCAGATCTGCAAATGCGCAGTTAATCAACTACGCGGTCGGTTCTCGTCTCCCTTTAGTGCAAGAGTGGAGACTGATGTGGAGAAAACTAGGCCACGGGATCAGTGGTGGACACGACCCTATGGCCCCACGCACCCGCGATTCAGGCGGCCTCGGGACAGGACTATGTGAACCAAGGTGTGTCGACCCGCTCGCGAGTACGGACAGCGCCTCAGATCCGACCAGCGAGGACCCTCGAATCAACAAAAACGCTCGACCCTGCCTCGACGCTATATGTCATGTTTTACGGAATAGAGTGAGTGGCATCGGACACCCGATCCTTCGTGCTGGTCACTGACCCGTTGCGCGCAGAGATTACGCTGAAGCAGTCGGTGAATAGATTTGCATGGATGAGGCGGATGAGATCTTCGTGACTGACGCGAATTTCCAAAGCCACCGGATTGACCGACATGTCCAACATCGCTGGGTCCTGGGTAAGCCTGTCTCCCCCCGATCCCAAACGCATACCGACCAGATGACCCCAGCTGTACACCACGCTCGGGCTCGAGGGCTCCGGCTCGACGCTCATGCGCAACATCCTCGTAAGTCGCTCTCCTCACCCCCGCCTCCCAGCGCTGACCACACGCAGTTCGTCGACAACTACGGGCTCGGCAAGACGAGCGCACTGGGCGACACGTTCAAGCAGTACGTCTTCACCGCGCTCGGCACGGGCCACCGCCTCAACGGCTGGAACGCGGGCTTCGTGTCGCTCGACCGCGTGTGGGCGGGCGTGCTCTACGGCGCACCCGGGTACAAGGCGTTCGGGTACACGGACGTCGCCGGGAACTGCGTGCAGGGCAATGCGACGTGCGCGGATCCCGCGCATACATTCATGTGGTCTGCAGGGTGCGTCGTCGTGGATGATCACGGGTGCTTTGCTCGCTGACCACTTGTTGTGTTGTTTCCTAGGAACCCGACTGCTGCGACGCACGCGATCATGGCAGAGTATGTGGAGAAGGCGTTGACACAGTGTGTGTCGAAGACGTAATGAGATGAAGGGACGCAGCCGAGATAAGGAGAGGGATGATGAAACTTGTATGACTTCTCAAAAGCTTTGTGTACGATTGCTATAACGAAGGGGTGTCGGATCCCCGGATCTTTGGAATGATTCCCACGATCAATCTGGTAGCATCAAGCAAACGAGATACGGAGGTATGGCACGCCGACGCTCTGGAGCTTTTCTGGACGAGTGAATACATGAGAGAATATTCCGAGTACTAGAAGGGCCAAACGCACTAACGATCTTTGGCTTCACGCCCAACGGACCCTCGGTATGCCCCCCGCCGACATGCCGAACTCATACGGCATGAACAACTTGACCCAGACTCCTTCGCAGCATCGACGAGAGGCAACTGGTAGAGATGGCCCCCGTGGTCAGCGTCGACACGACCAGCTCTACGTTATATACATTGAGTGCGGCGACGACGACGGCGACGTCATCGTACGCCGGGCCGTTTTGGATGTGGACGCGCTGTGGGAGAGAATAGAGCCAGATGCACGGGGCTACAAACTGAGTCCCTGTGGAACCTGCGAGTAGCGCTTACCTAGTCTTCTTTGGCGCCTACTACGCCATATCTACCTCTTACTCCTGCTCTTGAGTGACTGAACTCGGGGTGTCGTGCAATGGTCACGGCACGGTGGTGCGACGACACGTGACAATTGGAGCAATTCTCAGGCAGGCCACACTTGAGGAAGGCATAGGTTGATAAACGGATCTAGAAAAACCCAATTCAGAGTTATAATTCAGTAGCTTCATATTTGCAATGCAAGGGTCCAGCGCTCTGAAGTGAGGCTGCTATCGAGACGCCAAGAAGGCCGCAAGCGCGCATAGAAAAAATCCGTGGCTTGTGTGAAGAATACCCCGTGACATAACATCGACTAGTGACCGAATACATCCTTGACCGTCTTCCACTGGTGTCCCGCCCACAGCACGTTGCCGCTCTTGGACGCCTCCTCGTCGGACAAGCCTTTAACACCGCAGCCCGTAGTTGCGACACCCTGGTCAGCAAGGCTCATCAAGAATGTCTTGAAGTCAGCCATCTCCCCTTCCATCGCTTCGACCGTCACGACCTCCGCGCCGAAGAGCGGCCCAAGAGACCGGAAACCCGGGATCCGGTCACCTTCGATGCGCAGGATCTTGTTCTCCAGGATAGCGGTGGGTTGGTGCGTCAGGACATGCGCGAGATAGCCTAGGACAAGGTGGTCAGCGCCCACTATCTATGTCACGACAGGCCAAGAATCACGCACCGGCAATATCAGCGATAGATGCGACCGACACGGCGCCCTCCGATTTGCCGACCACGTACAGCTTCTTGGCCTCCGCGTTGTAGTTCACGGCCCAGGGCACAAACTCGATGAACAATCCGGTCTGCAGGGTTCACATCAGGATCCTAAGCTGGGGAGAGGTCAGAAGCACTGACAAAGATGCGGAGGTAGGGCACGCCGACGCTCTGGAGCTTGTCTGCATGGATGAGCGCATGAGGACGTGATCGAAAAACGAGGAGCTGAACGCACCGACGGTCTGTTGCTTCGCGCCCAACAACCCCTCGGTGGCTCCCTCCGTCGAAAAGCCAAACTCAGACGGCAAGAACAACTTCACACCGGCCTGCTTCGCTGCATCCGCGAGAGAGAGTTGAGATGGAAGAGCCACGGTGTTCAGCGTGGACACGATCACTTCGACGTTGTGCGCCTTGAGTGCAGCGGCGACGGCGATCACGTCGTCGTACGAGGGGACTTGCACGACCTCGACGCTCGCTGAGACCGTCTTGGATGTGGACGCGCCGCGGGAGAGGAGGATGACTTTCACGGACGGCTGGGCGGCCAGGGCGGCGAGGATAGGGCCACCGACAGTGCCAGCACCAATTACTGCGAATGAGGAATATGTAGGAGACATCGATGGGTCGAGTGTGGGAGGTAGCTGCTGCAGTTAGTTGTTTGAGTTTCTGTTGTCCTCTGACTGCATTTGAGCCTGTCTCTTATAGCCTCGCGAGGTGGACGTATCGACATGCATGGTTGAGAGTGGATAGCGAACAACGGAATCGATCGCGTCGTATGGATGATTTCATCGAAGGATTAGATGCCTTGGCCCTTGGGTTGCTTTCGTGTCATCGATATGACGAGATGATTCACCATCCCAGAACTCCATCAGATCTGCAATTGTGTCTCGATCGCAGTTCTGTCGAACAAATTCCCATGCCGCTCGTTGAGGTTTAGACTTCCCCCACCATTCGCTTCGAGCTGTATCTTGTTCTTTAACTGCCTCTGCACTGACGATCCCTAGATGTTCATGTGAATAGCGATTACCACATCCATCAGTTACTCATTCACCGAGGTACCGGAATTTCTTACCATTCCATCCCAATTCCCGATGTTCCGGGGACGTACACCGTCTGCCTGACCAAGCGGATGTCATCTGCGGCGTTGCCTATTGCCCAGCACGGGCGGTGTCCCCTCTGAGATCGCTGTTGAAGAACGAAGAATAACGTCCTGGGCCCTATCAAAACCTCTCCTGAACGGCGGGGAAGAGAGACGATGGCTCGCAGCAGTTTCAACTTCTGCCATCAGATATTAAAATAACTGAGCAACTGACGGATGTGACCTTTGATCTGACTCCCGCTCTCGTGCGCCTCCCTCATTGTGCCCCACTGTGTTCTCAAGGGCCGGATGAGTGGTATCGACAAGACACAGCCCAGGAGGCCCCAATCCGAGTGGAATTCATGGTCGACTTTCTTTAGTACCCGAGCTGTTGTGCAATCGCGGAGGAACTCACAACACTTCGCAAGGCTAATGAGGATTCCGACCCAGAACCGATCCACAAGAAATGAGGGAGAAATAAAGTACGAGTGAGTACTACTACTATATGCGTAAGTGGCCGCGGTACTAAACGATGGTAAGGAATGTCTGTATGATTGTCCTTGTGCAAAACTCTAGGTTGCGATGCACACAAATCCACCAATCTACAAGGGGGAGAAAACAAAGTACAAGTTTGTGTGTGAAAGGTCTGTCACGGGTGTGTCCGTCACGGGTGTATCCCGTCGCTCAGACGTGGTTGTACGGGTGGTACTGATGGGGGTACTGCTGCTCATGGTCGATCGCGAACGACGACCTCGACGCGTGCTTCTCGATCTCCTTCTCCTCGGCCTCGGTGACCGAGTCCCTGAGCACGTCCTCCGGCTTGGAGTAGAAGATGAGCCCCTTCCAGAATGCCATCGCGGTGAGGACGATGAGCACCAGCCAAGTGATCACGATCACGACCGACAAAAATACATGCAGCGACACCAGCCCAGGGACATTTAGCAATTTGCCGAGTGTTTTCGTGGTGCTGATCCACCCGACTGGAGGATGACCAAGTCAGATCTCAATGGAAAGCGGAAGGAAAGGAAGGACAAACCGTTGGGGAAGGTCAGCGCCCAGCCTATTGAGAGACGGGTCAGCTCGGGTGGGGAGACACGCACGCAACCGGAGACTCACATCCAAGAATCTCGTTCAGGTGTTTGTGCACTTTGAACCAGTACGGCAGGACACCAAACACAAAAAAGAACACCGCGAGCCCGTACAGCATCAGCGCCGACATGATGCTGACGGCATACCAGATCTCGCCCGCTTGCGGCGACACGAGATTAAACTTGGGCAATCTATGGAGAGATCTGTGAGGAGCGAAACAGAAAAAGGATGGATGGATGGATCGCGTACAGGTCCTTGGCGTGGCGCCCGAGGTTGACCAGGGCCAGGGCAGTGAAGCCAGGGGGACCGCAGGCAACGAATGCACCGTTTGCCTGATGACCATCGAGGAATCCCGTCTATGCGTGTACATTAGTTACGATCCCCAGGGTTTGGATCGGAATGTCTCACAGTCATAACGCGGATGACATAGATGCAGATGTAGATGAAGGTCATGAAGAACCCGAGACCTGTGATACAATATTCAGGAAAAGGCCTTGGCGATTTCGGCAGCCTACATACCCTGGAAGAAATAGCCGACAAACAGGACGCCAAGAGCTCGGGGATCGTCGTTTGACATCACGTTCAGAAGGTTGAACGAAACCACGCCGACCAGCATCTATCGGGACGTCAGCCGGTCTACCCCGGGTTTAGAATGCCCATGCCACACCAGAGGAAATACCTGCGACAAAACGGTCAGTCAATCGCACGACGTCATGGCAGGATCGGGGCGCACCAAGAACGCATAGGCAGGTGTGAAGTGGTTCAGATCATGCGGCTTGTTGAACCAGATCATCATCATCGGGAAGCAGGTCAGCAGCGCGAACACCGTGTACACCCTGCACGCGCCAGATCAAGGGTCAGCGGCGTCCAGCGACATACAGGGGGAGAAAGCGCCCACCAGAACAGCGCATAGATCAGCTCCGGGCCGACGTGTTTGGACGGCACCGCGTAATTGATCGTTCCGATGATGATGGTGGCGAACGATAGGACGACGAGGGGGACGAAGATGCCTTTGACGGGGTCCTGCAGAAGCCTCCATGCCTGCCTAGGGAAGACTGCACAGGCAACATGCAGTCAGCCGGGGAAAGCCACGTGTGTGAGAGCGCGCGCGACGCACCGATAGCTTGCACGAGCAGGGTACTCGTGTTGAGCAGGAAGAGGGCCATATTGAGGAAGTAGAAGATCACTTGGATAGTCACTAGCGCGGGTGTCTGTGCCTCGAGGCCGGAGAGCGTCACGTAGACGGCACCGGTGCCCATACCAATGGGGAACTGTTAAGCAGCCACTCAGCCACTCCGGTTCAAGGGGCAGCACATTCGGGGTAGATGCTCACCGCTTGCCACGACCATCCGTGGATCCGGCGGACCAGAGAACTGACTTTGGATTCGCTCTCCATGTTGAGTGGATGAAGAAGGAAAAGGCGGAGACAGAGAAGAAAGAAAGGGAGCTGGGGGAAGGAATTGACGATAAAGAAACAGAAACGACTGGCGCCTCTTTAATGTATGCACGCCCTGCGCGGAAAAGAAGAAGAACAAGCGGCCAAAGTCGACGGGCTCCACAAGACGAGGCAACCGAAACCAGGGTGAGCGGGTCATGGCTCTCAGGATCACTCCAGTATTTGAAGCCCAGTGCCAAGTATTGAAGCAGAACAATGACCGAACCGCGGAGCCAATCATATCTCGTCGACTAATATTGGGGTAGCAGCTGGGCGGCTGTGCGAACCGTCTTGGCTGTAAGAAGCCAGGCAAACTTCTTGGTATCACAACCAAATCACGATTTCCGACAGAAAGGGCTTGGTCTTTTCTGAGCAGCAATCTTTGGGTAGCTGGACTCGGAGAAGCGGACGGGCGACGCATACTTGAGCAGTATTCTCTCTGAGACCGGGGTCCAAGGCCCGTCCCGGCCTCGGTGGGCGCGCGAAGACGCTTCATGTGCCGGGCTGTCGGGGGGACTTGGCAGATACTGCACATTAGTAAGATCTTTGATCAGCTGTCAATCCACGGATACAAGTGTCAAAAAAAGTCGGTGTCAAGGAGTTACGATTTTCTTGTGTTTGGCTACCGGGATCTTCCGCATCTCCTGTCGGCGGGGTTCTCCGGAGATATCCGAACTGGGTGCTGTGAAGAAAGTATCTCGAATTGTACATGCACGATGATGGTGCTCCTCGGAGAACCATCTCAGCGTGTCATCTCCATGATGAACGCTCCAAGAACGTGTTCAGTATCCTGTGTATGCATCCTAGACTGTACATAATCACCCGAGCTTGGAAAAAACTGCCGGCACTGTCAGATCCCTCGTCAAGCAACTTCCGCTCCGCTCGATGATGCATCTGCTCGCCAACGGTTTTAAGAAAAAACATCAAGACTCGCAGCCTTGACTCAATCTTCACGGCGGCAAAACATGATGAGATTTCGAAGATCCCGATTTCCGACACCCCTTGTACGAGGCTTGAGTCCTCAACACATCATCCACGACCCAAAATCCCTCAAGCGTATCTGATAAACTGTCGTCAAGAGCTTTAAGACTGGCACCGTCGAAACCCGGATGCGTCGCCCTATATACCACAGGGCAGGAGCTCTTGCGTATCGCGCCGCACGCATGGAGACTCCCGAGCAACTCAGGAGCGCAAACGTGGGTCTTGAACACGAAGGAGTTGGTGGGGGTGGAGTGGGTCGATCAGCCTGTAACTTGATCATGAGCGCATGTCAGTGATGCCGTTCGACGGGAGGACTACACAACCAGGAGGGTGTAGAACCTGCGAGCAGCGCACCCTTGGATTATGCTTGTTTTGCTCTTACTATGCTGATTTCCCCTCTCAGTCGTGCTCTCGACTGGCGAGACCGGAATCAACATCGCAGAACAGTCACGGGACTGCGTTTGCGACTACGTGTGATGATTGCAGCCATTGCCGGATAGGTCATTTTATAAGCATTCAACGCATTTTTGTGAAGAAAGAGATGTCTATATGAGATGCAGGGAGCCAGTGCGCTGAGGTGAAGCTTATTCCGATTGCTAGAGTCTCAAGTGCGTCGGAATAGCACGTATGGTGTGCATCAACATCGCATTTCGTATGATTGTGCATGCATCGACAAGCAGTTATTGACATATCCAACGAGGGCATGGGACTGGAACCAGATTGATCGTGCGCCTTGGCAGAAAGAGTACATGTGCGAACTTCGGACAGGCATTGATCGATATTCGATGACTGGGAGCGGTGAATCCCGGAGGCAATTTGCATCGACTGCAGAGGAGGAAGCATGATAGGACTGTGGTCTTTTCCCGATTCCACCAGTCACAACGCACCAATTTCTTCAGCACGGGTGCGGCCCGCAGTGGAATCCACTCTGGCCCGGTAGCGCACTCGATGGCAGCCTTGGTGTTGACTTTATTCCCTTTCTGTGCGACGAAAATCAATGTAAACATGCGCATGTAGTGAGAGAGAGACAACACCTGTTCACTGGGCCCGAACTCCAAGAGAATGTCAGCTCCACCATGCCCTGGAAGGAATCGGTGTACGCTCAAACTGAGTAGCCCCAACTCCGTAGCGAGTCGTTTGCCATAGGATCGTCCAGGAATGTATCCAGCAAGGCTGGAAGTGGCTGCTTGGTCCTGTCGTGTGAATAGCAACACAGCAGAAGTCGTTGGCACGCAGTGGCACGCACGCGAGACCAAGTGACTCCGCATTCATTGCCTAAGCAAAGCGGCAAACGAGGCAAAAATGAAATCAGCTTGGTCAGAAAGGTGCAATCGGCCAGCCGAACGTCGGGGTGAGAGGACGACTGGCTCGGGGACGTCTCGGTCAGTGAGTAAGGAATTGCCCGATTGGGAAATTCTTCACATCCCCATTTGGTGATCACTAGTGTATAGCTGGAGAGAAAGAGTGAAAGACATAGCTGCAGGGGAAAATACGAAGTGGAATCCGAACAGAAATGCCCTGCAAGAGGTTTGATTCGATGGAAGGACAATCGAGACACGATATAGATCATATCCAGAGGACGCCATCTCGTCATCCCAATGACGTGAACGTACTAAAGGTATCTAATCCTCTGATGAGATCATCGATGTCCTCTTAAACCATTTACTCTGCGATGTCGACTGGCGAGGTTATAAAAGACGAGCTACAGCGGAGGTCAAGGACAGCAAAAAACCTACCATCTGCTTCCTCCTACACTCAGTCAACTCATTAACCGATGCCTTCTTACACCTCGTTCGCCGTGATCGGAGCTGGCACTCTTGGTGGCCCTATCCTAGCCGCCCTCGCCGCCCAGCCATCGGTCAAAGTGATCTTGCTCTCCCGCACCGCGTCCAAGAAGGCCCCGGAGAACGTCCAGGTCGTCCAAGTCCCGTCGTACGACGACGTGCCAGCTGTCACCGCCGCACTCAAAGCGCACAACGTCGAAGTGATCGTGTCCACAGTGACCACGGAGGCCATTTCCGCTCAGGCGCCTCTCGTCGACGCGGCGAAGCAAGCTGGTATCAAGCTGTTCGTGCCGTCCGAGTTTGGCACCTCGACAGAAGGGTATACAGAGGGTCCGTTCGCCGAGAAGAACAAGATCATAGGTATGCTTAGCTCCTCGTTCTTTGGCTGCTCGCTCATGCATTCATCCATCCAGAAAAACTCAAGAGCGCTGGCGTGCCGTACCTCCGCATTTTTGTGAGCGCTTCGATGCTCTTTTGTGCTCGAGATGCTGACGCAGACCCGCAGAACGGATTATTCATCGAGTTCGTGACCTGGACCGTGAACTACAACGCCGAGGCGAAGAAGCTGTACGTGGTCGGTAAATCGGAGGGCACTGTTTCTGCCACGTCGATCGGAGATGTCGCTGGTACGTTATCACTGGTCTGTCTCTTGCATATTTATAACACACTGACCCCGTTACTTCTCCACAAGGCTTCGTTGCACATGTCCTCACGCACCAGCCTCGTTCTGTTCTCGAGAACCAGATCGTGCGCATCGAAGGCGACCGGATTGCTGGCTATCGATCCCTCGGGGCACTGTTTGGTGCGGAAGTTGAAACGGTGGAAACGCTGGAAGGAGAGATGGCGGACCTGAAGGTGTTCTTGATGAGCGTCGCTGACCAGGGTCTGGCGACCACTGGCCGGGGCGTCAAAGGTGTATCTGACGAAGTGGCCTCGAAGAGCGGAAACGCGTTGTGGGCAGGCCACCAGTGGAAGACCGTTAAAGATGTTTTTGGTCTTTAGAGTCACGTATACAGAAGGCTAGTCAACATGCAAGAAAGGATGTCATGTGACGCTACGTTACTGGCTCTTTGAATCTCACATTGGGATCTATGGATCTGTCACTCTGGGCTGAAGTCTGCCACATCAGTCTTATCAACCTAGGAATGTACAGAAGATGAGAACGACGGAAAGAATACTTGGCCACCTCTCGATCGAGCCATCCCTTCCTTGACACCCTGTTTCGTGAAAAGGAAGTTGATAATCATAGACTGGGCGTGTATTCGAGTCTGAGCGGAGCAAGCAACGGTGACATGGAAGAACGGGAAGTTGCAGGTGGTCAAGTAACAGATCATTATGTACACAAAGCTTTGATGAGTCACACAAGTCATTCCTCCTTCCCTGATCTCGGTTGCGTCCCTTCATCTCATTACGTCTGCGACACACACTGTGTCAACGCCTTCTCCACATACTCTGCCATGATCGCGTGCGTCGCAGCAGTCGGGTTTCTAGGAAACAACACAACAAGTGGTCAGCAAGCAAAGCACCCGTGATTGCCCACGACGACGCACCCTGCAGACCACATGAATGTATGCGCGGGATCCGCGCACGTCGCATTGCCCTGCACGCAGTTCCCGGAGACGTCCGTGTACCCGAACGCCTTGTACCCGGGTGCGCCGTAGAGCACGCCCGCCCACACGCGGTCGAGCGACACGAAGCCGACGTTCCACTTGTTGAGGCGGTGGCCCGAGCCGAGCGCCGTGAAGACGTACTGCTTGAAGGTGTCGCCCAGCGCACTCGTCTTGCCGAGCCCGTAGTTGTCGACGAACTATGCGTTGTCGCGTGTGCGGTCAGCTTTGTGCGGCGGTGGGGGGTGGGACGGGGCTTACGAGGACGTTGCGCATGAGGGTCGAGCCAGAGCCCTCGAGTTCGAGCGTGGTGTACAGCTGGGTTCATCCGGTGAGTATTCGTTTGGGATCGAACGAGATATAACAGGCTTACCCAGGATCCAGCGATGTTGGACATGTCAGTCGATCCGGTGGCTTTGGAAATTCGCGTCAGTCACGAAGATCTCATCCGCCTCATCCATGCAAATCTACTCACCGACTGCTTCAGCGTAATCTCTGCGCGCAACGGGTCAGTGACCAGCACGAAGGATCGGGTGTCCGATGCCACTCACTCAATTCCGTAAAACATGACATATAGCGTCGAGGCAGGGTCGAGCGTTTTTGTTGATTCGAGGGTCCTCGCTGGTCGGATCTGAGGCGCTGTCCGTACTCGCGAGCGGGTCGACACACCTTGGTTCACATAGTCCTGTCCCGAGGCCGCCTGAATCGCGGGTACGTGAGGCCACAGGGTCGCGTCCACCACTGATCCCGTGGCCTATGCAATAGTCTCCACATCAGTCTCCACTCGACACCAAAGGGAGACGAGAACTGACCGCGTAGTTGATGAGCTGCGCATTTGCGGAGCTGGCTAGGAGCTCCACCCACGTGGGCCCGTTCGTCGCGCCGCCGCCCGTGTACGAGTCTGCAAGAGACGAAGAAGAACGGGCTTGAGCACGATGCCACAATAGGATGACGACAGGAGGAGATCGACTCGCCTCCGAATGCGACGATCGTTTTGTACGAGCTCAACGGCGCGAGCCCGACGTTCACGTCGACGGGCACGCCCGCAGCGAGCGCACCGCACTGGGGGCTCACCGCCAGTTGCACGGCGCCCCGGGTCTGGGGGATCCCCGCTGCGGCAGCGAGCGCCGCGCAGGAGACGGAGATCAAGGCTGTCCTCGAGTTGAAGAGCTGGGGAAACATCGCAGTGTGAAATGGAGCGAGTGGACTCGTGTGCCTCCAGCCCCGCATCGTCGGCTGCTTTTAAAGGAGTTTCGTTTGGGCCCAACGCCCCACCTCATGTGGCAGTCCATGTGCGGACCCTCGGGCGAGGTGCGGCACATCTTGGGAAATAATGATACTAGCGGGCCCCGACCATTTACCACGCTTCTTCCGTCATAATAGCATCGACTCGCAGACTGACGGTGTGTGTCCGAAGCTCGAGGTCACACGCATTGAAACATTGCATGCATGTGCTCTAGCTATTCGTGTTCGTGATGCTAGAAGGCGCTTTGGCCTGTATCGACATGACCGGACACTCACTCCGGGGAACGAGTAGTTGAAGCGGTCCGGGAATCGCCGCGCAAAGCTGCTCGACTCGGGGACGATCTGGTCCGGTGCCACAGGCCCCATTGAATATATTGAAGAGGCCGGTGATCGAACTGAGCGCAGGTGAGGAGATGCAAACATCACGTTGAAGTCGCGGAAGATGGTCGCGACGAGGTCTGATGTGCTACCTGCGTGTGCTGTGTGCGCATGTGCGCATATGTGAGCGACTTCGATTGCGGCGCGAGCGGGCGGCGTACCCTGAGGATCACCGCGTCTGTGTCCTTCCCGTAGCTCGCTACCCAATATAGCGGCGCGCTCTCATTGGTTGATGACGGCGTCGTAGCAATCACGTGGATCCCACGGTTCAAGTTAACCATCTGACTGGCCGAATTGAGGGGAAAATCCGAAAGTCCCAAGGGACTGGGAGCACCTACCGGAAATAATAAGACGCACATTTTATCAGGAGACCGGCATCGTTTGCGATGATGCCTGAGGTCCAGATGACAGTGGCATATTTACACTATGCTTCAATTATTTTGTGGTCATGCTGTTAGATCATGGCCTGATTCATCTTCTGGTGTTCAGCTGGTTGCTGATTTATGCATTAGACCTGCTAAATGCTTGTTCTCTTTGTGATAAATTACAGGCCACCGCGTAAGGTGTTTAGCCATCCCATGGTACAATAAGAATTCGACGAGCCTGTCGTTGTGATCACATCAGGCGGAATGGCCCACCCGATCAGCCAAATTCAAACTCCGACATGCGGGTTTCACAAGCTTTTCGGCAAGTCTGACATTTACGCTTGTACCTCGACTAACTGTTTTCCGTAGACTAGAGACCGAACACATCCTTGACCGTCTTCCACTGGTGTTCCGGCCACAGTGCGTTCCCACTCTTAGACGCCTCCTCGTCAGACACGCCTTTGACGCCGCAGCCCGTGGTCGCGAGACCCTGGTCAGCGAGGCTCATCAAGGACGCCTTGAGATCAGCCATCTCTCCTTCCAACTTCTCGACCGTCTCGACTTTCGCTCCGAAGAGCGGCCCGAGGGAGCGGTAGCCCGGGATGCGGTCGCCCTCGATGCGCAGAATCCTGTTTGCGAGGATGAAGGAAGGTTGGTGCGTCAGGATGTGCGCGAGATAGCCTAGAGTAATGCTTTGTGAGCCCCATGTAGATCACTAGCCGGCCGGTGATAACGCACCAGCAACATCTCCGATGGACGTGGCCGACACGGGACCCTCCGATTTGCCGATCACGTACAGCTTCTTGGCTTCGGCGTTGTAGTTCACGGTCCAGGTCGCGAATTCGATGAACAATCCGTTCTGCGCGGTTTCTTCAGCATCTGGCGTAGGCACAGAAGAGCCTTTAAGCACTCACAAAGATACGGAGATACGGCACGCCGACGCTCTGGAGCTTTTCTGGATGAATGATTCCCTGAGAAAACAGCCAGAGGAAGAGGAGTCGAGCGCACCTATGATCTTGTTCTTTTCGCCAAATGGACCCTCCGTATGTCCCTCCGTCGACGTGCCGAACTCAGACGGCACGAACAGCTTGACGCCAGCCTTCTGTGCCGCGTCAACGAGAGGCGACTGCGCAGCGATGGCCTCCGTAGTCACTGTGGACACGATCACCTCGACGTTGTGCGCCTTGAGTGCGGCGGTGACAGCTGGCACGTCGTCGTACGCCGGGACCTGGACGACCTTGACGTTCGCCGGGACCGTCTTAGCTGCGCTGCGGGAGAGGAGGATGACTTTTGCTGAGGGCTGGGCGGCGAGGGCGGCGAGGATTGGGCCACCGAGAGTGCCTGCACCGATCACTGCGAACGAGGAGTAAGAAGACATGAATTTATGTGTTGAGTGCGGGAGGAAGATGTTGAGATGAGTGTAGTAGGTTTGTTGTTGTCCTGCATCGTCGAGCCTGCCTTTTATATCCTCACGAGGTGGATATATGCATAGTTGGAAGTTAATATTAACCGATTAGTACAGAATCGGTCGAGTATGAACAATCCCATCAGAGATTAGATCGCTTCAGCGTTTTCACGTCATCAAGAAAACGAGATGATTTGTCGTCCTGGACTTGATCTGCATCCTTTTTCCCTGTTTGTTTTGCTTGAAGCTCCATCGAACGAAATATATAGCTCCTCATTCATTTTTCGTTCTTTTTTCCCAATTTTCTTCGAACTGTACCTCGTTCTCACACTGGTTGTGCACTAGCGATCGCCAAATATTGATGTGAAGTTTTGCCAAATCGGGCAATCTCTTACTCACTGACCGAGACGTCCCCGAACCAGTCGCCTTCCTATCCCGACGTTCGGCCGGCCGACTTGGTCAGTCTGACCAAGCGGGTGTCATTTACGCGTTGTCTGTCGCTCAGGTGAGGCTACGAATGCGGCGTCGCTCGGTTTGTACGCCAGCGCCCCACGCGGCGTTGCCATCCACAGCACGGGACCAAGAAACTGCCGATCCCACCTGATCCACACGTCCTACATAGGCTTTCTTGCATCAGAGCATATGCTTAGTTGCACAGGAGCAATTGGACGTTACAGACACACAGCTAAGCAAACAACAACGCCCGTCAAGCCGAGTCCCCTTCCGCCTCCTGCTCAATGTCAACTAATTCTCGGCCTTCCTCAACCATCTCGCCATTCTTACACCCAACAGTCTTCACCACACCGGCGAAATCAGCCCTCAACACCGTCTCCGTCTTCATGCTCTCCAAAACAACCACCGCTTGGCCCTTCTCGACCCGATCACCGACCTTCACGCGCACCTCCACAACAAGACTCGGCATCGGCGCTCGCAGCGCACCTTTCGCCGCGCCGAGCACGTCCTCGCTTAGCGAAAGGAGCCATTTCGGCGACGGGATACTCAGCGTCGTCTTACATCCATCCGAGAAGATGTGGATGCGCTCAGTTGTGTTGGACGCCCCAGAAGCGGGTAACCCCGGCGGCGGTGGCTGGGAAACGACAGTCGCACGCGACCGCTGTCCGTTGACAGTCGAAAGCAGGGTGGTCGCAGACAGCAGCTCCCCAGAGACAGAGTGGAACTCTGTCGCGGTATCACCTGCGCGGACGTCGATATCGAAGGTGCCCTGCGGTGTGGATCTAACGGCCACCGTCATCGTGGTTTCGTCTTGTTGGAAGGTGATTGTCCGCTCGTAAACGTCGCCCCCGAACCGCCGAGAGACAAGCGACGACCAGGGTGATGGGGTCTGCAGAGGCTGGTCTCTCAATGCAATAAACAGCGCTGTCTGAGCCAGCAGCTCGGGCGAAGGCTGGACAACACGAGGGAACAGTTCATCGAAGTGTTTCTTGAGAGATCCGATCAAACTCCCGCTCGACAGAGACAAAAAAAATCTTACGGAAATGAAACCAGTCTCAACCTCCTCGTCGATGAAAGCTTGATTCCCCGCCAAAGTCCGGAGAAACTCAACATTGGTTGACACGCCAACCACGTGATACTCCTCCAGGGCCTTCCTCAGCAGCCGCAGCGCCTCGGTGCGATCGCGGCCGTGTACAACAAGTTTCGCGATCATCGGGTCGTAGAACACGCCGATCTGTGCGCCCTGGCCAAACCCTTGCTCCAATCGCACCGCAGGCTCGACGGCCATCAGCGCGTCAGATGATGCTGACGGGATCAGCTCGCGATCGGACGTCATCGGGGGGAACGGCGTCGCGAATATATGCGTGGGCGCGGGCGTCGAGAGATGCAGCAAAGTGCCAGAGTCGGGGAGGAAGTTGTTTCGTGGGTTTTCGGCGTAAATCCGGGCCTCGAATGCGTGTCCGACTAGAGGGATGGAAGACTGGGCCAGTGGGAGAGGGTTCCCCGCCGCAACCTGGATAGATCAGCATCTGTAATCCTATCCTCACATCATCGATTTCTCACTTCAAGTTGCCATTCAACCAGATCCAGCCCAGTTACCTATCAACATTCAATATATCCGCTGATATAATCTTCAGTTGCCACTCACCATCTCAGTCACTGGATGTTCGACTTGCAAACGAGTGTTCCTGAACAGGAAATCAACACTAAAAAGTCACGCAAAAGGCCAACAACTCACATCTCCATAAAGTAGAATTTCCCCGTGTCGTTGTCGAAGATAAACTCGACTGTTCCGGCACCGACGTAATCCACGGCCCTCGCTGCAGCGATCGCTTTCGCACTGAGATCCGCACGAAGCTCAGCGCTCAGCCCTGGAGCAGGCGCCTATTCCCAACCGCGCAACCCATCAATTCCGAGTCCGCGCTCCACAAATCAGAGCCCGCACCTCTTCGATGATCTTCTGATTGCGTCTCTGAACCGAGCAGTCGCGCTCCCACAAGCTGACTACACCGCCCAGAGTGTCCGCGAAGACCTGCACCTCAACATGTCTCGGGCGCTCGATGAATTTTTCGATCAGCACGGTATCGTTGCCAAAGGCTTTCGACGATTCTCGCTGGGCTGAGGACAGGCCCTCCTGGAACGCGGCGAAGGTGGGCTCGGTGACCGTCCGCATGCCCTTCCCTCCGCCACCGTGGATCGCTTTGATGAGGATCGGGAAGCCTGTGCGTGCTCATCGAAGATTGTGCTACGTAAAGATGTGCAGAAACATACCGATTTGCTGGGCCTGCTCGAACAGAAATTGCGGGTCTTGTTTATCCCCGTGATATCCGGGAACGCACGGAACACCGGCAGCTGAAGTCCCGCATCAAGTTTGACCCTCAGGGAGACAACCTCACATGTTTTCACCAGACATAATATTCTTCGATTCACTGGAGAAAGTTATCAGTTTTGCGATTTGCTTTCATTCTGGGAGGGCAGACCTTTTAGAGCCCATACTGATGATCGCCTGAGCTGGTGGACCGATGAACACGATACCTGCTTTCGCAAGCTCATCGGAAAATTGCGCATTTTCACTCAAAAAGCCGTAGCTGTGTCGAATGGATGAGATCAGAATTCTGTGATAATGTGTCACCACGAAACCGTTGCTCACCCAGGATGGACGGCCTGTATGCATGCTATGGTTCACCCCAATTTTCGATTAGGGGATAGACGCACCTGAGCACCACTTATGCGACATACGTCGATGATTTTGTCCATCCGGAGCTACACGGGGTGCAGTCAACACCTGCTGCAAACAGCTGCAGCTGCGCCCATGCTCACGTAGCTGTCGGCTGACTGCGCCGGTCCGATGCAGAACGCCTCGTCCGCCTGGCAAAGATGAGACTCCACGAACGATATTCACCCTGCATCGCACTCGCCAGTTTGACATGGAGCGAGTCGGCGTCGACGTCACTGTACACCGCAACCGTCTTGATGCCCAGCTTGCGCGCGGTCCGGATGACGCGGCACGCGATCTCGCCGCTGGCGACGAGAGATCGGGAGCTGGAGATGGCGCATGTAGCGGAGGACGCACCGATTCGCGATGAGGATCTTGTCAAAGTGCGGCCGGCGCGCGCCGGGTTCTGGGGTACTCGGTTCCAGCCATGACGTCCGGAGAGTGGAGAGGGGGGAGGGGTGAAGAGAACACACGCACTGGTTTCTGATGCGAACCCTCGGCGCTGCACAAGCACGTTCCCTCGATGAGACTGAGAAATGCCCGGGGTCGATCGCGGTGGCAGAGTGCGGGGTACGGGCCGGGCCGAGAGTGTCTTGGAGTAAGCACGTGCGGGGAGAGCGACAGCGGGGGCCCGCGCCACGCTTGAGAGAGCTGCAACACGCTTCGCGGGAATCATGGTGTTGGGCGTTGGTGGTGGAACGGAGGGTGCGGTGGTAGTCCGCGTTCAAGCTCGATTGAGTCCATTTCGGGACGGAACTCGGTCACGAGTTCAGGTCACGGGCAGAGGGTGATGAGTCCAGGTCACGGGCAGAGGGTGATGCCATCGCGCCACCCGCGTGACATTGACAGCGTTGGGCATACTCGTGCTTCGTTCTTCCTTTCGGCCATCATGCACTTTCGCCTGTGATTTTATGTTCGGAGTCGGACCAGGCGGCACACAGGCTCATCTCTGATCAAAGCCACGACTATTTCATCGATCCACGAGTATGACTTCCCGCAAGCGCGCCATCTCGATTGTCAGAATTTCGACATTGCGCCGGCTCCCAAGACGCGCTGACATCTCCGTTTAGAGCTCGGATGGCAGCTCACAGTCGACCGACGTTTGGATACAATCTGAGGCCTCTTCTTCATCGAAAACCATCCGAGCAGCGCGTAAATCGACGGGAGGGAAGAGACCGCGCGAGGTAGAACCGTCCAAGGTAGACACGGTGCATGTGTGGGTCCTCAATGATCTGATGTGTTTCAGAGCGCAAGTACGCGATATCAATACGCGCGCAAATCCACAGGGGGACAACCACCCCGCGCCTCAGGCTCAGTAAGCGCTTTCTCTTGCACTTATCTCTGCTGACCCATACACAGTCCGATCGTGTGTCCTTTTTCTGCGATTTCGCCGCATGGAATCTAAATCGCATGAACTGTAGGGACCCCTTCAAGCTCGATGATCCCCTACGTTCCCTTAGCACGCGCCAAAGTGACCGGTCCCCATTGTGGGCTGTGCACGAACCCACTGCCCACACCGTATGCGCCTATAGATTCTATCCACAGATTTTCCATGCGTTGCGAACATGACCTGCATTACTGCTGCTACATGGCGTACATATCGCAGGCTGTGGCGCCGGTGGGTATGAAGGATTCGTGTCCGGAGTGCAGAGAAAGCAGTAGGCCCATTCGCGGGCTACGAAAATTTCACTGACCCATTTACAGTACTCAGCGACGGGAGGTACTGGGTCCGCGCAACATCGCATGCCGGAGAGCAGGTCCTGATCTCTTTTAACTGTCCCATCCCATCATAAAACTCATATCCGCTCGCCTACTCAGACCCCCGTGGACATCACAGATAGGGTCCTCGCGCGACTGAAGATGGTGAAGAACGCAAAACAGCAACTGTTTTTCGACATGCTTGAAATACGGAATGTCGTCCTTGCCTCGGCATTGCTGGAGGGCTCCGATCCTATCGATGTCAACTTCCAAAGTCTCACGACCGGGATTTCTGCCCTCCATATATGCGCCCTGAAAAACGACGTTCCGGGGATCGAGTTCCTGCTCAAGTCAGTGGGCAGCCCAGTAGCAAATTTCTTCTCCTCATGCGATGTTAATCCATCTGACACAGAAACGGGGCGGATAAAGACGCGAAAACGTTTGCTGGTCTGACTCCCCTGGAGTCGGCGCGCTTCTCAAATGCTCCTGATGCCGAGAAGCGTCTTTTACTGGCATGAAAATGAAACATCCGAGCAGGAATATTGCGTAAACATACTTTGTTGTAATATTATTATAACTGCTGACTTGCGTGTTGGTTTGAGTCCCTCTGGAACTCTTCGGGTGCGTACGATATCGGCTGGCGCGATGAGATATCGTTTATCCCAGAATCTTCCGGATCGATTGGTGATACCTAGAGGTGCTCAGTGAAATATTATATATACTTATATATGCGGTATGCAAGCCAGCTGAGTGTTATGCTGGAGGCATCTGGCTGTCCGAAAGCACGTCAACTCATAATTAGTACATACCAGTCTACACTACGTCCTCGAACCCTTGAACTGTTCCGAACAGTGACAACAAACGTTTGGCATAGCGTGTGATCATACATGACTTGGCATCTGTCCGCCAATTATTATTGAACGTAAGACCCATACAGTGTAGTACGGCCAGTTGGATCAGGAATTTATATCTTCATGACCACTTAAGCTAGACACAATCGGCTTTGCAAGTGTTCAACGGTAAGCTGCATAGACTCCTAAAAATGTTGTAGAATAATCGAAGATATATAGGTTCTGAACCGGGCAGATTATTAGTGTGATTGTCAATTGATGTAAGCATTGTGATTTCAAGACCTTGAGTGCATATTCAGTCCACAACAAGCAAGGTTCTGGTTCCAATATTTTTTCTAGGCAACATGAGAGTCCTGAGCAATAATTTGGGACATTTGAATAGGGGATTGAATCTGATTATGAGACACTAGAAATTTCCAAAGTGGATCCACCTGCGGAGCGTGACAGCATTTCATTGATCATCCCTTGCGCATCTTGTATCTTTCTGTCCATACAGGATCTCCCTCCCACATGTGTCATAGATTATTGTGTCCAGTCAGAGCACACATCAAATAGCAGCCAAAAAAAAAGAGATACAAGAGTCTGGTAAGAGTATAGTCAAGAGTGTGACTTGTGATGATCCTAGGTCCGGAAGTGTGGTGACAAAAGGAGTTGTTCTACCAAAAGATTTAGCGCTACTTCAACAAATCATGTGCACTATTCCCACGAACGGGGAACTTATGAGGATTTCTGCTTTCCGTTCCCCATTTTTATTGATTCCTTTGTGACCATAATACACTGCACATACAACAAGAAATTTCCAAGCCATCACCGATACTGCGGCGTCGGGCTGCTGCCGACATGCGCAAACTGCAAGGTATCCGGCACGTGCTGCTCAGCCTCGTCGCCGCCAAACATCAGCAGCTCCCCGCGCTCCGACAGCCGATTCTGCGCGCGCTGCGCCGGCGGGCGCCCGAAGACCGTCTCCTCCTGCGGCACGCCCGCGTCGAACGTCTCGTCGTCGAACGAGTCGTCCCCGCCGGCGCCAGCGAACCCGGGGTGGTGCGCGAACGCAGCGAGGACGTTGCCGTCCGCCGCCTCGAGGAGCGAGTCCTGCGACTGGAACGAGTCGTCCTCGTCGAAGCCGGACGTGCCGGACCCGGCCGCCATCAGGAACGCGGCGGACGGGTGCGCGGTGTTGTTCACCTCCTCCTCCAGCGAGTCCGAGTCCGAGTCGAAGCCCCCGTCGTCCAGCAGCGGCGCCTGCGGCCCGTCGAATCGGAACGCCATCGGCACCGGGCCGGACGACGACGAAGTGACCGACATCGTTTTCGGACGCAGGCGGAGACCGGGGGTGGTCGAGACCGGAGGCGGGATCCGCGCGTCGAGTGCCACGCGGCGCATGACCGTCTCGAGGCTCTCGTCCCCGTCCTCCTCGTCGAGTGCACTCGTGTCAGTGTCGGGGCGGTACCGCGACAGCGAGGGGATGGATTCGAGCGTGTTCATGCTCGACTCCGTGGCGTTGTCCCCAAGCGGGTAGCCGTAGTAGCGGCGGATCTTGACCGACTCCTGGTGCCGCAGGTCGCGCACCAGATCGTCTTTGATCCGCGCCGCAGCGTCCTTCGCGGGTGTCTTGCCACGCAGGAGCTGCAGCTCAGCGGTCGATCGTGGGGGACGCGCGGGTGACATCAGAACGGGCGGCGACATCCCAGCGGGCAGCCCGTCGAACGAGTCGTCGTCGTCGTCGTCGCTGACGTCGCCCAAGTGTCTCTTCTCGCCCCTCCGTGGCGTCGACAGCGGCGTATTGCGAAGATCGACGATGCCACTCCAGTTCGCCGGCTGGATCGTCTTTGGCAGGTACGGGTTGTGCGGGATGGGCGTTTTGATCTTGCCCCGCATCGGCGACATCGCGGAGAACGACACATCAGAGTGCATGCCCGTCTGGTTCCGCAAGAGATTGGTCCGCATCGGCTCCTTGTCCTTGCCCTTGCCCTTGAGCGCGGATCGGATCACGGTGTGGTCGTCTTCGTCCAGTTGGAATGTACTCTGCTCGCGCGAGAAGCTCTGTACCTCACGATCGAGACGCGTCAGGGGTGAATCGAGTGAAGCGGACCATGACGGTTCCTCCAGCCCGTGCCGCGCGGCAGCGGGGGTAGATGCGAAGGCGGCTTGGCCAGGCAGGAATGATGTCTCAGTCGTCGTGTTGTGCTCCTGCACTGTCTGGTCTCGAAGAACAGTATTCTCCCCGTCCTCCTCTTCCCCTTCTTCCAGTAAGACTTCGGTTTGCTGCCCACTCGACTCCGTCTGGGTCTGATCTCCGCGTTCGGAGGGCACGTCGTTCACAGTCGAGTAGTCGTCCGTCGTGGGGATACGTATCTGCGCTGCCTTCTCGTAGAAGGAGACCCAGAACTGCACTGAAAGCATCAGCCCTGAACTGATCGCATCGCGCCCGAGGACCCACATTCGCAGCCTCCCGCACAGGCTTCGTGTTCGCCTCGTAGCGCCGCACCGCAGGCAAGATCCGCGTCGCCAGGACATGCTGGATGCGCGCAAAGTTCTCGTCGACATCCTGGCCACGGGTGAGATCATCGGAGATACGGGTCATGGCCCACGGCACAAGGAAAGAAAGTTATTCACGCGCAGCTTGATTGTGATGAGCTGCTCGATCTGCTCAATCTGGTCGTGGATGGGCGCGCTGGTGTCGAGGCCCGGAACGACGATGGACGACGGGTCCGGGTTGGGCCGCCAGCGCGGTGGGTTTGGAGGGATGTCTTTGGAATCGTCGGCCATGGATTTGCGAGGAGGAAGTGGCACTATCAAAGAAGGGAAAGCGCGTATCGTCACATGTGACCGTGACTACCTGAAATAGGTCAGCCAGTCTCGTTCAATACCGTCGTCGGAGTAAGTAGCAATCTACATACATACTTAGGTTGAAACCGGTGACCCACGACTGCCGAATCTGCCTGTCAAGGAGCATCCGGGATTCCTCTATAAAGATGGACTGACACGAGCTGCCACCTCCGCCGACCCAATGCACGCCTGTCTCCTGTCCAGCTCCGTCGTCCTCGTTTTGCTCCTCACGCCTATCGCAGCGACCTTCCAGCCCTCTGGCGCTCCGTTCCGCGCCCCCGTGACTGTCGCACCGGGATTCTCCGCGCAGGTCCTCTTCTCCAACCTCACCCTCCCGCGCGGCATTGCCCTCGATGGGGACGACAACATCCTCGTCGTCGAGCGCGGGCTGGGCGTCTCCGTAATCAGCCCTGCCGCGGGCGGGTGGGACCGCACGCTCGTCATCGCCAACCCGAACTTCACGCAGGGCATCCAGCTCGACGCGGACACCGGCACGCTGTACGTCAGCACCGCGGCCGCCGTGCTCGCGTACCAGTACGACCACGCCAGCAAGTCAGTTGGGAACTCAACCGCCCCGTGCGATGTCATTCTGGGTCTCCCAGCGGACGGAGGTAAGTGCTCTGCTCTTTGCCGCTCGTCGCATCACTGGGACGCACAACGAGTGATTGGCTCCAGATCTCACCACGCACACGCTGCAGCTGGAGAAGACGCCCGGCGGCGCTGCTTCGCTCCTCGTCGCAAACGGACCGCTAAACAACATCGACCCGACCGCTCGAGATCCTGCATCTGGCCGCTCGCAGATCCGGCGGTTCGCGCTGTCAGCCAACCCGTGTCGCGGCTCCCGGCCCCCGAAACAATGGACGGACGGACGTGTCGTGGCTTACGGGATCCGCAACCCCGCCGGATTCGCGGTGCATCCGGCTCATCCCCGCAAGCTTTACGTCGTCGAGAACGGCGCCAGCATCGACAACGTCACAGGTGAGTACAGACATGCAATGCACCGGGCTTCCCACATTTGATGAGTTGATTTCTTGAAGGACTGACTCCAGCGTTCGTGAACGACAACCCAGCCGACGAAATCAACGCCGTCCACCTCGGCCGCCCGGCCGTGTCGTACGGCTTTCCGGACTGTACCACGCTCTGGAACCCTACCGCCGATCCCGCGGGAGATCCGCAATACACGGCGCTCGCGAGGGGCGCGCAGATCAGCCTCATGCTTACACCCGAGAGGAACCACAGTTGGTGTGCATCGACGCAGAATAACGTGCCCCCCGTGCTCAGTCTGCAGGTGAGGAATCCCCATCGACCGTCTGTGGGACAACTGATTAACCGCGGCTCCCAGGCGCATTCCGTTCCGCTGGATATCAAGTTCTACGCCCCGCCCGCAAACTCGACCGCCGCGTCCTTCCCGGCCAGCTTCGCGGGCGACGCGGTCGTCTCCTTCCACGGCTCGTTCAACCGCAATCCGCCGACGGGATACGGCGTCGTCCAGTGCGTCTGTCCCTCATCTAAAGCCACACGAATATGATTCGCGCACTGCAGCGCGCCCTTTCCGTTCCGCGGCGACGCGTACGAGTTCCTCGTGCAGGCGAGTAACCTCACGTCCTGCTCCGGGCATTGCATCCGGCCCGTGGGGCTCGCGTTCTCCTCTACGGGCGTGCTGTATGTCAGCAGCGACACCAGCGGCGAGGTGCGCATCAACTTCCAAGCATTCAGCGTCTGTGTTCTCAGAATCTGCCAGCTGTTCTCGATTCAGAGAAGTTGAGCGCCGGCATACGTGAGGGGCAGATGTATACGTGATGGTTAGAGTGGAACGCCCTTGGTAGAAGTAACTGAAACAAACAAGGAGATTGGGTCTCAAGTGACAAGTCGCATGAGCACATACATCGTGCGTTTACATCTGCAGATTACATTGCCCACGAGGGTTTGTTTCATCAAACAACGAGAAAAGTACATTCTGCCATCTCAGGCTGCCTTGAGCGTGATCGTCCCCACCCCATTTTGAAACGCGACCACAAACGCACCGGCGTCCACGGGCACGGTCGTCGTCGGCTTGAGCACCCCGGCGCCCGCGACCGCCGCCGTCTGGCTGACCACCAGGCGGCCGTTCGGCGCAGCGGCAGCAGCAGCCGCGCCGTCCGGCGTCGGCGCGATCGTCACGACGACGGTCTGCGTGGCGGGCGTGTACGCGATGGTGGAGAAGGCGCCGGCGTCGAGCGTGAGGAGCGCGGCGATCGGCGCGAGGAAGATCCGGCGCCGCACGGGGTCTTTGATGGACACCTGCACCGTCGAGCCTGTCGCGGTCACGATGCCGCCGAAGGCTTGCCAGCCAAAGTCGGGGTGGTTGATGATCGTCGTGCTCATCCCCATCGACATCCCGGAAAAGTTGGGGCTGGTGGTTGGTCAGCTGGGATGGCCGAGGAGTTTGCGTTGAACGCCCACTCACCCATAGTCACCCGAGTAGCCATCCCATGCGAGCTGTGTGAAAAGAACAACGTGTCAGAGGTGTATCAGCAAGCTATCCCAGCACACCCACCGTATCGGCAAACGAATGGAACGACGCAGACGCGAATCCACCCTGGTCAATGTTCGTCATCGGGCCGCTTGTTCCCGCATATCCCACACGCAGCAGGTAGTAGTCCGTCGGAGACGACTCAAACGCCGATATCAGAGGGATGGCGTTCAGGCCACTGCCGTAGTGGTGGATCTGGCGCTCAATGCGTTGCAGCTTGCCACCGTAGATGTTGTCCCTTCAGCCGATGAGCGACTAGCCAAACGACATATGAAAACCATCAGACCAGTAGCGACGCGCGTTTCCGTTGTATCCCCAGTGCGGGATCAGCGGCTGATACGCGAGGATCGAATCGAGAGCGTTCGTGGCGGTCGTGGTGTCGTTGAAGAACTTGCTCCAGATGTAGACTCCCTCCTGGCCCGTGCTGTCGGTGAGTGTAAGTCTACACCAATCTGTGGCTCAACTCAAAGAAACGCACGAATCCCACGCCATCTCGGATCCAAACCTACACACACGTCAGCCAAGATACTCCGCCACATCGCAACGAGCTGCACGCACGGATACCGCTCTGTGCTCCACGTCTGCCAGCGCCGCCGCATCTGCCCCTGCACATACGTCGCATTCGCAGCCAGGCCCTCCCGGCTCAGATCGTCCAGCAGGTACCGGAACACCGTCTCGCCCATCAGCCCGTCGAAGCTGTACCCCACACTCGGCTTCATCATCGCCTGCACCGTGTTCACCGCCTGGTTCAGGTACCACTGCCACGTATGCGTCTTGACCAGCGCCGGGTAGTTCCGCGCGACGCGGTACAGCGCCCAGTATGCCGCCGTGACGTGGACGTAGTCGTAGCCCCGGCCCGTCGCGAACGCCGACGCCTGGTTCCACGACCACCAGTTGCCCCAGAACAAGTTCGACGGGTAGTTGTAGCTCGGCACGCGGCTCGGGTCGTAGAAGAACACCGCCTGCGGGGGGATTTATCTCGTCACTGTAGTTTCTGCTCGATAAGGCTCACCATCTTGACAGAATCTGTCAAAGGTTTAGATCATGATGGACGATCGCACGAAACAACGCACAGTCAAAGTTCTGCACCGATCCCCACAGAGTAGCATTCACGAATCGCTCGAGCTTCGTGACCTCTGTTTCGAGCAACACATGAGCGCGGTGTCTCCACAAGTGACTGCATGAAACACGCACCCGCGGCAGATGGCTGCACAAACTGCTTCATCGACGCAGCCAGCCATGACCCAGCTCCCGCCTCGTCGCTGAGGCCGGGGATCCACGCCCGGGGATCGTTCATCACAATCGCGTTCACTTGCCTGTCGTAGCTGATAACGGACGGTGACCGCTTGAACGGATCCGTCGTGTTCTCGAACCACTGCTGGTTCGTCTGTCCACGCACGGTCAGCTCAGCAGTGCCTTTTTCAGAGCAACAGCACCCACCAGGAAGCTGCCGAGGTTCGAGATCGCGTTCGTCGCGCCGTGCGTGACGTAGTAGTGCAGCGTCTGTACCGTCCCATCCGCATAGGCCACCGACAGCCGCGCGCGGCCCCACGTGTGCGGCGTGACCGTGTAGCCGACCCACCCGGCGGTCTTTGCGTCCGCGTTCGATGCCCAAGTCAGCGCACCCGCGGGCGACACGCTGATGCTCGCGACGGCCGAGGGGTAGTTCAGGAACAGCTTGGCCTGCTGGTCCGTGGGGAGCACGTAGCCGGGGATGCCCACCGCGACAGGCCGCGCGTTCGTTTGCAGCGTCGTGTCGATCGCGCGCACGGAGGGTGCCATGCGGAACTTGAGCCCGTACGTCCGCGTTTGCCCGGGCTGCAGCACAGCCGAGGTCGGCGCGTTCCAGGGCGTGACGCCCGCCCACTCGTTCTGCGCGTACGCCAGCGTGTGGAACTGCCACTCGTACAGCCCCTCGAACGTCTGGCTCTGGTAGTACGGCGGGTTGCTGCCGTCCTCGGGCAGGAAGCGCCAGCCTTCGAGCGGGCTGCTCGCCGCGGGGACGACGAGGAGCGGCGGGAGGGTCCCGAGCAGCGGGACCACTTGCACGTATCCGGCGTCTTGACCGATGTAGGGATCGAACAGACTGCACAGCTCGTTCGTCTGCGCAGCCGTCCGGCCGGTGAAGATCTGCATACGATCGTCAGTAGCAGCCAGTGATCCCCGATCGATCAGCTCACGTTGTTGAACTCGAGGGGCGCTCCCAACGCCCCGATCTCGACCGCCACCGTTTGCGAGTTGTGCACGTCAAACAGCAGCTCGATGCCGTTGCTGTCCGAGACCCAGCGCCGCGTGATGTTGAGCAGCGATCCCGAAGGCAGGGTCGGCCCCAGATTGGCCGCAGCAAGCGTCGAGCCGGACACAGCTGCAGGCGTCAGCTTCTTGCGCGCAGTCGACGAATCTCCGCTGATCCATGCAGTCGATCCAACCTTCCGAGCTGTTTCCGGAGACGCTCAGGGTTTGTGCGAAGGAAGTGATGGATGATAGGACGAACCACGGAAGGTGATGTCACCTTACGGCACTTGTCAGCGCGAGAGATGCATGGGCGAGAATAGACTGACCGAGGTGATACTGGGAGTTGCTCCCCCGCAGCGTCATCCTGCAAGCAACATTGAGCACAAGGCACACACCGCACACAGAACGCGCACTGGTCAGTGGGCACGAAATTGAAGCTCGACGAGGCGGGTGTGAGCGAGTAGAGCGTCTGCGAGTCCTTGACGAGCTGGAAGTTGAACGCGCTGGTGTTGAACGCGCTGAAGCCATCCCGCAGGCCGAGGGTGTCGTTTTGCGCAGAGGCAGTCCCCCACTGCAACGCGAGGAACACAAACGCCGCGAGCATGATTTGCATCATCCGCAAGGCGCTGGGGCGTAACAGAGTCAGTAAGAATTCTCCCAGCAGTGCACAGACAGAGACAAGGTACTCCACTCACATATTGTGGGATCGTTGGCTCTTGCCCTGCGGCACCGAGCCCCATTTAAACTGTTTCTCGTCCGCCAGCAGATGACCACGGCTGATTCCGTCAGAAGCAGACACATCATGTGGAGTGCAGGTTCGCGACCAAGGCAGATCACCCGTCGTTTGATACTTTTTCTCGGCCTCGCTTCTCGCAGCTGGGGGAACGGCGCCTGACGAGGTCAGCGGGACACCGGCGGCGGTCATAGAAGGGCTGCAATGGAGTCTGGTGGGCGTCGAGGTTGTACTGGGAGGGATAAATCGAGCTCTCGGAGACTCAGCGGATGTGCAGATTCGCGACGGAACGCCGGCGGACCGTTGGAGACGCCAGATAACAGGACGGCGACGGTATCAATTGGGACATGGAGATTGCAAGCGAGGGACAAGTCGCGTGCTCGTGAGATCTTGGGTCGCGCCCTCCGACGCCTGGTGGCAGATCCCCTCTGCCATGGAATGGGTATGGCAGTCGCGTCGAGATCGCTTTGCTGGTCTAGTCACAGGCCCAGGCATCGAATTTCATTTCAGAGAAGCCGGTCTACTCCGAGCCCCGATGTTTCCCGCCCTGAAGCGTCAAACGTTCGAATCCCAGCCTTGGTGAGAAGGTAAGTTTACTATGACGCCCCTCACAGCTCCCATTGCGAGTTAGTATTCTCGAAACTTGAATGTTTTAAGCCTTGCTCATATCATCCTTTATGAGGCTTCGACGGAGCCAAGCCCTTCATTCATCGAATTTCAATTTCATTATCGTGGCATTTAGTCCTGGTTTCCAGTTGCTAAGTATTAGCTTAGATGGCATGTATTCATCGATTTGAGCAAGGCCATTTCCCGACGGAGTCGGTGTTCTCTAATTTTGTTGAAGAAACCTGGCAGGATTAAGAACTTGGATAAGATTCAGAAGGGGTCAAATGCAGTCAGCAGTTTGTTCGGAGCAAACATCCTGATGCGGACAAAATTAACTTGACTCCACCCTCAGTGCATGCTTCTTCTGAAGCGAATGGCGGCTAACGTCAGCTCTGCAGTGGCCAAACGCCCGTTCTCGCGCTCGCCGTCACCACGCGCACCCAAGCGTACTAAGATTGATCATCTCACGTCTGAGGACTTCAAGAATGGCGTGGTCCTGGCGCCGATGGTTCGTTCCGGAGCCCGTAGGTGCATCAGCTGCACCAGAACATCCCACTCAGAGCAATCTAACAGTCCCAACTCGACTTTTCGCTTTGAAACACGGAGCATCCCTGGTATGGGGACCTGAGATTGTGGACAAGGCTATCCTGGTCGCCGAGCGTGTCGTTGATCGTAAGCACTCAGCCTCGCTTCCTTTCCCCGCCCCTCTTCTGACATAGCGAACACAGCTGTGACCGGTGTCGTCTCGTTCAATGGAAAGTCGCGCGCGATGTTCACAACCCACCCGGTCGAAAAGCCGTACTACATCTTCCAAATCGGCACTGCCGACCCGGAACTCGCCGTCCAAGCCGCGCGTGTGGTCATGAACGACATCTCTGGGATCGACCTCAACTGCGGGTGCCCGAAGCCCTTCTCGACGCACTCCGGCATGGGCGCGGCCCTGCTCACGAATCCCGATCTCCTGTGCTCCATCCTTGTCGCCCTGCGCGCAGCGATGCCGCCCGAGATCACGGTGTCCGCGAAGATCCGGCTCCTGCCGTCCCAGGAAGACACGCTCAAGCTCGTCGAGCGCATCGTGAATACCGGAATCAGCGCGCTGACGGTCCATTGCCGCACGCGGACGATGCGTGACCGCGACGCCGCGATGATCGACCGGCTGAAGGAGATCGTGGACTTCGTGGCGGGGATGGGCAAAGGCGTTGCTGTGATTGAGAATGGAGACTGCACTAGTGCTGAGGATGCGAAGCGGATCCGGGAAATCACCGGTGCGTCGTCAGGCTGCCTTGGAACCATGCGTTGGCCTAATCACCTGGAGCAGGTGCCCACTCGGTCATGATTGCGCGTGGTGCAGAGTCGAATCCGACCTGCTTCGACTCGAAGCCCTTGTGCGACCTGGAGTCCACGTTCGTTCCAGCGTATCTCCGAGTGGTATGTCCTTCGACCCGAAACGGCCCCAGCCGCTCACATCTGTCTTCTTTAGGCCAGGTACCTGGACAACAACTGGGGACTGACGAAGTTCTGCGTCTCCCAATTCAAAACGAAGCATGTCAACTTCGACAAGGCGGCCCAGAAGCGATACCGTGAAATCTTGCACTCGACGAAAGGATTTGACGGGTTGGAGGAGATCGTGGGCGACTGGACAGGTGAAGAGGATTTTAAAGAGATCGTCAAGATCATCGAGGCCAGACCGCCCAGAACCCGTGCCCAGATGGAAAACCTGTCGAGCAGTCCGAGTCCGGTTCCCTCCGAATCGCTGATCTGTACCCCTCCTGACACGGTGAATCCAGAACCGCCCGGCTCAGGGGTTCCTCTGTTGTTCACGGAGCATCTGGTAAAGGACCTCGCCATTCTGAAAGGCGAAGGTCCGCTGACACCTTCCCCCGGGGGTGTCATGGTGGCGCCTTTGTAGAGTAGCACTCCCTGTCTTGTAATGTGCGTGACAATCTCCGGGAGTAGGACACAAGCTCCCCGTTCCTAATTATCAATATTAAGTATTGGCAGTCGGGCACAATACGACAAGCCGACAAGCCTGCAATATTTGACAGCTTTTACGAGTCATGCAGTGCCACGCCATGTGACCCACGGAGAGACGCCACACAATCTGAGCATATTGCAGCTTGTGCTGTCGTGTTTTTAGGCCGATTCGGAGCATTTAGCAAGCATTTAGCTGCAGTCTGAATAATCCTACATGACATACGGCGCAATGACGGGCCACATTTGACCGTCCGCATTTCTCCTTCGTCCGCCATCATCACGCTTACGCGTTCCACTGCCGCCGCCGAATATGAAGAGCGCACACATTGCAGCAGCGGCGTGTTTTTCTATCCCTTCCTGACAACCCAAACTGCTGTGCCAGCGCATCTACGGGCCGACAAACTGGCCTCTCGTGCTCTGCCAAGGTCATGGCTTCTCGCAAGCCTGACCGTAAATTTGCCATTGTTCTGTATGCCGCTACTAGTATTGTATTAGCGACCGTCGGATTCTCCCTGGTGAGTCCCAGCGTGTACAGTTTTCTGAAGGCTGCTCATGGTCTATTCCAGAGTGTCCTCGCCGCTGTAATCGCCCTATTTACCAACAATATCTATAATACACCCCCCACCGACGCTCGTTCTCTTTCCTCGATCTCTTCCTCCACCACCGCGCGCAAGAGATCCTCCAGGCATAGAACAGAGCGTCGATCACGTCCTGCTCAATTGTCCATGCCTCTTGTCCCGCACGCACAGGAGGACGACCTGCTCTCACCGGTCGACCTCCCGCTGAGCACACCGGTGACAGGCCATCTGGAACCGTCTGCCCTGCTGCTCACTTCTACGTCGCCACCATCCGAAGATGCTGCTCCTCAAGTATCTACGTCACCACCGCCCTTGCGAGACTCAGCGGAGATTCCGGACGTGGGGATTCTGGAGCATACACCCCAGGAGGCATCGCTCTCACCTGAGACACGCGGCCGGCGGCGGAAAGGTCTCTCCAAACTCGTGCATCTTTTCGGTAAACGCGCGTCGTCGTCAGAGCCCGCGGCGCGGGCGAAATCTCCCGACCACAATCGGCGCCGGTCGCACTGCGCATCTGTGCTCAGTGCCGCGACGACGCGCTCTCCACCGACACACCCATCTCCTATTGTCTCGCTGTCCTCCCTAGACTCTCAAGCGAAGATGAAGCGATCCAAGTCGGGTGAGTGCATTGGCATCTGATCCTGGTCCGGGGGCGAACGCTGATGCACAAGACCACAGCGCTGGGCTTGCGATCGGCGTCTTCGTTTCCCAGCGGACTCAATGGACCAGAGAAACAGAAGGAGCTACATATTCGGCCACGCACGCAGCCCTACGCTGCGCCGTACTTTGTTCCGCCGCCCGATAGTGCGGATGTAATCGAGCCCCTGTCTCGGGACGATTTGAAGCGCAGGCGGACAATGTCACCGCCGGACAGAAGGAGATCGCTGCTGGGTCCCCACTGATGTCAGCCGCTGCTCTGTGATGTTGTAATAGCATCTTGAATCCCCAGCGTGTTCGTCCAAATCATCTAATGTACAATTACAATGAATGTTTCGCCTATGAGATGCAATAAGAATCCTATCCAACTCAGAAAGCAGGATCGCAGCAGAGGAGGGGTACGGATTGAGAATCGCGAGTGGGAACACCCCAAAAGGTCAAAAAATGTCTCTCGCACAAAATGGACTATACCGGAGTCGAACCGGTGACCTCCCGCACATCCAGTAATGCTAAGCGGACGCGCTACCAACTGCGCTAACAGCCCTGTCTCTAACTTTCTGAGGGCATCAATGAACTCGGAGGTTTGCAGGCATTAGAGTCAGACTGACTGCATCTCGTGTATACTTAAATTTCCTGAAATATATCGTGTACAAAATCTCAAATAATAGAAAGCGAATGCGCAGACGCATGCCGTAGGGACCATACATATCAATTTTGATGCTGCACCGCCACAAACTTTCTCCCTCTGCCGCTGCTGTCTCCGCACCTGTTACGCGCTTCCGCTATTCTGGCTACCTCGCGGGCGTTTACGATACACTGTGCTTCAACAGAAGCCGATTAGACTCGCTTCATCTGCATGGAATCTCTTAGTCACGATTCTGTGCGTGTCTCCACCCCACTTTTTCTCTCCCTACGCTGATGCGCTTTGCGTTTGAAATCGGCTGCAGTTCCTGCAACGGCTAAGCGAGCTCTTCGATTCCTCGCAAGAGCACGGCTCTATATGGATCACGCACAAACGACGTAAGCTGATTCGCATCGATGTGCCCGCGCGTTTCTGAGATCACCCCTCCTCCTCTGCACCCAGTTCGTCATGATGGCGAGAATGCTACGATGGCAGAGGGAAGCACTGCAGAAGACGACTCGCAGGAGTATCCATGTCTACTGCGCGTTACGGACGGCACCATCAAGTTCTCCACTCGCGTGCGCCCCGCTTCACCCACCCCATGCCCCGCACCCACGATGCTGACCCGCGATGTGGCTGGTTGCAGGTGCAATCGACGGAACTGGATAAGTTCCACGCCGCCTATGGCGCGCTGCTAAAATCCTCCATGTCCTCGCTCCGGAAACGCGACAAGAAGAAGGAGAAGCTGCGTGCGGAGATGCAGGCCAAAATCAAGAAGAAGCTGGAGGAGCCCCTCGTTGTGGACGGCCCGAAGCGCGGGAAGGGCAGGAGCAAGCGGAAACGGCAGGAGAAGGCGAAGGCTAAGCAGCAGGTTGCGCTGCAGAAGGCCAAGGAGCGGGACGAGGCTCGGTCGAAGAGTGCCGCACAGGCTGTGTGATGTCGTGAGAGAGATATCGTCTACCGCTGCTGTCTATCCCTCCTTGCTTTTGCAAAGCTTACGGGCATTGTATAATTGCTTTGGGTCCAACATGAATCCAAACACTGACAAGCGAGTGCGCCAGACAACCTCCGACAGAACAGTGTCGTAGAGCACCGCGTATTAGATACAAGCGTCTGTCTAGGTCGCAAAGCACTGTAGATTCCTCGGATCTACTACCCATAGCACAGCACTAGCCACATCCGCGTCGCTGCTGCTGCTGCTGCTGCTGCTGCTCCCACGATCATCGGGAAGCCGGCCGTTCAGACGCGAGGCGCGCACCTCCCGCAGCAGCGCGCGGACACTCGACTTGGTCGTCGTCAGCGTCGTCCAGCCGAGTTCGGCGCCGCGCAGCATGCTCTTCACGGCGTTCGGCGACAATTTCGAGTTGATCTTGGCGGGCTGCAGCTCGCTATCGCCGAGGACCCCAACATTTAGACGCGGGCCCTTCGTGCTTTTGGGGACGACGGGGTCTTCCAGCAGATCTTGGCAGACCTTCGCCATGTAGGTGAAGAATTTCGGGTGCGGGAGCAGCGCTCCTTTGAGAGGCAGCTGGGGCGGATTCGGATAGAGGCGGATCGGAAACAACTGGACGAAGCCAGCGGCATAGCGGGAGCCGTCCCAGAACGTCGACTCGGCCCCAGAGAATAACGCCTCCGCGCGTCGGATCTCCGAACTGCTCCCGATCCGCGTCACGATCCGCAAACACCGCTCCCGGGCGTCGTCGCTCGTCCAGAACTCGACCGGCTCGGGGAGCAGCGCCAGCTGCTTGTGTATCTGCTCGATCAGCGGCTTGTCCATCTCCTGCAGCGCCTGCAACGTGATAATCCGCACGTGCCGCTGGATATCGCTCGCGTGGTCCCCGCCGCCGCCGCCAACGACGTCGGGTTTCCAGTCCCGGTACACGGTCGGCGGCTTGAAGCGCGCCGCGGCCTCCTGCGCATCGGCCGGCAGCGCCGCGTGCGTCAGGTCCGACGCGAGCGCCACGAGCACAGACAGGTCCAGGCTGATGCGGCGCGTGGGGCAGATTTGGCGCGGCGCGGGCGGGGCGCGGCAGGCCGACAAGTCGCGCGGCAGCGGCATCGGGCGTTCGCCGAGCTCGACGGCGATGCCCATGTCCATCAGACACTGTATTGTCTGCGCGATGCGCGGATCGTGCGGCTTGCCGACGGGGTCCAGGCGCGTGAGGCGCATCGTGATGCGCACGGGCTCTGGCGTCGGATTCGCCTGGGCCGCGTCGAGCAGCCCCTGGCCCATCTTCAGGATGGAGTTCGTGAACTCGGACGGCGCGAGGCTGGGTTTGTAGTCCGGATCGCTCGTGTCCGGCTCCGAGTCGTCAGAGTCGGTCAGGTACGAGTCCATCTCGCGGAACTCCGCCAGCAGAGCCGCGTTTTTGATCCTGCGTGATGTGTGCATAAGAAAGCCAGGAGTGCATCGCATCGACTGACGTGTTGATCCTGATCCACTGCCGCCCGTTCTCCGCGACGACGTCGACCTTGGCGGAGGGCATGCGGTGATGTTTCTTTTCTTTCAAATTCGCGCGCTTGTGGCTGCTGTCGACGAGGTGCATGTACTTGAAGAGCGCGATGACAGGCGCCGGGGCGCACAGCAGCTCGGTGAATACCGCGACGAGGTATGGCGCATGCGTCGACACGGGCTGCTCCTGCGCGGATTTTGGATCGGAGAGGAACTACTGGAAACAGCGCGTGTGAGGCAGATCCGGACAGCGGCAATGCAGACGGATGACTAGCCTTTTTTAGCACATCGATGTCCATCCGTATCGACTCTCTGAGGTGCTTGATCCCGGGGATGTTCTCGTGCTTCAGCCATTGCCCGTCATCGTTCGGATCCGAGTCGATGGAGGATGAGTCGAGGATCGGGGGCGCCTCGACGAGTGGTTTGAAGTCCAGCAGCGCATCGTGAATGTCAACAAGCTCCTGGTACAACGTTTCCAGATCCTGGTGGACCATAAGTGAGCGTCGCGTGTAGTCACTTTAATCACAATAAGAACACACATCGTCTTGGTACACCGAAACGCCCAAAAAGGCAAGAATCGCTTTGGGAGAGAACCACCATGACCGAGCCGGAGCAGCCAGACATCCTCAATCCGGCCACGTTCGTACCACCGCAGCTCGCGGAGTTCGCGTCCATCACGATCGAGTTCTGTGACAGAGTGCGTCTCGTCGTGTCTGCCACGAATGGGCGCCCGCCCCCGTAGACTCAACGCACGCCGACAGTGCCGATGGCTGCACCGCGCGGCTTGGGTCCAAACCGAGCTCCTGCTTACCTTCGCGCCGCCCGTCATCGGCTCGATCACGCTCGTTCCGCGCAACTCCGAAGAAACGGCGGGCAGGTTCCGGGTCTGGGTGGGGACGCCCGGGTCGGCGGCCCCACAGCTTGCTTGGGACCGCAAAGTCGAGGGCGGGTTCCCTGAGCTCAAGATTCTCGTGTGTATTGCCCGGCTGATACCAGCCGGCTGCACTGACGCTTGGGCTTAGAAACAGAGAGTGCGCGACATCCTGCAGCCGGGCAAGAGTTTGGGGCATTCCGACGTGAAGGCCCCCTTCACCGCCTGAAGATGCATGCTTGTCGCACGCACGATGCTTCGCAGCGCCGCCTCATCGAAACTTATTTCACGAAGGCCTGTCCTCTGCCGCGTCTAGTATTCAGCTACAGCTCGAGCAGTCTTGAGATCAGACGGTGAAGGTATGAATCACGCCAGTGTACGAATGTCCCATCAATTACCGCTCGAATCCCGTGCATCAACGCTTTGCATGCAATGATATTCCACCGTCTAGATCTTCTGCTAGATGTTCGATGCGCTTTTGAAGTCGTCTATTCTACTCTATCCTTCATCGTTTTCTCTCTCACGATGACCAAGACCGCGGATAGGATCGCAGTTGCGAACATCATACTGCCCACGAAGATCTCCACCGCTGAGGCACATGAGATCAACGTCAAATATGAATCTCGAGCACATACCCGTGAATCCGTATCCCGCCCACGACGCCCGCGACACGGACCCGTTCCTCGGGTGCAGAGAAGCAGCGATGAACGGCCCGGAGATCGCCGCAAGGCCCTTGGCGCCCGAGAACAGGAAGAACGGCGTCAGCGATTGGTCCGCGTACACCTCCTTCGCCGCGGGCGGCCAGACGGAGCTGAAGCCGCCGCTCTGGCGCCCCGTCAGCTCTTGGGGGTCCGGCGGGGGGACTGGGGGAGGGGACGCACCACGGCGCCGAACAGCACGGAAAATAGGACGATGAGGCTGAGGCTGTGCGCGTAGCCCCACAGCAGGAACGCGAGCCCGGCGGCGACGAGGCTTGACCCCAGCATCGCTGTCGAGTATGGCCCGCGGTCGCAGTAGTACCCGACGAGGACCTGGCCTGTATGTGGAGGGTCAGTCCAGCCCGCTGTAACGGTGACATCACAGGAATAGGGGGGGACACTCGCCTATGACGGCCGCCAAGTTGAAGACCGTCAGCGCCAGGGTCCCATTCCCCGGCGAATACCCGAGCGAGGCTGCGTAGGTCGGGATGTACAGCGAGACCGGGAAGTACGCTAGCGCCTGCACGAACACCGCCAACGCCTGCCCCCATCAGTCAGTCAGTCCGCAAACAGCAGCAGCAGCCCCCAACGACGCACGACGAGGACGAACAGCGGCGAGCGGACGAACTGGAACGTCAGCGGTGCCGGCGTGCTGTGGCGCGCAACGGGCAGCCTAGGCTTGGCGCCGAGCAGCGCGACGAGCCCGAGCACGCCGACGATCAGCGCGAGCGAGCGGAGCGCCCAGCGGAAGCCGTAGCGCTGCAGCACGTAGTTGGTCACGACGGGGAAGAGCGCGCCGCCGAGCCCCGAGCCCCCGAAGATGATCGACGCTGCGAAGGCGCGCCGCTGCGGTGTTGTCGTTACGGTGAGCGGGCTACGCCGGCATCCCAAATGGCGTGACGGACCTCGACGAACCATTCATTGAGCTGCGCGGAGGATGACGGTCAGCTATTGGGCGAAGCAAAACACACAGGAAACCGCGACATGCCCATGATACGACTGGGCCATAGAGCACCCCTCCAGCGACACCGTAGAGCACACCCTGCAGCAGAATCAGCTGCCAAACCTAGTCGCGCGCACGCATATATCATCAGCCCCGACACAAAGAAACCCATTTCAGATTTGTTGGCTTTCAAGACTGACCTTCGTGGCGAAGCTCGAGACGAGCAGCGCGCCAACGCAGGCCGCCAGGCTCGCGCCCATGAGCGACTTGGTCCACCGCGGGTAGCGCTGCGTGAGCGCCATGACGCCGAGCCCCTCGAAGTACTGTATCCCGATCGTGATCGTGCCGATGGAGTTGATCGACGCCTCGGACGCGCCGCGGAAGGGCGACTGCGGCGAGTTGAGGTAGAATTCCTGGAAGACGCCGTATCTGCCGCACGGGGCCTCAGTGTCAGTCGGCTGTTACGCAAGTCCTCCTGCGAACAGGGGCCAGTGGGTGGGTGGGTGCTTACGAGAAGGGGAAGCCCCAGACGAGACACTCGAGGATGAAAGCGCAGAAGATGAACAGCCAGGCGCGGAACCCGCCGTCGATGGGAGGGAGCGAGGTGGCTTGCTCTTCAGCTGTGCTCCGGGATTCGAGTTCATGCGAGCTCGCGGCTTGCTCGACTCGCGGCCCGAGGATCTCGAGCCCAACGACGGTGGAAGCCATAGCGTATCGACATGACTCAGACACGGCTACACAGTTTTTGCGAGCATTTTCAGTGACGATATTGACTTGGCAATCGATATGTGAGTGCGCGTGTGATTACTGTGTCGTATTGCGATCGCGACAACATGTCTTCCAGCAGCGGTGAGTCGCTCGATATTTCAAGGCCCATATCTACATCAATAGCAGGGAAGAGTTAGTGCTAACTACTTTCAGAGTTCACTAGCACGTGACCCTGCATGCGAAACCCTGGTCCGTGCACGACCTGGGGGTATATAAACCACCTGTCAACTTCTGGTTCTGCATACTTACCTTGATGGCATAAGCTCCTTCATGGACCTGGGCTTTTGGGCCGTGGGAACACTCCATAGCACGGCGACCCTGTCCATTCAGAGTGGGCCTGCGGTTTGTATGGGCTTTGGCTCATGCACCGTCTCAATATTTTCCTGTTCCGCCACGGCCACTCGGCTAGGCGGGCCGCCTTATTTTTTGGTTCCTTATTTGTCCTAACCCTAACCATAATTCATTACTGCATGTACAGTCACGGCGGAAATTGATTTCCCACCATATACTATATCATATAGGGAAGCGAGTGATCCGAGGATCCTGATAGCACAGCATTGCATCAAACACAAGAGATTCAGCAAAGATTTCACTCTCTGGTGGTGCAGGCATGCTTCCACACTGTAATGCAAGTGCTACTATAGGTGTCTAGGTAATTGGCCACCCTAAGTAGTTGGCCATTTTGGTTGTAGAGCACAACACTGTGTGCTTTCCCCACTTATGAGGTTTCAGGATGAAAGCTAGGTATCAAAAGCCCTTGTGAGCAAGAGGATGAGTCCAGGGTGATTGATGGCCAATCATAGGAGGTGATCTCTGAGCAGATTTGGGGAGCAATGGACCAATTTCTTATTTTGGACATGCTCCTGTGACAATAAACATGTTCATCCTCACAACCCCACCCATCCACAGCTCCCCACACATACTCATTCTGTACTACACAACATGAAGCTCAATTTGACGCACTTTTGTTGATAATATCTAAGCTCTAAGGATATCAGTGCCCAGTGCAACACTTGAGGAGCATGCAGAATGACAGGTCAACAACAAGTGGGTCTAGGCTGCATATCTCAGTGGTGGCTAGCACTGGTGCCAAGTGGGTTGACATGGCTCTTATGCATAGTCCATGCCGTTGTTTACTTATATTCCCATGATTTTAGGGATTTTATTCCTCACATGACGAAGGCACAACATCTTGCACCACCACTTCTAACAAGCCTAATTCTCTGCCTCTCAGATCGACCCTTTCATGCATGCTTCGCTCTTGTGCAATGATTTTAATGCCTCAAAGAGTGTTTGGAACATTTTTGCATTTTTGGAGACACAAATGTCTCTTCTTTTGCAACATGCCTGAGGATGGAGGCAGGGGAGATCTGCCTCATGGCTTTAAGCTATGAGCATGGCAGGGTCACAGTAGAATTGTTCACGGTGCATGTATATCCCTTTTAATGAGATTTCCGGTCATGTACGACTTAGTCTCAGCTCCCTTCGACCATTCATGAGTATAAGGGCAACCTCGAGGCCCGATGTCAGGGTCCTGGCAAGGGAGAATCCAAAGTGAATAATAGTGGTAGCTAGGTACAAGACTAGCATACCTGGCAAGGGAGAATCCAAAGAGAAACCGTGTTGGGGATTCTCCTTGCCAGGCACCACTATTTATATGATACAGGAACAATAGACCACACAGCGACAAACAAGAACAATAGGAACAATAAGTGCAATGGCCATGACAGAACAATAGGAAACGGAGACAATAGGAACAATGGCACCACCTGCCATCAAAGAGAAGCGCTTGGCACGGTGGTCCAAGCCGCTGCGCATGACAGCTGACAGGTTACACAAGCGCGATTACATGCCAGATCCCAGGCTAATCAGTCCAAAGCAGGGGTTCCCCTGACAATGAGTTCCAATTGCTCGGGCAGTCCACCACCCACAAACGCACCTGGCCCGGCTCCATGGCCCTCCAATCCTTCCTCTGAAGTTGCACCCAGCACATCCAGTCAAAGCACCATGCTTGTGGTTGATGAATACTCTCTGCATGACATTGCTATGGCTCCAGGCCCCAAAGTACTGGAGGCTGATGGAGTATCCAAGGAGGTATGAACTTATTTCAAGGTCTCAGTCAGTTAACAGAGCCTTAGCAATCCAATTCCAACCTGTCGGCTGCAAACATTCTAGATGAAGACTTTGATGATGCTGCACTTGAGCAGATACCTCTTCTGGAACATCAGAATCTGGCAATTGCCGCCATCTGTCATGGAGCAACACAGAGGAAAGCATGCACTTTCAACTGAGTCAACCGTGCTACTGTGGCAAATCACATAAACGGAATGCCAATACGCACACAAGCGCATGCAAAAGAGCGTGCAGTGTCTGTGAAGCAGAAGAAGAGGTGTTTGTTGAATTCATCAAGGTGAGTATCTACTCTCTGCATAATGGCATCAGTAGTTTACGCACTGGTATAGGTGCTCGGCCATTGGGGTGTTTGTGACAATCAACCCAAAAACAAAGTCGAAGAGAGAAGTGAATTCGAAGACTGGAGAATACAACCAAGTAGCTACAGTATTTATACCCAAATCCAGTCTGAGTCATATCTACAACTAATGAGTAATAAGGCTATGTACCGCATGGAGCACTGGTCATGGGTTGTAGTAGAACCTTCTGGAGCATGTGTCGCGCAGCCTTGAATCAATAGAGATAGTCCCTGGAACCCCTAGCCTGGACCGTCTGATGCCGTGATCCGTGATAAGATAATCCGTGCCGAGATAAGATGAGATGGTCGATGATAAGGTGAAAAAGGGCTGAATTATGACATTACCCCCTCTCTAGGGTCAATGTCCTCATCGACTAGGCCAATGGGCGTGAAGACGTTCTCGTAGGGATCGAAGAGTTGTCGCTGGGGGTATGGAAGGCGCTCGTCTTTGGGTTTGTAGCAATGGATGAGATAATCCCAGTGTCCGGCTTTGAGCGTTGGCAGGAGGCGAATGCGTGTGTCTGGGTTGGATTGCTTCCTCTGCCAATCTCTCAGGACCTTCTTCGCATGGGTAAGGTGACGTGATGGTTCCCAGGTGTTCTCGCTATGCGGCCATCCCTTCCATTTGACCAAGTACTGTTTTCCTCGGCCAATGTTTCGCTCTTTCACGATCTCTTCGACTTCCCACTCCTCTGCTCCTCCGATCATCTTGGCTACGGGCCTCTTCTCTCGGCGATGGGGGGGTGGTTCGTGATATGGTGTCAATAGTGACTCGTTGAACACCAGGTGTCTTTGGTCCGTGTCCGGCAAGTCCAGCTTCCATGCGGCTGCTCCAACCTTCTCCAATATCTCATATGGTCCTAATCTCTTGTCGCTCATCTTCTTTGATGGTCTATCCGTCTCGATATTTTCCCCTTCTATGTACACCTTCATCCCAACCTTCAACTCCGGAACTTCTTTTCTTTGTTTATCGTAGTATTTTTTCATTTTTTCTTTTGCTTTTTCCAATGCTGCTTTTGCTTTGTCTTGTATTTCTTTGATTCTTTTTACAAACTCCTCCGCCGACTCGTTCCTCGATTCCATCCGCTGCTCCACTCCCTTCCATGGGTGATATCCGTGATTCGCGTAGAATGGTGATATTTTGGTAGATGTGTTCATTTTATTGTTATATGCAAATTCTGCCATTCCCAGCCACTCCGACCAGTCCGTTTGATGGTAATTGACGTAGATGCGGAGATAATGCTCGATCTCCTGATTCATGTGTTCTGTCTGCCCATCCGTGATCAGGTGATACGCGGTCCCTGGATTCATTTCTATGCCCAACATCCGATTCGTCTCCTTCATGAAGCCCTTGATGTATCGTGAGTCCCTATCGGTGATGATCTTGCGAGGGATTCCGTGATAGCGGAAGACTCGGTCCCTGGTTAACCGTGCTACTCTTTCGCTACTGATGTCAGTACTAATTGGTTCGACATGGATCATTTTGGTGAAGGTGTCACACCACACATGAATTGTGTCATACCCGTTACTGACCGGCAAGGGTCCGATTTGATCCATCGAGATGATTTCCCATGGTGCATTTGGAACTGCATGCGGGTGTAGAGTCCCTGTCCTTGCTCTCCTGGTCTTGGTCTGCTGGCACGCCTCGCACGTCTGGATGTATTTCTGGATTTGGTTCCCCATCCTTGGCCACCAGTAATTCCTTTCCACCATTTCCTGTGTTCGATTGATCCCAGCGTGTCCGACCAAGGGTGTGTCGTGGTGTAGCCCGATGATCTGGTCTCGCAGTTCCTCGTCCCTTGGTACGTAGAGCTTCCCGTGGTGTGTGATGAGCCCGTCTTCCTTTCTCCATCCAGCAAGTGACTTCTCCAAGGCCGCCTTGACGCTTCCATCAATTGATCGAGTGGTCTTGATCTCATCAACTAGCTGCTGATCCTGTCCCTCGAATGTGACTTCTTGTGATCGGAAGAATTCGGGCTTCAGTAGCGTGACGTCCTTGTTGTCGTTCTTGCCCTGATCGTGATCCGCTCGTCGAGACAAGAGATCCGCCTTGCGGTTGAGTGCTCCGGGTCGGTGTCGTAAGGTGAAATCAAACTCCGCCAACTCCGTGATCCATCGTGCTTGCCGTCGATTGAGCTTCTGCGGCTTCCGGAAGTACTCGAGATTCTGATGATCCGTGAAGATCTCAAATGTTTCCGTGGCTCCTAGTAGTAGCTGCCTCCACTCGTCCAATGATAGCATGATTGCAAGCATTTTCTTGTCGTAGATCTTGTAATTTCGCTCGGTTTCAGTCAATGCGTGTGAAATAAATGCGATTGGGCGCCAAATGCCATCTTGGTTTGGGCTCAAAACGGAGCCTGTTGCCCCTTCCGAAGCATCGGCTTCCAGACAATATTGGCCAGTGTCATTTGGCAGTGCTAAGACCGCATCCTCCGCGATTCTTTTCTTCAATCCATCGAATGCAGCATGTTCCTCCGTGCCCCATGACCATCCTGCCTTCCCTGTCAGCCGTGTCAATGGCTTGGCAACCTCCGCGTATCCCCAGACAAAGCGTCGATAGAAGTTGGTGAACCCTAGGAAGGCTTGGACTTGTTTGACGCTCTTTGGTTCTGGCCATTCCATCACGCCCTTGATCTTGACTGGGTCCATTCGCATCAAATTGTGTCCAATAATTACACCCAAATATTCGATTTCCGTGCGTTTGAACTTGCACTTTTCGGGCTTCAGGTACAACTTGTGTTTTTGGAGCAATTCGAGTACTCGTTTTGTGGTCCGCCGATGTTCGTCCAAGTTTTCTGTGAAGATCAGTATATCATCAAGATAAACTACCACGTGGCCCTCGTTGATCAGTTCTCGGAGTATGTCATTCATCATGTTTTGGAAGGTGGCTGGGGAGTTTGTGAGACCAAAGAACATGACCAAGGGCTCATACAGTCCGCGGTTTGTGCGGAACGCAGCCTTCCACTCGTCGCCCTCTTTGATCCGTACGTTATTGTATCCCCATCGGATGTCGAGCTTGGTGAAGAACTTGGCGCCGCATAGATTATGGACCAGCTCGGAGATCAGTGGCAGCGGGTATCGATTTCGGATTGTCATCTCGTTCAGCTTCCGATAATCCTGGACGGGACGTAGCAAACCATCCTTCTTTTTGACAAAGAAGAATGCTGAGGCCATGGGTGATTTTGATGGCCTGATTTGTCCGCTGGCCAGGTTCTCTTGTAAGAACTCGTCGAGTTTGACCTGCTCGTTTCGTGATAGCGGGTACACCTTGCAGTCCACTGCTTTGGAACCAGGTTTGAGCTCAATCGCATGATCCCATGCCCATCGGTCCGGTAGTGAGTTGAACGATTCCTTGGCAAACACCTTGACAAATTCCCGATATTGATCCGGGATCTTTCCCTTGGTCATTCTCTCTTTCTCCTTTTCTGCTTCTTCTGCAAATTTCTGCACCGGTGTTTCCTTCAGCCGTAGATCCACCTCCTTCCCAAAGTCGATCAACAGGATTGATTCTCCCTCTTCCAGATCCGGTGCACCGGTCTCCAGGTCGATTGCATCCATGTCAATCATCGCTTGATGCTCCTCGTGACCCCTCATGTGACAACGCTCTGGGCATCGACTGAATCTCATGGTCTGCTCCTGCCAATCCACCTCGGGGTTGTGTTCCGTCAGCCAGTCAAGACCAATGAAGATCCGGGCCTTCCCTAAGCACGTCAGAAGGAACGTGCGTGTCTCCACGTGAGGGCCGATTCTCATCCTTAGGTCAACGTAATGCGTGATCCGGCCGCTGATGTTTTCGGTGTTGTCGGCGTTACGAGCCACAATGGGTTGGGGAAGTTCTTGGATATCCAGCTTCTCTGCCCGCGCATAGTCAGTATCGATGCAGCAGGTGCTACAGCCACTGTCGAGTAGCGCCTTAACTCCGCGCGTCTTTCCTGAGTCCAGGCCTGTGATCTGGACATACACGTCCATCGAATGTCTCTTCCTTTCGGCCTGGTAGTTGCGCAATTCCTGCGCCAGTCTGCTGGGCTGCGGGCCCTTCTGTTTCTCGGCCGCCAATTTCCTTTGAACGGCATCTGGCACCCTTGTGCGTTTGGGTGCTTCTGGAACCTTGATTTCAGCAGATTCCTTGGGCGCTTCCTCCTTTTTCAAGGATTGAGCCTCCGGAGCGATGCTCCCCTTTTCGGTCTTTGTTGACGTGGTTCCTTCTCCACGAGCCATAAATACGTAGGAGTCCAAAATTAATTTATCCGCAGCTTTCTGATCCTTTTTACTTTGTAAATACTCTCTATTTAAAGTTATTTTCCTTTGACGTTCCTTTTCCATATCAGCAACGAGAAAATCATGAATATTAGTACGTAGTGAGTCTGGGATCGTGTATGTATGAGGAGAATCGTTCATATCTTTAATCGAAACAAGTACAGAAAAACATCCATAGTCCGGACGCTCCACCTCCTTGGCTAGAGGAGTGGAGCGCTTCAAAAACCCTTCTCGCGCAGCTTCTCGGCAATCTCCTTGAGGAACTCGTTGTCCTTGTCCCCGTTCTTGATCTCTTCAAGCATTGTGGCCCGATTGAAGAACGTGCACTTCTTCTTGGGCTCAGGGCAGTTCTGCGCAATGTGCCCAGGCTGCTGACAGTTGTAGCAGATGATATTGCGGCCGCGGGCGTGGGTGCAATCGATCTCCATCGGAACCGGCTCATTGGCTGCTGGTCGGGCCGGAGCGGGTGCAGGTGCTGATGGTGCAGCCTGAGGGCGGAATTGGGGGGGGGGCCGCGGAGTTGAGTGCGCATAGGAGGCTTTACGCAGCTGATCGCGCAAAGCATTGGCCTCGATGTTGACACACCAGTTCTTGAAGGCACCATATGCCTTGGGCAGGGGGACGCCGGTGTTGTAGAGGCGGCTTGCTATTTCGCTGCTGAGTCCGCGTTCGAGGAACTCGATGAGGATGTTGTCCTGATCCCCCTTCTTGTACTCGCCCTTGTCATCGGTCGAGGTGACCACGTTGTACCCCACGTCCGCAGCCAGCATTTTGAAGTCAGAGATGTAGTCTGCGAAGGACCGTCTCCCCTGGCAAAGGGCCATGAGTTGGGCGGCGGCGACTTGTTCTGCGTTAGAATCCCCAAAGGCTCTCTGGAGCTCCTCCAGGAAGGTTGTCGCGGTGACTCCCGCCTTCATTCCTTGGAAACCCTCGAAATTGTGCTTGTGCCGGTCTCATTACGGAGGTAGGACAGAACAAAGAGGATTTTTGTCTCATCCAGTGAGAACTCCGATCGATAGGCACCGATGTAAGTGGTGCACGCGTCCACAAAGCCCAGGTATTTGGACTTGTCGCCATCGAAGTAGGGGGGGTTGGCGGCGAGGGTGATGCGGTGATGTCCTGACATGGTAGGAGCAGGTGCGGTAGGTGGAGGGGAGGGTGGTTGTTTGGAGGGTAACTCGCCAAGGTTGGGGATCTCGTCTTCAGGCGGCGGGAGGGCAAGGTAGGGGTTGGAGGGCCTGGGTTGGTTTTGATGCGCCAGATCGGGCGACGATGGTATGATGGGGGGAGGGGATGGACTCCCAGATGACAATGGGAATCGGTACGAAATGGTGGATTCATGTGCTGTACAAGCACTCAAGGAAAGGTTCTTTTGCTAGCAAAAAGATCCCGGGCCTAGCTCTTCACGTGCCCGATGATCCCGAGGTGCGTTTTCCTGAAGGTCTCCGCAGCACTCCTTGTAGCTACCATAAGGCTTGGGTCGGGCTCAACGTTACCCGTGGCCTGGTGCTGTTTGCTCGATATGAACCTTTCACTGCGATCGCAGGGAGCGACTAGATGATTCGGTAATGCCGGAGTGGCGGCTCCGCGTTGAGGGGTGAGTGGGGTGATAAGGGTGAAGAGGATATAGCGGGCGTAGCGGTGCATGGAGCAGGGTAAGAGGTAAGAGGTACGAGGGTATGAGGGGAGTCTTCGAATTATGTGGCAATCAACCCAAAAACAAAGTCGAAGAGAGAAGTGAATTCGAAGACTGGAGAATACAACCAAGTAGCTACAGTATTTATACCCAAATCCAGTCTGAGTCATATCTACAACTAATGAGTCATAAGGCTATGTACCGCATGGAGCACTGGTCATGGGTTGTAGTAGAACCTTCTGGAGCATGTGTCGCGCAGCCTTGAATCAATAGAGATAGTCCCTGGAACCCCTAGCCCGGATCGTCTGATGCCGTGATCCGTGATAAGATAGGTCGTGCCAAGATAAGATAAGATGGTTGATGATAAGGTGAAAAAGGGCTGAATTATGACAGTGTTCTTTTGACCATGAATATGATCACAGCCTATGCCTCTCTTATTGCAGGGAAAGAATTAGGAAGGACATGGAGCCGACATTTCAAGGCTTGGCACAAGAACAAGTTGAAGGCTTGTCTCCTAGTTCTTCACAGTGTGTTCCACTCTCACATCACATTTGATTTCAGGTCAAGACAGCAACAACACTGGAGAAGTGTTGTGCAAAATCACTCAATGCATATGTGGTACACCAGTACTTTGTGATGCTAGAGTCTGTGATCAAGGAGTACAATATCAAGCCTAAAAGCATCTATAATATGGACAAGAAGAGAATTCAACTTGGGGTTGCTGGGGGCATTGCAGTTGTGGTCAACTGGGATCAGAAATCTATTCAGACTATTGCTAACAGAAATCGTGAACTGGTGACAATCATTGAATGCATCAGCGCTGATGGTGAGGCCATGAATCTGTTGATAAGCTGGCTATCAGACCTGCTCTGCACCACCTCTAGAAGCCCACTAATTTTGTGCTTTCAGAGATTACCCTTGTTCCTACTTGGTGCATCTGGTCACAGTGGTCAGTGTTGTGTTCAGCAGGATGTAAGGACTCAGTGTCTAGCTGGTATCCTTGGTATAGCGCCAGGACAAGGGAGGCACTGGGGTCACTGCTGTGGGACAGTTCTATCAGTTGTGCCAGACTGAGGACTACCAGTGACTAAGTCCACAAAAAGGAACAGAACACAGATGTGTCGTGATGACAATATGTTGTGACATGGCCAAGCTGTGTGGTTGTCGAGACAAGGAATTGTTAAGACGTATCGAAACCTGGGAATCATCAAGAATGGACAAGCGCAGTGTTTAACATCTTTGTTGAAATGGGGTCAGCAGGCCAAACATGTGTTTGAATTCACCAGACCACTTTGTTGTGGCCTACTTGAACTTGAACCCATGTAAGGAATTACTGTGCCAGACAAAATGTGCCCAATACAAGATCTGTGTTGCCATATTTTTCAGGCTAGTACTACACAAATATAATGAGTAGCACCAAGAAGGATTGTTGCTGGTCCTCGAGTTATCTGTACATCACATATAACTTTGTTGCAACCAGCACGACAAGCCATGTTGTTGAGACCATCTTGTTGCGATGCTTCAACTTTCACTTGCTAAAAGAATTCTTAGGGGTTTAGTTGGATATAGGAGCTGGTCTTTGCCAATGACGCTCCCATATGGTCCACCACCTGAACGTGCCTGGACCTCATGGACATGTCTGTACACCCATGCGGGTACAGGCTTCCAAGCTCTCTTTCCAACCAATCCAAGTTGGTGGGTTACAAAGTTATGATGCAAAACCGCTGTAACTATTATCCTACCATGTGGGACAGACAGGCCAGCTCCTGAACGCAGGAACTTATTTGATTGTTTGTGCTTGGCTACTATAAGAGGGAATTAATAGAAGGATCACAGCAACTGTACAGTAGATTGTGGCATTAGTAAGCGCAACCAGGATTTACTATGAAATAGTTGAGTATTCTTTGTAGTAGACAGCATACTAGAGGCTACAAATCACCTGGTTATCAGTGGATTAGTCAGATTCTGACAACCCCGCTTGTGTGCTCGTGACTTGAGACTTTAGGAGTTCATACATCCTTGCCCGGTTGCGACCAACTCTCTTTAAGAGTTTGTTGTTACTCTGAATCATTGTTACTTGAGTTTCCGTTGGGGTTTTGAAGATTTGATCATCACGTTGATAGGCTGGCTACCAGACATGCTCTGCACCAGCTCTATAAGGGCGTATTTTTGCGCTTTTACAGAGTTTACTCATGAAACATTCAGTGTATCGTGTCGCGGTTGCCAGTGTTGCGCTCAGTAGGACTTAAGGGTCTACTGCCCAGTCAACAACTGTGGATAGTGTCAACGATAGGAAGGCAGTCAGACCACTACTGTGGAATTGGTCTTATGGGTCTACACCAGGCTCAGGACTATTAGTGACAGACACTCGGACCACGACAATTCCCCAAAAAGGGATACTTTGTTGCGGCGACTCCTCAAAAGGGTCATTCTCTGCAGATGGGAACTCGGGCTGGAGGGCTTAGCAATGCGCGACGTGCTCAACATAACAACTACTACTAGACAGGACTTGGCGTTACAAGATTGAACCAATCTTGGCGCGGCAACTCCCGGCTTTGGGTTGGATGTTTCCTTAGATCATGCCACAGCAACGACTTGTCACATGTCAGGATCCACTCAATCACGGGACATTGTGGACGCGTTGCGGTGACACTTCCAGGTGTCACAGTGATTTGTGCCCATACTCAAACACACTAAAATTGACACAGGCTAGATCCGTGAACCGAACCATGTGAGGAATGTCTGGCGTGCCTACGGCTATACAGCTTCTTGGGGCACCCATGTTGGACTCACTTGCCAAGACATACCAGTTGGCCAATCCAGCACGTCATATTCCAAAGGTATGACGCAGTGGGTTGACCCACATCAAAAGTACCATATGGACAATGGAGCAGGGTCCTGATCAGTCAGGACCTGTCTGATTGTTCAACTTTTTCGTTACCATAAAAAGCAACCGATCTTAGATAGCGTAGCTACTATGCAGTTGTACAGGACTTGACTAAGCATTGTCGTAGACAGTATAAGTAGCATGTTGTTTCTTTGTATTGGGGAGCTTTCCCCCAGACTGTGAATCATACCCATATCAGATTGTTTTTGTGCAATTTGTGTGTCACGTGACTCCGCCCTAAGAAGTTCTATTATCCCTGCCTGGTCGCAACGAGTTGCTCCCTGAGCACTTGTAGCTACTGTGATTTAACTTTGAGTTGAGATATCAGAAAGTCAGATTTGCCACTTCTGGTTCAGTCGCGGCATTTAGTGTTGTTGTCTTTGGGCTTTGTTGAGATTGTCAGGGGACGCCGCGCTCCTTGGGCACGTGACCATGCACGTGACCCACTGCGCCCTCTCTGCCGACCCGTGCCTGCTCACCTGTCGATCACCCAGCCTCCTCCTCCTCCTCTGAAGTGTTGGTTTCGTTCGTATAGAAGATATTGGTTGAGACACCATTGTTTACTATATATAAATCCTTGTCGTCGACTTTGTCTTCCGCGACTATTGATCTGCGTCTATTGAGAGTTGTGATACTGGTGCTCTGTCCACCCGAAGCCCTCGCATCTTTCACACACTGAGAAGATGATTACGAGGAGTGTGAACGTGTTTATATTTGGGTTTACTTACATAGTAGATTCACCTGTGAGCGCGCCCTCAGTATTTCAGCGTAGCTACTTTGCAGTGCGAACTTGATTCCAGTATTTGGCACAAAATTTCTTCCTTCCAACTTGCAATAAAATCATTCTCTCAATGCGTTTACTGCATTCCATGTTGATCAATTATCATCTGTCAAGATGGATGTCGTGATACACATCTATGACTCCATCACGTGTCATCTAGAGTCATATCGACTCGTCCCAAATAGACACAAACGGCCCCCTGTATCATATATAAGGAGGGCTCTATTACCCTTTAATACAAGTCTCTAGACTACTCCCGCATAGTGCCCACACTAAGCTCTCACTCACACAGGTGAGCTGCTAGACGCTCTCCCCAGTGCTCAACAGGTTATGGGCCCCGAGAGCTATGTCTGCGCCTCAGTGGCCGCGACATTCATTGTATGCGCCGTCACTGGCTGCAACGATGAGCAGCGTCTTTAGCCTATCTGCATTCACTTCAGCTGCTGCATAGCGCTGGTGAAACCATGCCGGATCGCGATTACATCGCTTGATCCAGATGCATCGATCTCTAAAGGAGATTATGATCTATGAGGATCTGATCATCTTTATCTTTGATTTTATCTATCAGATTAGATTGATGCTGATCACTCACACAGATCTAACATGTCGTCCAACTCCAACAACATCTTCAATGCTGTCTCCATCTTTGATGGAAAGCACTGGCTTGTCTGGTCCGGAACTATGGAGTCCTATCTGGAGCATCAGGGGATCTCATATGTGCTGACCAAAACCGTGCCAACCAAAGTCAAAGCATCTGATGGCTCTGTGACCAATAAATCGGAAATCAAGCAGTGGAAGCATGACGACCTCAGGGCCAAAGGCAGCATTAAGTTGCGCCTGACTGAAGGTGTCATTACTAACATTCCTGCCGCCGAAATAGTGTCAGCTGCCAAGATCTGGGAGCATCTGAAGACCCAATATGGTGGTGCTCAGTGCGCCGACCTGTACACGTACTTCCAAGCCGCGTTGAACTGCAAGTACAACGTGGGGTTGCACCCGGATCCACAGCTGCTGGTGATCACTACGGCGTTCACTCGCCTGGAGAATGAGTCTTTGATCATTCCTGAGTTTCTCAGAGCAATGATCATTCTCAACATAGCCCGGATTCCCTCTGTCACGGAGACTGTTCTACAGACTTATGACAAGGACGAGATTAAGGTCTCAGTGGTTCGCGACGCTCTCTTGACGCATTTCGCTCAGAAGCAGTCTCAAAGCCAGAATCATGTGGCCAAGTTCAATACCAAGCGCAAGCGCGATGACCCTTTGTTCACCAATCAGCAACAGGGCTCTGGCTCTGCCCCCGATAAGGGTGATAAGGCTGATGGAAAGAAGAAGAACCGTCGAGGCAAGCGCAGTGGGAAGAACAAGGACAACAAGGGCAAGGGCAAGGCTGATCACAGTCATGTCCATGGAGTCTCTGAGATCACTGGCTCCCTCACTATCGGTTCGATCGCCTCGCTCACTCCGTCCATCCCTGCGCCGACGATCTCGCATGTCACGCACATCTCTCGCGATGGACCCAAAATCCGCGCGGTTCAAGAGAAGTCTCCCGTTAACAACAATGGGATTATTGACACCGAGTTCCAGAAGCCTACTCGTAAGGTCTTCAAGCTGGCCAAGAAGATGGATGTGACGGTGACCGCAGAACGCTTCCGGACTCTTGACAAGATAGTCAATGAGAAAGGAATGCTCCGCGAGGATGCAATCATGCGTTCTCCATCTCCGGTTGCTTCCGGCTCGAATCACACCCTGGATAGTGGTCCTCCTGCCAAACGCAGTCGTATCGAGGAGATCCCCGACGTTGAGATGGCCACCGGCCAACAGAACAATCTTGATCTTCTGTTTGGAGATAGCGAGTTCGCCCAGGCTGAACCCGTCAATTGGGATGAGGTCGTCGACTTCAACACCCTTCTGGAGGAGATGGACGCTCCTTCCGCCGAAAGGCAAGTACCCTGCCTTCTTGGGCATATGCACAATTCTGATTGTTGCTCACAGCCAGAGCGCGTAATCACCGCCGCCCCGGGTTCTGTACTTAATTTGTTGATGATTCGATCGCATGATTTTTGCACCAATCTATTCTGTGTGCACTCCGATTTTGCTGCCTGCTCTAAGTGTAAGGGGAAACATCATCATCATCATGAATTAGGGCCTCTGTGGCTTCTCGATTCTGGTGCATCTCTCCATGTGACATCGGAGATTAGTGATCTGGTCGGATATGAGAAGCTCTCAGATCCTATTGTTGCTCAGACCGCTGATAAGAACACACGTGTTGCCCTTATTGGTCGAGGAACAGCCTTCATCGATCATTACTTCACAAGGCATGGAGAAAAGACTATGGTGACTTCTCAGATATATCCAGTGTACCTAGTGCCAGGATTACATGGTCGTCTCATGTCTTTGGGCTCCTTACTCAAAGGAGGATCTCGCGTTCGTGGAGACGAATCGCGGATCAGCTTACATCGAGGGAAGTCCCCACTCTCGATCATGGAGTTTAGAACTCTAGGGAAGGACATTGCCTTGTACTTCCTGATGTCAAAGCCTAGCACGGCTGAGACAGTGCGATCCATGTCCACTGTTTACAAGGTGGATTATGAGATCATGCACCGGCGATTTGCACATCCGTCGAAAGACATTTTACGTCAGGCAAAGAAAAATACCAAGGGCTTTCCAGAAGACCTAGTATTTCCCGAGGAAACCCGACCGTGTAAAGGATGCGCACAAGGGAAAATGCACCAACGTGCCTTCCCGCCTTCTGAAAAACGAGCGGAGAATCCGTTTGATTTGATCCACTCAGATCTCAAACAATTTCCCACGGTGTCTTATCACAAGTAACGTTACTTCATGAGCTTCTTTGACGAAGCACTCTCCTATGGCTGGACAGTATGCCTTGCGCAGAAATCCGACGCCAAGCAGGCTATGCGCAATTTCATTGCGATGGTCAAAACCAGTTCAATGTCACCATCAAAAAGTGGCATATTGACAATGGGGGAGAATTCATGGGGATGGGAATGGAAGAATTTCTCGCGGAACAAGGAATTCTAGTGGAGAAGGGTGCTCCATATGCTCATCAGCAGAATGGGCATGCCGAGCGCTTCAATCGTACGATCATGGATAAGGCAGAAGCCATGCGCTTCACTGCCTGTCTTCCTAATTCATATTGGGAATTCGCGATAAAACATGCGACACGGATCTACAACATGACACCTATCAGGCGTCTAAAATGGAAAACTCCATTTGAAGCCCTTCACAAGGAAAAACCGGATGTTTCCGAACTCCAAGTCTTTGGTTGTGCTGCATATGTCTTTATCCCTGATGAGAAGCGCGCCAACAAGTTATCACCCAAATCGGAGCTGATGACCTACTTGGGCATTCCTGATGGTGTGAAAGGATTTTTATTCATGCGCACAAACAATTCCACGTTCGTCGCCACCAAGGCATTGTTCGATGAGGAGTTGTTCCCCCGCTGTCCTGACAGCAATCGACCACCCCACGTTCCTATTGGAGAGGAATTTCCAGAACGTGATGACCCAGTGAATCCACAAGATCCACCACAGGTAGACAGAGAAGATTGGCTATATGGAGATAATCCTTTTCCGTTCCCCATGCCATCTGATCCGGCTCCACCACCTCCCGTACAAGGAAATGATGATGGTGACGACGGTCATAATCGTCAGGACCCACCGCCAGAGCGTTGGGATGAACCTCAGAGGACTCGTAGAAGTAGAATTCCACGACCAAGTCGGGAAGCTTCACCAGCTCCTGAGCCTCGAAGGTCTTCACGCCAGCGGAATGTGCCTACACGTCCAGGAAACGTCTATGGGGAAAAGCGTAACCCTACGGACATAGTCCGTGATATTCAGAACAGCAGAGGCTGGAAGCGGTATGTTGGTGAAGATAAGGGTAGCTCCCAATCTCAACCATCAACTGGTGCTGATGCAGGGGTTCCCGGCCCTAGCTCGCAACCAGATTCCTCAAACGCGGGTGCTTCTGATGATCTAGACGAGGATGCACGCATGGAGAAGCTATGCCGGGAAGGGGGAGTAGAGCTCATCACGGCGCTGCTGTCAAAAGCAGTTCCAAATGAGAACCTACCTGATACGTCCAAAATTCGCGATTGGACGTTCCGCGATATCAAGCGGTTGCCTTCTGAACAACAGAAAGGTTGGATTGATGCTTGCCACGACGAGTTAGAGGCACTTCGTCAGCGCAAGGTCTATTCCCTTGTGGACCATCCAAAAGGACGGAAGGTTATCAGATGTCGCTGGGTCTTTGACCAAAAATCTGATGGCCGAAAACGTGCCCGCCTAGTTGCCAAGGGTTTCAGTCAAGTCGAAGGTGTTGACTATGACGAGATATTCTCTCCTGTTGTCAGGTATGAGACGTTCCGGCTGGTCATGGCGCTTGCAGCGCTAAATGATTGGCATTGGTCTGGACTCGACGTCAGTAAGGCTTTTCTCTATGGAGAGCTTGACGAAGAGGTCTACATGGAACAACCCAAAGGCTTTGTGGCGAGAGGCCAAGAGCGCAAAGTCATGCGCTTGCACAAGGCAATCTATGGACTCAAACAAGCTGCTTTAGCATGGTGGAAAGCGCTGACCAAGTCCACGAAAGCCATGGGCTGGATCCGACTAACATCGGATGCCGGTGTGTTCTTCTACAAGGACTCTGATGGCAGCATAGCCGTCATAATAGTCTATGTGGATGATGCACTGTTCTTCTCCAAGAACAAGAAGCTCCTCGCCTTTCTCAAGGCTGAGTTCAATAAGCGATGGGAATGCCGCAATTCTGAAGATACTCCAGAGTTCTTGCGCGTACGCCTCAGTAGAGTAGGATCTTCGATCAAGATTGATCAGATTCCCTATCTTGACAAGGTGCTAGAGCGCTTTGGGATGCAGAACGCCAAGTTCGCAGCGACCCCTCTACCGGCTGGATATGTTCCAATGCCAAATGAGGATGAAGTCGATTCTGAGCTCAGGAAGAAATTCCAATCAGTAATTGGATCTCTTCTCTTCATCATGCTAGGCACACGTCCTGACATTGCATTTGCTGTGACCAAATTGTCACAATTTGCCGCCAATCCGTCCCAAGACCACCTCCATAAAGCGCTGTATATCTGCCGCTATTTGGCTGGTACTAGGAATTATTCGCTCATTTTCAATGGTGCGACGGATAGAGGGCTAATTGCATTTAGCGATTCAGACTGGGCTGCTGATCCGATCAAGAGGAGGTCTACCACTGGTTTCTTCACAAAATTGGCAGACGGGATTATTTGCTGGCAGTCTAGACTTCAGCGTACTGTTGCACAGTCTTCGACCGAAGCAGAGTACATGGCGATCTCAGATTGTAGTCGCCAGGTGATGTGGCTGAAGAGCGTCCTTTCGGAACTCCAGTTCAAGCTCACCATCCCAGTACCCATTTGCGGTGACAATCAGGGTGCACTCTTCAGTGGCAGCAATGCCTACCGAGACCGCAGGATGAAACACATAGACATCCGCTATCACTACATTCGTGAGCGAGTCAAGGAAGAAGAGGTTGAACTGTTCTTTATTCCGGGCAGTGAGAATCCTGCAGATATGTTCACCAAGAACCTAGGACGCGTCAAGTTCGAGAAGTTCAGATCTCAACTAGGACTTGAGTTCAACTCGTCCTGAAGGAATGGCCGATGAAGATTTCGCTTTCAAACACTATCCTGTGGTTTTCAGCATGGGGGAGTGTTGATCAATTATCATCTGTCAAGATGGATGTCGTGATACACATCTATGACTCCATCACGTGTCATCTAGAGTCATATCGACTCGTCCCAAATAGATACAAACGGCCCCCTGTATCATATATAAGGAGGGCTCTATTACCCTTTAATACAAGTCTCTAGACTACTCCCGCATAGTGCCCACACTAAGCTCTCACTCACACAGGTGAGCTGCTAGACGCTCTCCCCAGTGCTCAACATTCCATGTCAACAAATTTGCTGATCATCACGCAAATGAGATAGCTTTTTGAAGTGTTATATTAGTATGTACTCAAAAGAGTTGTGCAGAATACATTTTTCTATTAGAAGCCTGAGTAGCATCAAATTCTGGTGGTATTCATGGGACCTTCATCAGGACAATACAAGTTTGTCTTAGGTATCTTATGTGAGGTGTCTTAGTTATCTTATGTCTTACTGGGGGTGTCTTAAGTCTTATTGAGAGCTTCTTATGTCTTTAATGACCAGCTCTTAAGAAGTGATGGTTCTTTCACACAAATGTCTATTTACATCTACATATCTGAAACTGCACATAAAACAAATTCTCTTGAAAGGTGGAAAGCTGTATTTGTCCTTTATTTGGTCAAGCCTCTTGGGTGACCAGGTCACTCAATTACACTGAGATTTTGGGAATGTGCTATTCCTGGGCAGTACTTGCTGTCTGAGTACAAGAATACTAATTTGAGTAGCTAGTATTTCTCTTAAACGCTCCCTGCATTCTTTGTTTGTCCTTTATTTGGTCAAGCCTCTTGGGTGACCAGGTCATTCAATTACACTGAGATTTTGGCAATGTGCTATCCCTAGGCAGTACTTGCTGCCTGCATACAGGAATAACAGTTTGAGTAGCTGGAATTTTGTGATGAAGTCACTGATAGTCAGAAGTTTCTGCTGCTCAATGCTCTTAGATGGAATTTTGCAGCTGAGTTCCTCAGATGGGATGTGGCAACTAAGGTGCTTAGTCAGGATTCTGATTCTGATAACAACTTAAACATCAGAAGATTTTTCACAAAATGTTTTTTCTAGACACTATATCGCCCAAACAATTATGACAAGTGCAAATAAAATTCATTTGATTTGGAAAGTGATCTCATGTGAATGATGGTCAGTGTACTTATTGATGTAGTAGTGATGGAAAGAGACCAACGAAGACATGAATTTGAAGTGTCGAGGAACAGGCTCATCACCAAAGACAGGTAGGAGGTGAGCAGCTCGAAGGATAGTGTCGAGATGAATAATATCAACAATCCACTTGCCATAAGTTCTGGCTGATGTGGTGACAGCTGACACTAGAAGCCAGTATGGTGCCATGCATCCATATTTCACCAGACATGTCATAGGCCCAGATCCAATCATAAACTTTCTGTTTTCCTGATGGGTCAGCAAGGTGAGACAGCACCAGACAGTGCTAGTCCTAGTCATCGAGTTGTCGAGTTGATTTGTTCTAGTCTCTAGTCTAGTCCTAGTCATCGAGTTGCGTGCAGCAGCGGAGCGGAGCGTGGGGCTTTGAGAACACGGTCGTAGTTATCAACGCTAGACCTATCAAGTACGCGCGTCCCGTCATGTGAGCTACGAACACGTGCACTAAACGGTCCTCGAACGGTCGATCGGCCGATCGACCGTTTTCTCGGGCGTAATCGGTCGTCAGACCGTTTTTCGATCTCCCTCGGCACCACGAAGTACCCCACTCGCAGCTCGCAGCGTACCAGCATCTTTCTAAGTACACAGGACTGTGAAGTTCAACACATCTCTCGACATCTGCCCAACAATACTGCCATTGGAACTTTGCGGTCTGCGCATCGCAACAAGCCGAGACCATATCCTCTGAGGTCCACCTTCGACGCTCAGCTGCAAGGACTCGGATACATTGGCAAGCGTCGCCGTCAACGCAAACGAGCGGGCCGCCGGATGCATGTACAATGGGTATCACTCCAGCCGCCTGGCCCTGTGCGTCAGCGCTGCTGACCAAAGCGAAAGAGAAGAAGAGAAGGCGACGTACCATAAACTCCATAACATTGATCCTGAAGTGTTCATCCAGCATGGTGTTCAGACCAACACTCACACGACCCAGCCAAGCGAGCACCTGCGAGTACGGTGCGTTCAGCGCGAATTGCGCATGGTCCTGTCCAGAATATGAGCCACGCAGGGCGGCGCTTCCAAAAACGCACACACCTGGCAACCCAACTCGCTGGCAAGCTTCCGCAACCCCTCCACGCGAGCCTCGTCGCTCGCATTCCGGCATCCGCCGATCATGACCAGCTGCACGCCCCGCGCGGCGTACTCCGGGTGGTTCTGCAGCAGCGAATGCACATCGGAATCACGCGCTCCCTCCCCGCGAGCGGCAGCCATGCCGTGTCGCGCGTGTCGCACGAGGGGTACACGACGCGCGTGCGCACGGCCGCAGCGGGCCCGAACGGGGGTACGCGAGCACGACGTCAACGTGCCGATTCGTCCAGCCCGAGTTGACCAGCACGACGCTCGCGCGGCGCAGCGCGAGCGCGTAAAGCAGCATGAACGCGTGGTAGTACGCGCGCTTTGAAGAGTCTGAGTGAACGTGTACTGAACACGAACAATGACCTCGTCGCCCTCTGAAGTGTCGACTTCCTGTTGAAGATCACTCCGACCAATCTTGATTCTCACTGGGTTTTCGGTGCGCCATGGGACCACGGGGACAGTCGAGCTCTGATAGGCTGAAAAAATACAGAGAATGATGAGCTTTTCCGTAACTTCGATGTCCAACTCCGCTAATTCCTCGCCAACGAGTTTCCTGAGATGAACATGAGTGCGGAACTGTCTTTCAAGGCGAGTCGTTGGTCCACGATCGAGATTTGGGTAACTGATAGCAAAACTCAGGTCGAGAAATCCATTATCTGGTCGACACAGTTGATGCGGACATGTTTTACGCTCCCTGCATGCGGTACAACATACATGTCATCAATCCGCAGCATTTCCCAAAGACATAGCCTTATTGCAACTTATAATACCTGATCCCAAACTGACCAGAGGCTGACTCCCGTCTGAGGATACCTGACAAGACCTTACCGGCCTGACCACCGCCTAAGGATATGTGGTCAGGGTCTGACAACAAGCCGTCCGACCAGCGGCATATCAGTCCTTCAGGACTGATCATAAATTAAACATTTTTGCGACACCCGATTGGCACCGACGAGCACCCGGCCTAATCTTCTTTCTCTCACATCGGCATTGAGGTCGATGTGATGCGGACTGGGTACTGAGAAGCCAAGCTTGACGACAATAAATGATAACGTGGGAATGCTGAGTTTGTTGAGGAGCTCTCAGGCGTACTGGACATGTGAGCGTGCTCAGTTCAGTGGATCTTTTTCCCTTGACTGCCTCGCTAATCCGTAACGTTTGGACGCATACCACTTCCCGTGTGCATCCCGAGTCTCACGAAGGACTTATCGCCTTTCTATCACCTTCTTTCTTTTTGCCAAGGTCAGTGAATGCTCTCTAGCAATTTCGGCCGGGCTATCCGCTGACACGCTCGCCACTTGCTCGCCACACCGCCATCAATGTGCCAAGCATGCGATATGATCTCAGCTTCGGCTCATCCAGTTTTACATAAATATGATCAATCGCAAACCTTTCGTTACACTTGCCCTTCTCCCTTGTCATGGATAGCGCAACTCGCTTCGTCAAACGTCTCGTGCGGTACCGCGATGATTCTGTTTCTACAGTCTCCGCGCGAGACTTTGTTCGACCGTATGGGACGAACCCTCGACGCTCTGTTTGTGCCCAGCACGCGCTCCGTGGTTCAATGAAGGGCTGACTTTTCTGTAGATCCAGGAATATCTACTCAGTCTTTTCCCAATTTTGACATGGATTTCTCGATACAATCCTACTTGGGCACTTGGCGACCTAATCTCAGGTCTCACGGTGCGCATTTCTCAAGCACATTGATTCAGGCTTTCGTTGAACATGACCATGAAGGTCGGAATGGTTCTTGTCCCCCAGGGAATGTCGTATGCTCAAATTGCGACTCTGCCCACCCAATACGGCCTGTACTCATCCTTCGTCGGTGTGACGATCTACTGTGTAAGTGCGATTTTCCATACAATGTTCCTTGCACTGATAGATGCACCAGTTATTCGCCACTTCCAAAGACGTATCCATCGGCCCTGTGGCTGTTGCCAGTCTTCTCACCTCGCAGATCATCAGCAAGATCCAGCATGCTCACCCTGGTGCATGGGCGGGGCCTGAGATCGCTACCACGATCGCATTTATCTCGGGATTCATCGTCCTCGGAGTCGGATTGCTGCGACTAGGCTGGATCATCGAATTCATCCCTGCTCCTGCTGTTTCTGGCTTCATGACTGGATCTGCTCTCAGTATGTCTAGATCCGTCGGTAGCCTGGGCATTGTTTGACAATCTGCAGGCATTACAGCCGGACAGCTTCCAGGTTTAATGGGCATCACTGGGTTCAAGTCCGTTTCTCCTCCGTATGTGTTGAAATCTTTCTGATTCGCGACATCCAGTACTCGCGCTGCTACATACCATGTGATCATCAACGTCCTGAAAGGGTTACCTCGCACGACGCTAGATGCTGCCTGGGGTTTACCCTCTTTGGGTATGTCCTTGTCTCTGTTCTCCAGTCTATTCTAATACGAATTCATCCCAGCTGCCTTGTACATCATCCAGTACACGTGCGACCGATTGGCTAAGCGATTTCCTCGGCACGCGCGACTATTCTTCTTTTTGTCTGTCATGCGGAATGCCTTTGTCATCCTTGTTATGACCATCGCTGCCTGGCTATACTGCCGGGATCGCAGATCCAGCCATGGTTTATATCCCATCAACATTCTGTTGACCGTACCGCGTGGTTTTCAGCATATTGGTGCGTCCAGCAGTACACAGCACAGGTTGCAAAGGCTGAACTTCTGCTCCAGGCCCGCCTACCATAGACCCCAGCCTTGTCAAGGCTCTCGTGGGACAACTGCCGGTGGCGACGATTGTTCTTCTTCTAGAGCACATCGCTATCTCGAAGTGTAAGCTCATCCGATTCGCAGGTGAGCAACCCTGACCTGACCGTCCATGCAGCCTTTGGACGTCTAAATGGTTATACGATCAATCCGAACCAGGAGCTCATTGCAATCGGAGTGACGAACACCGTCGGCTCTGTCTTCGGTGCCTACCCCGCAACTGGCTCCTTCTCGCGTTCGGCTCTCAAGGCCAAGTCCGGTGTCCGCACTCCTCTCGCCGGTCTCGCCACCAGTCTGGTCGTTGTCGTTGCCCTCTATGGTCTGACTCCAGCTTTCTTCTGGATTCCGAATGCCACCCTGGCTGCCGTTATCATCTCTGCCGTCATCAACCTGGTCGCTTCTCCTGCTCAGGTCTATACTTATTGGCGGGTAAACCCCTTCGAGTTTGTCATTTGGTTTGCAGCAGTGCTCGTGACAGGTTTGTCTTCTTTTTTTGATCGATTGCAGGCTGCTGCTCACACATGTCCAGTCTTTTCGTCCGTGGAGAACGGCATCTACGTCTCGATATGCCTTTCGGTCGCTCTCCTGGTCATCCGCATCGCCCATCCTCGCAACAAGTTCCTGGGCAAGGTCACCGTCCGCAACAGCGGCTTGGACAATAAAGACTCGCGTGAGGTCTTTTTCCCACTGAACGGCAGTGGTGCTACCGACGTGGACATCAAAGTGGAGCCGCCTGCGCCAGGTGTCATCGTCTACCGCTTCGAGGAATCAACCGTGTTTCTAAATGCAGCTATTCTCAATTCTGAGATTGTCTCCCATGTCAAGGCCAACATGCGCCGTGGCAAGGATCTGTCAAACCTCGCTCCAGGAGACCGGCCATGGAACGATCCTGGTCCCAAGAACGGTGCCGAGGCTGAGCAGCAGCAGAACTTGCAGCGGCCCGAACTGCGGGCCGTGGTTATCGACTTTTCGGCAGTGTCAGTCGCAATCCGAATTATTGTTTTCCCGACGGGGCACTGAATTTTTGCAGGTCTCACATCGATATTACCGCTGTCCAGTCCCTGATTGATACTCGCAACGAAGTGGAGAGATGGGCCGACCACCCCGTTGATTTCCACTTTTCGTCGATTCTATCCCCCTGGATCCGTCGTGCCTTGATTGCTGGCGGATTTGGCATGGGCCAGCCGTCAGCAAATGCGCACCGCGAAATTGCCCGTGTTGTGCCTGGACCCGAGCGAGACAACGGCCACGATCTGGCTACAGGAGATCTCGAGTCCCAGCCCAACGACAAATCTGGTTTCTCTCCAGAGGGCTTCGCGCCTGTCATAGAATCGGAGACTCCCTTTTTCCACATAGATCTCGCTGCTGCGGTCTGTGCAGCAGAGAGTGGTCTGTCTTGAAAAGTAATACCAAATCGGACAAATTATATCATAGTAAGAGCAGTCGTCTCAGCAATGGGAATTAATTCCAGCGCTTAATATATTCGCAATCCTGAATGTTATGTTATATTCACTTTCCATGAGAGTTCGCGCAGTGTGCGTTGGGGTCAGGATGTATCAGGCATTCTCGTGGACCGAGTCGTGGTGGTGGCATGTACTCATCACGACATGTATTATAGATGTCCTCCGATTTGACGAGCATCTTGATTCAAGCTAAGAATCTATAATCGACGATAGCGATCAGTGATTACTAGGATCAGTAACTTGTTGCAGGCTTGACAGTTCCTCGCAAGTGACTGAAATCTTGACAGTATCCCCGATCCGAGATCGTGGTTGTGATCCCAAAAGCTGTGGGGAGAGCCTGGGAGAGCTTAGCGTGAATTAAATAACCTGTCAAGTTTCAGGATTAGTCATGGCGACTAGAACCGTAGACAACAGGATTATGCGCTGACATACCGCATACTCTGAACCTTCTGTGTTCCGACAACTATCCAATTTTTCCCGATCTTCAAGCCCCAATCCTGTCCCGTGATACTTTATTTCCGCCTCGCACCAAGAGTTTTATCTTGATTCTGACTCGTCCATCGTATATTTGCCATACTTGATTGCCTCTGCGCTTGGCACATCTCATCTGTTTCCTAGCAAGGTCAAGCAGCAACAAGCTCTCTAATGAGACGTACTGCGAAATACCTTGTTAGCCTCTTTGGTCGACCAGAACTGGCTTCAAATTCTTTTCCACAATCTATCTGTCCCTAGGGCCCAGCTAAATATTCCGTTTCGGGCAGCGCTTCCTCTAAATCCAGAATCCACATTCGCTGTTGTCAAAAGCATTGTCAACCAACGAGAAGCGGTCCCCGCTGCACGCACAAGCGGGTCCACACCTGTCCACAGGCCTAATCGCTTACCACTTGGTCAATGCCATGACCGCCGTGGCGAAGAAGGCCCTGGTGTTGGATGTTCGCTGGAGATCAGACCTGTGGCGAGGATCGACACAAAACCATGTCACCATCACCATATCCTTTCTCCATGACAGAGCTGCAGCCCCGCGCAAATCAGAATCTCGATTCTAAAACTCATTCGGAAGGTCGCACGTAGCCGCCAAGGCAGCCGCGGTAGTACTCTCACGTGGAGCCACTGCAAAGTTGCAGAAAAGACTGGATAGTAGATACGCGACCAATCAGCGTGACATGCATGAGACACCGCATATATTCCTCCTTGGAACGTGTGGCATCTGTTTAGCCGAAGTGTGGCGGGTGCCGCAACAGATGAAATTTTTGTTAAGGATGTACTGTGGAGATGTGGGATGCGGGACAGCTAAGGAAATCGTGATCGTAGCATACTAATGAATAGATTTTATACCTTGTCCACCTGTGCGAATCCATGGGCAAGAATCATATGTAGACCCTCATGAAAGCTGCATAAATTATTTGTCGATGTGGCGAGCTCTACAAATATTTTCCCGGCAAATGTCCAAAAAGGGAAACTACGCTGATGTGGGACAAATCACTGATTTGACAGAATCTGCCCATCTTTGGACTGCAATTATGCTCGGTACGTGGTTCTACGCTGTAGA